CCAATTACGGTTTGTCTTTTTCAAAACCGGTAGCTGACGCGTATGCTTAGCTTTGTGAAATTGACTCTTGTTTTACAAGGTCATTTATTAAATAGATTTACATAATTAATATTTTTGGATATGAATTTGAATTTTTGGTGATATTGTCACTGCACCTTCTATTTAAGTTACAAAAAAACAGTATTCTGTATTTGACTAATCTAAACAGCTCGAACACTGTTGTTCGGGTCTTCTAAGAGCAAGGAATTAGGAAAATTCGTTAAATATTTTCTATTTGAAATCAATGTTAGTTTTTCTTATTTTTATTCCTTATCAGAATTATTGTACTACTACTAACAAATGTAGTTCGTATATTTGTTGAAAGAAATATTACATACTCAAATTTAACGTGTGAATACAACAATATGGCTATTTCAGATGAATGTAGTATATTTGAATTATACGTAGATGTGCGTTTGTATAGACAACCTTTCTTATCCATTTACTCTGTAAAATTGACCTAAAAGTCTATTAAATTGTCAACTTCTCCCAACTACTACAAGATACGCAATATGAAAAAAAATTCTTTCTAATCATTTTGTCAAAAGCTATTGTTTCCTAGAAAAACATACTAACAAAATCAAAGGATATGCTGACATATTTGTGCGTGTAAATGGGAATTATTTTCGAGATTTAAAGAGGAAGAGTGAATTTAATAAATTAGTTTGCGGTTTGGCTGGCAAGCTGTTTTGGAAATTTAACAGATTATATTAGCGGTACGGATTGAATAGAGAAGGTCATCAATGACGTGGGCTCAGCCGTAACACGTGACTAAAAATTTAACGATAAGGAGACCAGAGAAACAATAAATAAATAAGCGTGGGGAATAAGGAAACCGCAGCAAATTTTTGTCTATTTTTTTAATTAATGTGAAAGACCAGAGCAGCAACTTGTAGTATTTTATCAATACTGCATGGTGAGAGTCAAATACTACACAAGTTGTAGAAAATGTGAGTCAATTCAATGGAACAGTTTATTTTGTTTTTTTTTTCTTTCTCTAACAACAACAACGGAACAGCTATGTTTTTATATTTTGATAAGGAGAGCAAATATGTAATATGGCAAGGAGAAGGAACTTTTTTTTTTTTATCATATTAATTTTGAGTTGTGTTTATCAAAAAAATTCTAGATAAAAATAATACTAAAAAAATGTAGTACAAAACATATTTAAAACTCTAAAGCATCAATCATGCCAATTAGACAGAATCATATTAGGATAATAAAAACTTATTAATGTGATTATAAGTTTTTGTCATACAAAAAACTTATGATTCTAAGATCATCCAATGGCACTAACTCAACTGCAATTTACTTTACCCATGTATGCTGCCTTGTAGAGTCGTCGTAGTTTAAGAGAAAAATGTACTTTAATAAAATTCAAAACTTTTCTGTTCGGAGTCAATCCCAATATCCCATGTCTGGCGTTTAGTTAACGATTATGATAAATAAATCTATGGATTATAGTACAGCTTTCATAATTACCGTAACTATAGCTTTGCTGTCACTTCGTTGTCATATAAATATTTAATTCACAACTACGTGTGTTTGGATTTGATTAATTGCGTTGACATTTTAGTTTTGTGTTTAAATTTTAAATTATTTTTTTGTGCGAATGTGTTTAAATTTTAAATATGTTCAAAAGTTCTACTAAAAAAATAAAAATAAAAACTGCTTTAAGAACTTGATCATTTCATTTTGCTCAAAACCAACAACAACAACAAAAAAAACACCTGATCATTTCATATCTATAGTTTCATAACCCAAGCAAAAAGGAATTTTTTAAAAGAAATGTTATGACAATAATCCTTTTGGTAGAAAACTCCAGTTTATGGAAACGCAGTTATTTTCAATAAATCTTAGATATTGTTTCAGTTAAGTTAAAATTGATATTGATACGTACTAGCTATGTTTAGAAGTTTAGACAATGTATGATGTGTGAGTACTATATTATAATTATTGGTTCCAATTTTGAAAAAAAATAAGTCAAAATTTATAAGCTTTAGAAAAAAAAGGATTTGTTGAAATTGTCTATTTTCAGAATTTGCTATTTTAACCAAAACTCCATTTACATATATTTCAAGAGGCCATGTCTAAAACTTATATATATATGTCGACTTGTCGAGAGAAAACTTTAAACTTTTTAAAAACTATATTCGATAGCCACTTTCAATTATTTACAAATAAAAAAGGAAGAAGAAGATAACCACTTTTAGTTAAAAGTCTGAAGACTCTGAACTAAATAGAGGGAATACCGTACGCATATCGATCTAAGTCAAGTCGAGGAAGTCACAGGCAATGCTAAAAAAAAAGCACAAAGGATTCACGTGTTGAGTCATCGTTGACTTTGTAACTACATTAATTACGGTGACCCGAATCTGTAATTTCCAACACAGTGTAAAGTAATTAAACAATCACATCGCGACTCGTGCCTTAATATTCATTTGAAGTAGTATTGTTTTTTTTGTACGACAAAGAATTAAGCTATGCTTTGATTATATAGCTTTCAATTCGGACATATGCCATTCATACTGACTGTGAGCTATTTAACTTATTGTCCATGAGTAATGAGTTTTATTTTGTTTTTTGGATATCAAAATAATGAGTAAAAATTACATGATGTTGATATTGTTCAAATATGAATATAAATTGAAAGAACTGCTGGCATCTATACATAGTATTGAATAGTTTACACACGTTCATTTGGAGATAGAAAATCCATAATGACCCATATTTGTTCACATTCACATAATTAATCATGGACAATATCGAAAACAGCAAAGTGATAATTTGAATTTAGGATATTTGAAATTTGATCGTGCCTTGATATTCATTTGAAGTAGTATTAATCATGTATTTAGGATATTTGAAGTTTTGAATTGTGTATTTCGAAAACAGCAAAGTGATAATTTTGATCAGAGATTTTAACAATCCAAGATTCATAATTTTGGATAGTTTTTTCATTACTTAACTATTCGTTTTGGTTCTCTTGTTACTTTCTTTTTTTGATATCCAAAATAATTAAAACAAGATAGACTACTTAATTATGATCTAAAATAAATAAACATAATATAGGAGTTTATCAACGCTTATCAAATCGATTTTAATTAGACAATTTGGCACACCAAGAAGTTGGAAATCATGGTTCTGTATTCATAATTTTTATTTGAACTATAGATTAATAGTATATTTTCTGGGTTTTTATGAATTAAGACTTTTTACTCGTTACGCAATGTTTTCTCTAGCTATCGCAATTGGTAGAATGTATTTTGATTGATTGGAGATGAGACTTTCGGGGTATCAAGTTGATGGCAAATACATTCAATTCTTTTGTCATCTACCTGAAGATATCTTTAAATCTCAGTAATGACAGATAGCTGAACGCGTAATTGTCATTTAAGTACTACAAAGAACGATTAACTTGAACTAAACTAGTTTCGTAAATACACGCTTATTGCAGACTTTTTAATTTGGAAATTGGCAGAGGTCTACTAGAGATTTTTTTACAAATTGCTATCTTATTGGATATAAGTTTATATATATGATATGAATCATATGATCAGGAAACAGAAAATTTTAAAAAATTAAATTTAAATTCTTACACGACATGTTGTCCTATATAATATATGGTCAGATGACGATGTTCACATGTTAATCCGGGGAAAATGGGATTATTAATAGCCATAAAAATGTCCAATAATCTAAAGGAATTTCATTAGATAGCTACCAGCAAAAAAGTATCTAAGCCGTTTTGCTTAAGATATAACCTCCTTGCACGTCTGCCTTGTTCCTTGCCAGAATTTTTCCTAATTTCTGGTTTTATCTTAGAACGTGGTTATGTATCTGTTAAAAGTCATTTTTTTTTTTTGTTTGGGATCAAAATATCTGTTAAAAGTCCTAGTTGAATAAAAAATAGAGACAATTTGGCAGTTCCAAAAAGGCCTATATTGGGCTATACAGTAAGATGTTTTAACTTCGTTGTTATCATTAGTGGGTTTAAAAACGTTTCCATTTAACTAGCCTGTGGGCTTTATTATGACTTCAAGCTGAAACTCTTATTAAAGTCTGAGTCAACTCCTACTCTTTTTTTAGTGTTGACTTTTGCCTTCCTTGTTCAACACCTCATACACGTGTGTGGCTGTGTGCTGTTGGTACATGCACGTGAATACTTTCAATGCTCACGTTATTTAATTTAATATCTATGGTTCTGACTTCTGAGTTCTGACTTCTGTCTACCCAATCCGAGATATATCTTTGTTTCTTTTCGTTGATAAATCTAAGTTTAAAACGTTAAATACATTGAACTAAGTTTGTGCGACAAACCGCACGTATTATGATGATAATAATTTTGTTATTGTTCTTCTTAAATGTATTATGATTATAAATTTCAATAATAAAAGCAGATTTCGTAATAAACAACAACAAAAAAAGGAGTTGACCACGGATTTTGTATTGGCCTGGGCTTTGGCATATTTGCCTAACATTTTGTAGTGTGCCAAGTGCCAGCATTCGAACAAAACGTCATCAACTAATATATTAATTCTTTTTAAAAAGAACCAAGATGCATGTACAGCTAGCAAACCAAGTAGCGGAAAAGTTTAATCAAAGATTATTTATAACAAAAAAAAGGAGTCATATCCAAGTCCTAATTAATGTTTACATCATCTTTTTAAAATATGAATGTACAGCTTAGCTTTTGTCATCTTTTATTTTATTTTAACTGCATGCTTTTTGTCACCCTCATCGCGAATCTAATGATCTTATCTAGGACTTCGAGACCTGTACTTAATTTTACACATAGTTGCGATATCAAATCTCCGCTTGTCTTTAAATATTGAAACTTACTAGTATTATTATTTAATGTCCAACTAACACATTTCTTACATTCATCATTCCGGAGACATTTCTGAAACTAAATAGATACAAATGTGAGTTAGAAATACACATAAATACATGATATTTCACCCTTCAACAATATTATTGCAACTTCCACGTCTTAGAAAAACAAAAGTATATTTGCTATATTCTTGTAACTATAATAATTACACCGTAACCGTACTACGTACAAACAGCATACCACGAACCATATATCCTTTCAAACGTGTCTTTACAGCAAAAACTATATAAAAGCATATTTCAATCCCTTAAAAGTGCTAAAACCTATTTCCTGTATGTATTAACAAAAGTATACATAAAAGAAAAACATGTACATATATATGCTTCTTATATCATCTATCATTTACAATATATAATAATGACAGCATCTACTAATATATATGGGCATCCATCCTACATAGTATAATAGTTAGTTACTTTTTGGTTAATTTCAGAACGGAGCACGGTGTGGTACACCCTTCCGTCTGCTTGAATTCCGGTGATTATATATGGGCGGCGTCCCCGGAGAAAAACCGCTTTCATCACCGGAGCTGGAAGACCGTTGATCTCCTGAAAAGTAATCGGACTTAACGGTGGAGATGGAGAGACCGCTCATCAGACGGTTGAAAGCACACGTCTTGCGTATCTTAGTAGGTGTGGTCGCCTCATCAGATTCTGACCCACCTTGATACTCCCTCCCATGCTTCCCTTTCAGAGAGAAGGTTAGACTTTGATTCCCTCTCTTCATCCCTCCAAGCTGAATCACCAAAACAAGGGCAATATGGTAAATTTCAAACAAAACAGAGGAAACGAGAAGATTTTTATAAAAAATGAGAACTTTGAAGTTTGGGAAAAACAGAGAATGGGAGATTTATACTTTGCAACCGAGAGAGCAGAAACGGAAAGAATCAAGGAGGCTTCTGCAACAGATTTCACAAGTGTTTGTAACGCCTTTGCCGATTCTTGGCTGAGGACGTTCGTTCAAGAACACGATCCTTGCGCTGTTGATGATATATGTCTGAACACAAGAGATGTCTATGTACTTCTGAATCTCGTTCACCCTCACAACGTTGTGGTACGATGATCTCCGTATCTGAGGATTAATTCGATTTTCTTAATTTATGTTTCTGTGAATATAGGAGGGGAAAACAAAAAACCAAAAAATTGAGATTTTGAAGAACGAACCTGAAGGACACGATGGTCTTTGTGATTGAACAAACAGTAAGAGCAAAAGGCGTTGGAAGAGCAGTCAAGACAGAACATGTTGCATTCACTCTTGTTGGAATCGGCGTGGATCGAACAAGGGACGAAGTAGTTTGCTCTTAGCATTGGGATTAGCCATGGTGGACTTAGATAATAGTCTTCCTCTGCTTTCATCATTGGTCCCTGTGCAAATATTAAAACTACCATAAGAATCTGCAGAGATTAAAACAGAGAGTATAATTAAGAAGGAGAGAATCAATCAATCACTCACCATGAGTTTCTTGTGATTTGGCTTAATGGGGACACAAAGTTCTTGAGGGTTTTCGATAGGCAGCTTGAAATAGTGAAGAAAGAAACAGATTTGATTGAAAGGATTTGAGTTAGTGGAGGAGGCGGCTGCTATAGCTGAAAATGAGAAATTGAGGGGGTTTTTGTGTGTGTGTGTGTGTGTTTGAAGTCGGTCACGATAATTTGAGGTTTATAATTCACATGAAACTCATTTAATATCCCTCCTTTTTTAATTGTTTATTTTAAAAGTTTATCTGTAATTTGATTTTTTGGACATATTATCTATTTGACAAATCAGTGTCACTAATTTTATTTTTAAGTCCATCTGAGGCACACGTATAAGTGAAGTGCACATGTGTGTGTCTCTAGAGACCCCAGAAGTAAAGGAGCTTAGAAAAGTAGTATTTTGAAACTTAAAAAAAACTACTCAGTATTATTAAAATCTTTTGAATCATTTTGCTCACAAATGATGATGCTAAATAATTTTATTTTGTTTGCCATATTTTGTCGTTTGCGCCTTCAAAATATCGAGCCGACTTATATTATTCGGTCCTACATCATTCCAATGTAGGATATTTTCCTATAAAAGTTGCTTATATATATTTTTTTAATTCATTATTTGAGTTTTGTTGTTTGTGGTAAGTGGTAACTATTCATATATTTAAACAGAGAGCGGAAAATTCTTGGGAAAATACAAGAGAAGTGAGTAGTGTGGAGACAAAATTAGTAATATCAAATATTATAACAGGAAATGAAACTGCCCTTAAAAGAAAAAAGAAAAAAAAACAATTAAATATGGTGAAAATTGGAAGAAGAAAAAAACGAGGGGACGTGGCTAGAAATGAAGAGCCAGAAGGATCAACGGTAACGAGAGGAGACACACCCGAACCGGAGATTGGTGAAGGTTCTGGTCTGAGCCGTTGGATTAAAAGCTCCTTCTTGTACAATTTTTCTTTATGACGTGGCTCACGCTTTGGTCTTTTTCCTGTTCACCTACATGACAAATCATTGACCGTCGAATTGAGAAGCTGAGTGGGCCCTTATAATCGTAGGATCAGCTAGCGTCTCCCACGTCATCCCAAAACTTAATTTTTTTATTTGATTTTACTTGATTCTTAATTTCTTATCATCTTGCAACTAGCGAGGGATTATGTTTGAAGATTTCATATTTTTGAAGATTTCATATTCAAAGTTTACAGCATACAGGAGAAGCTAGAGAAGGCTTTTTACATATATAAAAGATGTGTACAGTGTAAATTATAAGATTATGTACAGTCAAAGTCAAAATATCAAGAGTTGTCCATAACCTATAAGTATCTGTACGGCTTCTGCGTGTGAAACATACAGTTTTCGCGATGAACTTTCATAAACTATTTGGAGCTTATCACATATGAAGACATATACTATAATTTTATATTTATTTACTATTATAACTTTTGCATCCAGATATTTCGTAGTAGTGGAGTAGTTCAGTTTTGTCATCTTTCTTTTTAACCTCTACTATAATAGAATTTTATAGAACACCGTTACATGTCTGATGTCTTAATTAGATCCATTTGAATACTTGATTGCTTTCTTTTAGGCTAGTAAAATTATACGGATTTGATCAATATAATTAATACGATCCAGCTATCTCAATGTTTGCAATCAATTGACATTGCGTGAAATGTCGAAACTCTAAAATGAACATAATTATCTTCGTCCCTACTCTATAAAATTATGCAATATATAGTCTTCTGCAAATCTAATAGACTTTATAGACTAGTGAAAATGAAAGTAACCAGTCTTCTGAGGACTTCCAATAACAAGTTTTTTTTTTTTTTTTGTTATCTTATCTTTTCTCTTTCTGATTCATTTTTGCGGACCAAAGTAGAAAAATGGACGAACAATTAGAAAAAGAGTATATATTATTATAGAAATGACAATGAGTATAAGTGATCCACAAATGTAATGTATTACTCTAGAAAGAGACCGAATAAAAATATAATGGAATATCGTTAATAGATAATAATAATAAAAAGAAAAGTGTGATCCACGCAATCAGTAAGTAGCTATCAATAGAAAAACTTGGCATAACCACTAATTGTTCAAAATGTTGGGAGAAAAGTTGACGAATAATAATCGTCTCTCTTTTATTTTTTCTGCGATCTTATCTCTTTCCAACTCCACAATAAGAAATTAGTTTTTTGATTTTCTGTTTTTTTTTTGTTTGTATTCAAAACGTGAAATAGACTGAAACCTTGGGGGGGATAGTTGTGGGAATTGGGAATAAGGTGAAGAAGGAAAAGGGGGCAACACACTGTTGACCGACCTGAACAAAAAAGTCAATCGCACGTGACCGGTGACTCACGTACCATTGTGGTTTACTCACGTGAAAAGAAGAGGTCGACGGCACAATTACGAACCGGACCAAATCGTAAACCGAGTTTTATTTGCGTTGCTGCATTGACTATGATGATGATAAGCACAGAAGCAATCTTTGCTGTTATCAATGATATCACTAACAACAAAAACCGTTTAGAGCGAGAGGCTGATACTACTTTCACATAACTTTAAAAGAAGATGTTACATTACAAGTTTACACCAATCTTCAACTACTACTTACACAACCCTAGAGATAAGGCATCCCTTAAAAGAAAGTAGACACAGCTTCTGTGTTGTTAAGAGAGAAAAAAAGGAGAGACAGAAACAACTAGAAGTTGCATTAAGCAGAACGAAATTAACAGTATCAAGAATAAAACATAATTAGCCTAAATATAAAAACTCTGGTGTTGAAGCTGTCTCTGCTCTGACCCAAACCAGTACCTTCTCTGTACTCTCTGGCTCATGAGTGATTCCAACTCTGCAATATCCCAAAACCCACAGGCCTTTTGGGTATTCTCACTTTGCCTCCTCTTGTTCTCACTTTCCCCTTCACCACTTTTTCTCTTATTTTGCGAAACCCCAAAAGAATTAACAACACTTTATGATACAAACCTTTTGTACTTTCTAGATTGAGCCATAGTCAAGACCTCCCCAGCTGAAGTGCGAGCCTTGTCTGACGATTGGGAAAGCATGCATAAACACGCAAACGCAAACGCAGACCGTTGCAACCGCAAGCATCGAGTGGATGATCGGAGTTGGAAAGAAACGATGAGAACCCGAAACCTTCCTCTGATACTTGAGAGCAACACTTGCGCACGTGTTGCAAGATCTCTTGAGCTCTGAGCTTAGTCTCTTACTCACACCAATCTGATCGATCCCGTTCTCGATGTTCAGAGATATCTGACCGTTTCTCTTATCTGCAATCTTACGAGCCACCAAGTTGTTGTAGCTGTGGTTGTTCCTCATTGCAGCATAGCTAAATGGAGTCTGACCGCTTGCATCGATTAGAGTATTCCAGCACGACAATCCAACCTGAAACCAAGAAACAAAGTGAGAACTCTGTTACCAGAAGAAAAAACAAGCGAGTAAGACATTGATTTCTCTAATTATAGCAACTTTACATCTCGTGGGTCGTTAGTCAGGACATCAATCATTTCATCAGAACCAGATGTAGAAGCAGCCAAATGCAAAGGCGTGATATCGCCAGGTCCAGCGATATTAGGCGAGAAGATGAAGTTTTTAGCTGTGGGATTAACGTAATAGTGAATCAAAGTTTCAGCCATTTTTATGTTTCTCCTTTTGACAGCGCGGCTCAATAGCTGAATCTCAGCCAGCATATCTAATGACTCCTTCTTCATCAAACCGTCTTTTCCCAGATTTCTCTCTATCATCATATCCAAGAGAGTTCTCATGAGAGAGCAGTAATCTCTTTCAACTGAGCATACGAGCAAAAATTTGAAGCGAGGGAGTGAAAAGTCTGATTCTCCATGAATGTCGGATGTCCGTCTCCTCTGAAATAGCCAACCGAGCTCGTTCAAGAAGCAAAGAACTTCTTCTCTTGAACTTGGACGATCTGAGTTGTTTGTTTGTTCCTCTGTCACGTCTTTTGGGTGGAACTCGTCTTCAAGACGATTCAACTCTTTGCAAATCGTGGCATTGGCGATTATCAACGGGAAACTGTCGCTTCTGAATCCATTCTCCACCTGTTTTGAGACAATAGGAAGTGTTAAACTAACTTCTTCCAAAAACAAGGATTTATAAAAGATGTATATAAGTTCAGTTACTTCGAAGTCTTACCTCAACAAAACAGCGTCCCAGAGAACCAGCGCTTGGACCCTCGACTTTGAAACTACTTGCGTTTAACTCATCAAATTTGATTCTGCTATGCGATGTTCCAGTTACCTCCATTGACGTATAGTTACCCAGATGCGCACAACGAAATCTGCAGCACAATTACCATAAAGCTTAGAAGAAGAAAAAAAGAGAACGATAGAAAAAATAACTTAAATCCCTACAAAAATTGTTTACCTGATTCCGTCATTTGTCAAGCTTCTACCCCTTAGTATCAAAGTTCTTTCTTCACCGGCTACAATAGCCAAAGGCGAGACCGAGACCAGCTCTGGTGAACTCAAAGTTCTCCAAGATTTACTCAGACGAATACTTCCTGTAGTATTGCATAGAAATGACTAGTTATTAGATCCTAAGCACCAACGGACACAGAAGTAGCAGCTCATGAGCACTCACCATGTTTGTATGATGCGAGCTGTCTGCCTGTACTGACCAAAAATCTCGTGTTGCCCCAAAAATCTGAATCTTGAACCAAAGAACTAACCCGTTGCAGCAAGTTTTCTTCAAGCTGAAAAAAGAAGAAGACAACAAACCACTTGTTCCTTAGGATGCTTAGAGAAAATTCGAATAGTGTTAACCAGCGATTAAAGCAATATCACCCACTTGTTCCCATGCAGAAGCTGACATGGCCACATAGACAGAAAGAACAACACAGCCAGGCCTGATATAACTCTCGATCTCTGATGGAATGCTAGAAAGCCAGTTGTAGATCTGAAGTTAAGAGATGAACAGTGTTAGGACTTCAAGGAGAGCATTTTTTACAGTTCAAGAAGATGAGAATATGCCCAAGAAGTTATAACCTCTGTTCGCAATGTCCCAGGGAGCTGACTAGGATCTTTTCCGAGTAGTTTGAAAACTATCTTTCCGGTGCGGTCCTGTGTCAAAAAACACACGAACGTAGCTTTAGGCCTGCTTTGCTAAGACATTGATTTTACAAAGGGAATATGGCTAGCTGCAAACCTGAGCATCAGAGTTTAAGCTGGGAGGAGAATAATCCGAACCAGACGAAGCATAACCAGATTGATGCCTGGAAACTTTAAAATTAGGATCTGCAGCAGCTTCTCTGTTTGATGCACCAAAGAGCTCTAGGGGCAAACAGCTAGTCCTAGGACCGGGACTAGTGTTTCTGCAATTGTTAGATCTCATGGTTTCAGGAGAGGTCTGCAACGGGAACAACTCCTGCATGACCGGAGATGAAGATGGCGACCTATCCTCAACGGGGTGACTGCTCGCAGAAGAATAGTATTTTCCTGAAGATGCAACCGTTGGCCGACTCTCATCTTCTGGTGAAGAGGTGAATAATTGTAAAGATAAGCTAGATCTAGTGTCCTGAGAAGCAGAAGGGTTACTGCTACTGGTTCTCTCTCCTCCTCCAAACGAAGGAAACTCCAAAGTTCTCTTTTCTAAATTGGTTGCAGTGGCATGGTCAGAAGAAGTTAGCGTAGTCTTATCACCGCTGTCTTTGTTACCAAACCCTCCTTGAGATAACAAAGCTATGGCCTCGGGAGCAGATGAACCTAAAGTCGTGGAGAGAACAGCAAGTAAGTCCATGGTAGATGGAGAAGAAGCCCCACTCATATCATTTTGTGGGTTCATCCCTGAAGGTTGATCCAGGTTTTTCCTGGCTAAAGCTCCGATATTATTCAACTTTGAGACAATATCCATAGGCAAAGGTAACGTATTGATCTTGTTAAGTATCTGAACAAGTTGCTCTCTTTGTGGTACTGCCGGAGACCCACTAGGTTTATCCACGTTCCTACCTGCAGAGCACAGGCCAAGAATTTAAAACATGAATATCTAAAACAGAACTACCAAGAGCGGAGAATGATGCAGATTCTAAGTACCTTGTGCACAAGCTAAAGCTGTTAACAGAGCCATAATATCCATATTAGTGGGATTAGAGGTATTGTCACAGTTCCCCGGAGCTACATCCCGAGAACTAATCTCCTCGGGCTGAGTTTTTCTCCTCCGCCTGTTATGGCCGGCCAATCTACGCCTGCAGCTTCTCTTTCCCTCATCAAACTCAGAGAGAAGATGAAACCTACAAGCCGAAAGTTCCAATCTTTTAAGACCCCATCATAGCCAGACACAAAAGCTTGATTAGTATGTTGAACAAAGTCAGATTGTTTCACCTGCTACACTGTTGGCAAAACCTCTGCATCTGCTTCCCAACAAGAGCTTTGGTAGCTTTGCTATGAACCTCACACACTTTATGCCTTCTGTGATAATCCTTGGCAAGCGAAAGATCTTCCTTACAATTATCCACCTGACACTTGGGATAGTTTCCTCCACCATTTCCCGGAGATCCCGACCTGACCCTCTTGCTGGGTCTGATTACAACCGGCGTCTCTTCAACGGCGTTAAAACTACTGCTCAGATTCAAATCAAGGCCTCTTTCTCTCCCCTCGTAACTCAAACCACCGTTGTTGTTGTTGTTAGTCCTCACATTGACGTCACTTCGAGCCTCCGCGTCTACTGGTTTAGCTTCAAATCTCTGGCTGTCCCATTCCCACATCTTGGGATTCCAGTCATTCCTCGGCTGTGGCTGAGACGGCACAAGCCAGTGCGGCTGGTGATTCGACATCTGGTGATAAAGATCACGTTTTTTTCCTATGGGATGGTGAACTGAAACCGGACCTGCGACTTGAGGACCCACCTCCTCCATTTCTCTCTTTGTTGACTCTTTTCTTCAGCTTTCAGAAACTGCAAATCAACAGATTCAACACACGGGATTACTCAACAGTTCCGAGATTGAGAAGAAAATTAAAGAAGAAACTTGTCTTTCGAAACGAATGAATTTTCATAGCCTCTTTTTGGGAAAGTTTCTTTTGTCCTAAATTAAGAGAGAGAGAGAGATCAGGTGGAGGATTTTTCAGTCGCTGAGACTTTTACTTGAGCCATCACCCATTAAAATAGCTTTCGAGTATTTGAAAAAGGGGAAGGAATCGTCGTGTACCTTAGCATAACTCTGCTTGGTCGAAATAGTTTTACACGAATTCCGTTGCGGAATCACAGCTTCAAGCATAAACCCCTTTCTCAATCCAACGAAAAGCTTGAGACGGAATCGAATCGAACAACCAGAGACTTTCTTCAGATTTGCGCGATTTCAAAATCGAATCTCGGCTTCCAAAAATTTCCGATCAAGGAACGAGACGAAATCGAGGGTTTTTTCTTTTGGTTAGCTGTGCAGCTTCGCTCTTCCTTAATTTCCCTCTCAAATTCGTTGTTTCTCTGTGTTCGTCGTCGTCTTTTTTTCTTTTTGAGCCTTTTCTTTGCTCTGTTTGTCTTCGACTTCTTACCTTTTACGAAACTTTTCTTAATTTGTTCGGTGATGGCACAAATGGTAAATTCGAATAGAAGAAGGGTGTTTTCTGTAATATGATGTAAGGGCCCTCCCATTTGAGAGAAAGATGAAGGGATCGATCCAAGATACCTTTTTAATACATTTTTGTTGTTAATAATCAAAGATTCGTATTATTATCTCTGTGCATTTTATTTGTTGTATTCGCCATTGAATTCGCAGTTTTTTTTTTTTATATATATAAAAATGAATTCTCAGTTTTCTTATCAACCATTTGACGATAACATTAATATTCTGTTCATCAACAACGATATGTGATGATTTATTATTTTCAAACATAAAATACATAAAACCAAAAAATATATTTAATTCAAGTGAGATATAAAGTCATAAATAAAAAAATCTTTATACAATTGGTAAAAAGAATGCAACCTATTGACTCCCAACATCGTTAGCTACTTTTAACAAAGTTGAAAAGGACAAAAATCGTATATATTTATTTTTCCGTGTAGAAAACAAAGAGTTCAGCAATATTTTTTCATTGAGACTACTAATAATAATTAAATGAAATCTATTAGAATATGTCAACAAATATGTGTTACGATTATCTAATAAAAAATAGTTCAACAATGTTACTATTTCAATTTCTATTCGACCGTACACATATCAGATTCTATAGAAACAAATTTTACTAAAACAATATAGTAGAAATAAATAAAATGGTAAATAAATAAAGTTATATCATATGGACCAGAGAATGTGTGTCTATTTTGATGTCGACAAGTTATATATACGTAATCGAAATGTACAAAGAATAAAAACAAGTGACAATAATATACTACTGTCCAGCTAATTCAATAACGCAATAAGCATATTGCGTAACTTATGAACATATAACTTTAAATCTGATTTACTTGATCTTTTCTTCAAGTCGTTAACTTAATTTTCTTATCATTTTTTTTTTAATTTATAAAATTGCAGCGAAATCAATCATGGAAAACAAAACGGAGTAAATATACGTAAAAACTTTGATAAGTTCATTATAAAAAAAAAAATTAATCTCATAAATCATAAAGCGCGTCCGCGTTTGGAGGAAGTCGTCGTCATCACGGAAGGTAAGGCCTAAACAGTAAACACACCCAATACCTGTCGATATCAAATTACGTAATTACCCTTTTCCTCGCACGTACGGACTTATTGTCGCGTGAGCCTCTACGCGCGTGCAAGTAGCTCAATGTCCTCCTGCGCGTGAGAATATCCCCACATCCTGACACGAATATTCGCTAATATTATTTCTTTTAGGCAAACCTAATATGGTAATCCTTTGCTCCTATCAATTTTATTTTCCCTATTTATCAAAGGATAAGAAGATGCTTAAGTTTAATTTTTACTCTGCGTGTACTTTTTGAGGAAAAAATAAATATCCACAAGCAAATACTATATATTTTTTTTTTTGACTTTTTGATGAACACAAAAAAAAAAAAAAGTAATTAAAAGTAGGAAAGAGAGTCTGAAAGGGAAACAGCTGTAAATGGTACGGAAAGTGGATGGCATTAGATTGGCAAGGACACTGACACAATACGTAGAGGCTTCAGGCTTGTACTTACTCTTGCTTCATTTCTTTGTACTACATCTATTTTTTTTCCTCCTTTTATATTTTTACTTTGATTATTGCTTTTCAACTTTTTTTCTTTTTCTCACTAAAAATAGTATTTGAACTAAAACCATTATGTACGGTTGAGTTATCTACAATTCACGTGCACAACATGACACAAACTCAGTCAGTCTGTCTGTATCAAGTTGAAACATCCAAAATAACTTGTATTTATAGACTATATATTTACCAAATAATGCACTATAATAAACTGTACATGAGACTTGGTCATCAACTTTTTTTTGTTAGGGAGTGGTCAAACGCTATCTTGATGACACTTTCACAAATTCGTTTCCTATATTCCGTTACTGTTTTTCTTTTCTTTTAATATGGAATCGAATTATTTATCACCGTAAAATCCGAATTTGATTGGAAGTATTAGAAGCGTTGATAGGAGAACATGCACGTTAATAATGGGCTGTTGATCATAACGATAATAATTACAATGATCAGAAAACTAACAAAAAGAAAAAAAAATAAAGATGGAAATCTTAATCAATTTTATTCGATGGTCGATGGAATATGTTCGGTTTTTGAAGTGCCAAAAGAAGCTCTTCTTGATTAATTAGTTTGGTTCGATAAATATTGCGTGATTGCTTCCGATACCAATCTATGTATATATATATATATCTGTTTTTAAAAAAATGTATTACTATGGGGTTTCAAGTGTCTGCTTACGTAACGTGGAGAAGTTCTGTTTTGTTCCTAATTAGTAATATTATTATAATAGGTTTTTCATATCAACTAATTAATTACTCTTATTTATAGTTTGAAACCCCTAATAATTTCGATGTGGTATAATTTAAGTGTTTGCTAACGAAGGTATTTAGTTTGTCGGCCGACACTATCTCTGAAACATATACTTGAGGACAAACTGTTTTTTGTTTACATATAGACCTGTACATATGTACTAATTTCTTAATTATGTCAACAAAATTATTCAGGTCGCTAACTGAATTAATGATTTGATTGCTAATCTCTAAAAAATAACCTACCTAAAATAAAATCGAAGCAAATCAAGTCAAAAGTGAAAACCCATAACAAAAGAAACTAAAACCGCATTAGCAATTTAAATAGTACAAATTTTCATTACAAAACAAATTCATGATTTTTTGAAAAAAATAAACAAAGATAACGAGGTGGATTCGAATTTCACAAAACGGTCAAACATGTGTATCAGATCGTGACTCACGAACAACATGATACTTTTCTTGTTATTGTTATCTATCACCAATGGCAGACGAGTTTAACAGTGTAAAGACAAACTCTACAATTTCCAAGCAGCTGTTTCAGACAAAAACACAATATTATATATTTGTAAAATTTGAACCATGAACCATGAACATTGTAAACAACCTGGACGGGATATGCTTAATCCAAGTTAAACGGCGCTTATTATTTTCAGCTCCTCCGTGTATTTTGCATATGATATGGAATATTTTCATGTTAAGCGAAGTTTTAGTGCATAAGTCTACTCACGTGAGAAGTCAGGTGTGTGTTAAAATATCCCCAAGAAATGTCTAATTTTATTACCCAAAAGTTATTTTTAAAATAATTATTTAAATAATACTATATCAAGTATATTTCAGTATTCACCGACGGAACACATCTGATCGAAAGTATTGATATGTTCCTTACAAAATCATAACTATGATTTGATTAGTTTATATTATATATGTTTAGGACTGATAGAAACATTTTCACGTAACTGATGATTAAATCAATACAATTTGGAACATTATCTACGTCATTAAGATTCTCCAAAATTTTCAAGATATACACATCAGAAACAATACACAAAATACTATAAGATGGAAAAATATATGCAATTTAGTTAACCACTTAACCGATACTTATATCTTAATTAAGAAGCCTTTCTATGTAACAACACAGGAATCCGGTTATCCGTATATATAGGATTTAAGATACTAAAAAAGAGATGCTATCGTAAATCTATTCATAAATAGTGGAAATGACATAAGCCATAAAATGTTACAGGTAAAAAAAAGAATTAAATATATGTTTCGTACACAATAGTTGATATTTCTTGATTGGACTTTTAGCGAATGGTGCACTGCACGTGGTCATTGCTCATTATCTACGAGTACAATCATTTTCCATTATCTTAACCATTTTTTTTTTTTTTGGTAATATTATCTTAACCATTTGCTTGAATTTACAATATATCATGATGTACAACTTTTTGTCAACTGTTATGTGCAGCTTAAATATATAAATTTGCAACTTTTCAAGGAATAAAAAAACGTTTTAAGTTTGCTTCAAAACATGAGTTAAAAATCTCATATAGGTTTAATATAGAGTGTTTATAAACTAGAGCGTATTGTTAAGTGCCATGTGTCCAATGTCTGTTTCGAAAATGTTCGCCGGCGTTTAAACGCGACCTTATCCCCGCTGAAAAAGTTCGATTTCTACAATTTAGTCGTAAATTCGAACATGGATAAATGATAAATCGAATAGATTATTTTCTTCATGAGATATACTGGTTGGTTGGAATAGAATTCACAATTCAAAGCATAAATCTTTTTTCATTTAGGATTTATTGCATTTTCTAAAAAACAAAACAATGGGCTATACAAACAGATTTACAAACTATGGGAGGCTGAACATAATTAAAGCAGGGTTTGACTAAAAAAAATAAGCCTAATAGGAGATTTATTTTGATCCTCTAATGCCTCTCAATTGAATAAGACACTATACCATAAGTAAAACGTGGATACATTTTATACAAGTGTACCGATACGATTCAATCACAAAGAGTTTTTTTATATATAGAATAAATCCATTACACTAATGAAGATCTCTCGTTTCACATCCACAAAAGCCGACACAGGTACTGTGTATCATCGTATTATGTATGAATCCTTTCGGTTTCGGTGGTATTGAAACATAGCTATCATTTAATTTATAGGACATGAAGGAAGATCTTGCGAGTAGAATGCAAAAAGAAAAGTGTTAGTCTACAATAGGCAATAGCCGAACAAAACGTTTAAAGAGAGAATAATACTATTTGTAGTACGCATTAAAAAAAAAGATATTACATTACAATTACAACAATCTTCAACTGTTAAGTAACTAACACAGCTCTACAGATACAATAAGCCCCCCAAAGAAAACAGATTCAGTAAATAGCCGCGGCTTCTGTGTGGTAAGAGAAATAAAAAACAACTAAAAGTGTAATTAATCTTAAGAGAATAATTAACAGATTCAAGAATAAAATATATAAAACCTTCAGGTGTTGAATCCGTCTGCTCTGAGCCGAAACAGTTTCTTCTCTGTACTCTCTGCAATGTCCAAAATCCACACAGGCCTTTGGGTTTTCTCACTTTGCCTCCTCTTGTTCTCACTTTCCTTCACCACTTTTTCTCTTATTTTGCGAAACCCCAAAGAACAAACAAACACTTGATGATACAAACCTTTTTGTACTTTTTAGATTGAGCCATATTCAAGACCTCCCCAGCTGAAGTGGGAGCCTTGTCTCACGATTGGGAAAGCATGCATAAACACGCAAACGCAAACGCAGACCGTTGCAACCGCAAGCATCGAGTGGATGATTGGAGTTGGAAAGAAACGATGAGAACCCGAAACCTTCCTCTGATACTTGAGAGAGACACTTGCACATGTGTTGCAAGATCTCTTGAGCTCTGAGCTTAGTCTCTTACTCACACCAATCTGATCGATCCCGTTCTCGATGTTCAGAGATATCTGACCGTTTCTCTTATCTGCAATCTTACGAGCCACCAAGTTGTTGTAACTGTGGTTGTTCCTCATTGCTGCATAGCTAAATGGAGTCTGACCGCTTGCATCGATTAGAGTATTCCAGCACGACAAGCCAATCTGAAACCAAGAAACAAAGTGAGAACTTGGGTTATCAAAACAAGCGACTAAATCATTGGGTTCTCTAACTATAGAAGCTTTACCCCTCGTGGATCGTTAGTCAGGACATCGATCATTTCATCAGAACCAGATGTAGAAGCAGCCAAATGCAAAGGTGTGATATCGCCAGGTCCAGCGATATTAGGCGAGAAGATGAAGTTTTTAGTAGTGGGATTAGCGGAATAGTGAATCAGAGTTTCAGCCATTTTTGTGTTTCTCCTTTTGACAGCGCGGTTCAATAGCTGAATCTCGGCCAGCATATCTAATGACTCCTTCTTCAGCAGACCATCATTTCCCAAATTTCTCTCTACCATCATATCGAGGAGTGTTCTTATGAGAGAGCAGTAATCTCTTTCAACTGAGCATACGAGCAAAAATTTGAAGCGGGGGAGGGAAAAGTCTGATTCTCTATTCATGTAGAAAGTCCGTTTCCTCTGAAATAGCCAACCGAGCTCGTTCAAGAAGCGAAGAACTTCTTCTCTTGATCTTGGACGATCTGAGTTGTTTGTTTGTTCCTCTGTCACGTATTTTGGATGGAACTCGTCTTCAAGGCGATTCAACTCTTTGCAAATCGTGGCATTGGCAATTATCAACGGAAAACTCTCGCTTCTAAATCCATTCTCCACCTGTTTTGACATAATAGTAAGTGTTAAACTAACATCTTCCCAAAAACCCTATTTACTAAGAAACTATAAATTTGGTAATTTTTCAAAGTCCTCACCTCAACGAAACAGCGTCCTAGAGAACCAGGGATTGCACTTTGGACTTTAAAATTATTTACGTTCATCTCATCAAATTTGGTTCTCCTATGTTCTGTTCCAGTTACCTCCAACGATGCGTAGTTACCCATATGCGCGCAGCGATAACTGCAGCATGACCATAAGGCTTAAAGAAGAAAAAAAAAGACAGAGAGATGCGAAAATAGATAAATCCCTACAGATATTGTTTATACCTGATTCCGTCATTAGTCAAGCTTCTACCCCGTAATACCAAAGTTGTTTCTTCGCCGGCTACAACAGCCAAAGGCGACACCGAGACCAGCTCTGGTGAACTCAAAGTTCTCCACGATTTGCTCAGACGAATTCTTCCTGTAACATTGCATAGAAATGACAAAGTTAATATCTTGCAGACCATATGCACCAACAGACACAGAAATACAGATTATGGGCACCCACCGTGTTTGTATGACACTAGCTGTCTGCCTGTGTTGACCAAAAATCTTGTATTGCCCCAAAAATCTGAATCTCGAACCAAAGAACTAACCCGATGCAGCAAGTTTTCCTCGAACTGAAAAAAGAAGAAGACAAGAAACCCATTAGCTCATTAGGATGCCAACAGCAAATTCAAATACGATTAACCAATGATCAAAGTAGATTCACACACTTGTTCCCATGCCGAAGCTGACATTGCCACATAGACAGAAAGAATAACGCAGCCAGGCCTGATATAACTCTCCATTTCTGATGGAATGCTAGAAAGCCAGGTATAAATCTGAAATTAAGAGATGAACAGTGTTAGGACTTGAAGGAGAGCATCCGATAATTTTTAACTTTCAAGAGGATTAGAATATGCCCAAGAAGGCAAGAAGTTATTACCTCAGTTCGCAATGTCCCAGGGAGCTGACTAGGATCTTTTCCAAGTAGTTTGAAAACTATCTTTCCTGTGCGGTCCTGTTTCAGAACACGTGAACGTAGCTTTAGACCTTGCTGTGCTAAGACGTTGATTTTAGTTTACGCAAGGAATGTGGTTAATTGCAAACCTGAGCATCAGAGTTTAAGCTGGGAGGAGAATAATCCGAACCAGACGAAGCATAACCAGATTGATGCCTGAAAACTTTGAAATTAGGATCTGCAGCAGCTCCTCTGTTTGATGCGCCAAAGAGCTCTAGGGGCAAACAACTAGTCCTAGGACCGGGACTAGTGTTTCTGCAATTGTTAGATCTCATGGTTTCAGGAGATGTCTGCAACGGGAACAACTCCTGCATGACCGGAGATGATGATGGCGATCTATCCTCAACTGGGTTACTACTAGCAGAGGAATAATATTTTCCTGAAGATGCAACCGTTGGCCGACTCTCATCTTCTGGTGAAGAGGTGAATAGTTGTAGAGATAAGCTAGATCTAGTGTCCTGAGCACGTGACTCTGAATCCTGAGAAGCAGACGGGTTACTGCTACTGGTTCTCTCTCCTCCCCCAAAAGAAGGAAACTCTAAAGTTCTCTTTTCTAAATTGGTTGCAGTGGCATGGTCAGAAGAAGTTAACTTCGTCTTATCACCGCTCTTTTTGTTACCAAACCCTCCTTGAGATAACAGAGCTATTGCCTCGGGAGCTGATGAGCCTAAAGTCGTGGAGAGAACAGCAAGTAAGTCCATGGTAGATGGAGAAGATGCCCCATTCATATCATTTTGTGGGTTCATCCCTGAAGGCTGGTCCAGGTTTTTCCTTGCTAAAACTCCAATGTTGTTCAACTTTGAGACAAGATCCATAGGCAAAGGTAACGCACTGATCTTGTTAAGTATCTGAAGAAGTTGCTCTCTTTGTGGTACTGCCGTAGACCCACTAGGTTTATCCCCGTTCCTACCTGCAGAGCACAGGCCAAGAATTTAAAACGTGAATATCTAAAATAGAACTACCAAGAGCAGAGAACGATGCAGATTCTAAGTACCTTGTGCACAAGCTAAAGCTGTTAACAAAGCCATAATATCCATATTAGTGTGACTAGAAGTATTATCACAGTTCCCCGGAGCTACATCCCGAGAAGTAATCTCCTCGGGCTGAGTTTTTCTCCTTCGCCTGTTATGGCCAGCCAATCTACGCCTACAGCTTCTCTTTCCCTCATCAAACTCAGAGAGAAGATGAAACCTACAAGCCGAAAGTTCCAATCTTTTAAGACGCAATCATAACCAGAAAAGAAGACTGATTATGAACAAAGTCAGATTGTTTCACCTGCTACACTGTTGGCAAAACCTCTGCATCTGTTTCCCAACAAGAGCTTTGGTAGCTTTGCTATGAACCTCACACACTTTATGTCTTCTGTGATAATCCTTAGCAAGCGAAAGATCTTCCTTACAATTATCCACCTGACACTTGGGGTAGTTTCCTCCGCCATTTCCCGGAGATCCCGACCTGACCCTCTTGCTGGGTCTGGTTACGACCGGCGTCTCTTCAACAGCGTTAAAACCACTGCTCAGATTCAAATCAAGGCCTCTTTCTCTCCCCTCGTAACTCAAACCGCCGTTGTTAGTCCTCAAATTGACGCCATTTCGAGCCTCCGCGCCTACTGGTTTAGCTTCAAATCTCTGGCTGTCCCATTCCCACATCTCGGGATTCCAGTCATCATTCTTCCTCAGCTGCGGCTGAGATGGCACCAGCCAGTGCGGCTGGTGATAAAGATCGCGTTTTCTTCCTATCGGATGGTGAATTGAAACCGGACCAGCGACTTGAGGACCTACCTCCTCCATTTCTCTCTCTCTCTCTCTAGTGACTCTGTTCTTCACCAACTGAAAATCAACAGATTGAAATTTAAAAAAAAAAGCTTCTTTTTATACCCTTTTGAAATCAATCAATTTCACAGCCTCATTTGGGATCCGAAGATAGAAGAGAGATAGAGAGCGAGACAGAGATCAGATGGAAGATTTTTCAGTCGCTGAAACTTCCACTTGAACATCTCCCACGAGAATAGCCTCCGTACCAAAAAAAGAAGAAGAATGGGAGAACGAATCAGAATCGTCGTACCTTAGCATAACTCTGCTAGGTGGAACTAGTTTACACGAATTCCATTACGGAATCCCAGCTTCAAGCATAAAACCCTTTCTCAATCCAACAACAAGCTTGAGACGAAATCGAATCGAACACTCAGACACTTCTGCAGATTTGAGAAACTCCAAATCGAATCTCGGCTTCCAAAATCGATCCAGGAACGAGAGCGATTCAAAGGAGTTTTTTTTTTTGTTTTCCTTCTGCGCAACTTCTCTCTGCCTTGTTTTCCTTCTGAATTCCTTTTGTTTCTCTTTGGTTCGTCTTTCTTCTTTTTGAGCCTTTTGCTTGTTCTGTGTTTGTCTTCAACATCTTGCCTTTTACGAAACTTTTCTAATTTGGTACGGTGGTGGCATAAACCGTAAATTCGAAAAGCAGAAGGGTGTTTTCTGTAATATGTCGGGCCTCCAGTTCCCATCTGAGAGAAAGATGAAGGATCCAAGATACTTCACAGTACATTGAAAACCAAAAGACAATATATCAAATTCGTATTATCATTTCTCAAGCCTCTGCGTTTGATTTGATGTGTTCCCCATTCAATGGACCTTGAGATTAAAGTAACTATATTTACCATATTAGGTTTTGAATTCTTTCAACTTGTGCACTTTCTTAAGCTCACCACCTTAAACCTCTCGTACGAAGCGTCTCTCGTCTCCATTTTAGATCGGACATAATGAAACAAACAGTCGAAGATGTTACAACATTAAACTGATCATAATTGATATTTCATTTGAAAACATTTATGGGACAGAGATCAAGAACCTCGTAACAGCATGAGACATGAGTTTATGGATCGGCCCAGCCTAACCAAACCATTAGCCTTAATGGATTGAAAATTTTAATACTAATGGACCGATGGGTGTACAATTGGATTGGGTTGTAAAAGACTTTTTTTTTTCTTTTTTTTTTTTCGCTGAATCAGAGATAAAAGACTTGAAAACGCATTTCACATTACTAACTCACAGACCCTTGCATTGTGAGAGTCTATTCTCGGAATGCATTGCTAAAGAATCGTCTGTGACCAGAAAGACATTTTGCTCTTGTAACGAATAAGCAAAAGAGAGAGAGATTATGATTGGTTGTTGTTGCTCGAGAGAAACCGCAAAAGCTGTCTGTATCCGCTTTTGTAACCATCCCATAGATGTCATGTGTTGTATATATACTAGTATGAATGTATTATATAACAAACGCATGACAAGAGTAATATCCTTGTTACTTTAAATAACACATCCACGCATTGTCATATTTACATAGTCTTTCTTTTTTCATGTCTGAAGCGTGGCAAGCAGATTGTTATGTAATGGATCAGAGACATGGTCAACAAGATTTTGAACAGGACCTTTGCCAGTGAAAGCAGCCTGTGCGTAGAAACCAAGCCACGCGACCATCGCTAGTCTCCCGTTTTTAATCTCTTTAACCTTAAGATCCTCAAAAGCTACAGGGTCCTCGGAGAGGTTCAAGGGATCGAAAAGCTTCCCTCCTGGATAGTTTATGTCTCCTGGCAAGTAAATCCCCAGTGGCTCTAAAGCCTCAATGCCACAGTATCTTGCGTACTCCGGTCCAACCTGTATGATTACGAGAAAATGTATGAGATCGATGAAGCATGTGTGTATATATTAGATGGTCTCTTACAAGATATACCATTAAGAGTACTTGGCAAATGGCAATAACAATAACACCTTGGCTTCCAGCTACGTGGAGACCTGGAATGCCTAGGTAGTCCAACGTCTCTCCCTTGTGAGAAAAAAAAAAAGAAATGCTTATGAGATCAAGCTACTGATTCAGTGAGAGAACAAAGTAATAACCAAGAACCTGAAGCTTGGAATAACCGACTCGCCACCATACGGGTTCAGCGAAATGAAAAGCTCCAGTGAGATCGAATACTTCTGGGATTAGAGCACCCAACGCTGCAAGCATGGCCCAACGAGCGTGAAGTATTTCAAAGCTGCAACAAGAAAAAAACAAGCGGTAGGACTAAAGACAAGCTGTTTGATAAAGAACAAAGGTGGAACTAATTGAAAGGAGAAGAAGACTCACTTGAAGTACTTATTAAAAGCCAAACGGTCCTTGCCAAGTCCTGCAATGTCGAATCCATAATCTCCAGGAAGTTCTCCTGTAAGGTATGGTGGATAATCATATGGGACTGGACCAAACCAGCGGGGACGTTCTTCTCCATACCACTTGCTGCACACTTACAAAAAAACAAACAAAGAATTTTCTGTGACATGAAGGCTGAGATTATGTCAGATTGAAGGTTAAGTTCTGTCTCCTTCTCAATTTTAGAAAATGTAACTATTTTGTATAACTCCGAACATCCCCACAAGTCACAACCATTTTTAAGATTATCAATTATTGCACAATGCTATACAGCTAAAGAGGCTAATGCGTATCTCCCGCCATTTTTTGTACTTCACTCATCTAACCATATGCTACAATGGCTTTGAAAGGATCCAGAAACTTTTCAGTCGACAAAACTATTTGATACGTGTCACTCACAATAGCCTTAATCTTAACTACCTGTCGCTTCTAGCCTTTAGAGCTTTAGCCTTGAATCTGGAAGCATTCTCCACGGCCTCTTTCTTTTTCTCTTCCAGTCTCCGCCGCAGAGATTCACCCAACGAGCTATTCGCGATTGCTTTAACCGCCGTGAACGGTATCGCCGAGAAAACCAACACACCGGCGAGCTACAAAAAAAGTCGGCAGCGAAATTATTTTCACAAAAAGCCGACAATATAAAAAAAAAGAAAACAGATTTCGAATGAAACATTCCCTCAGAGTTGAAACAAACCTCTTGCCACGAAGCTCTGCAAACCGAACGGGGCCTTTTCACGGCGATTCTAGTACGAGGCTCGGGCGCAAATTTTCTGGGAAGAGAATGGAATGATGAACTAGTTGAGGAAAGTAACAGCTTCTCCTGAAACAGAGCCATGGTTTTGGCTCTCGGTGGAATCTTTGATTTGGTTGTTTAATTTTCACTGAATGAAGTGGAAGGTGGAGAAAAGAAAGTTAGTGGTCACAAATTTTCGACGTTACGGGATCTGTCGACGTGTCTTGATATTAGCCCCTTCTTTTAACGCCCGACCAATGTCTAGTGAGAGAACTGAGATTCTTACCAACTGAAAACGAAGTCGTTTCGCTCCGAGGAAGGTGTTCGAAACGACAAACGTTTGCAAATCCCGACTCGACACATTGCTCAGATTCTGATAAATCTCATGATCATTCAAGAACGATTCAACTGTATGACTTAACATTTGTCTCTCAAGGGATGATTGAGATTTTAATCAGAATCAGTCTTTATTAGATGATCCTCTGTAATATAGTTACAGAGCACATGTGATACTTTCTTATTAGCCTCTAAAACCCTAATAACTCATATCGACCAATAAGATCAAAGCGTGTACCATATACAATCATGGAAACAAAGAAACACACTCTCGTGACTCTTTCCTCAATCTTCGTAGATTAGACACTCGTCGGTCTCAGGATTCTCTTGGCAGAAACTCTCGAGCGGATCCTGGTTCAGGAGCTTGAGCTTGATCCTCAGATCTGCTTTGGCTTGGCTCACCTCTTCCACTTCGTCCCACGCGACTCTACACCCCTCCGATCTCTCGTCCGCCTCGCAAACCTCCGTCGCTTCCTTCACTTTCTCCACTATCAACTCCGATAGCTTCTCCTCCCTCATCTTCGTCCCCTTGTACTTTGCCGCCGCCGTCGTCGCTACCATCGCCCTGAATCGCCTCGGTACTATTTGTCTCCGGCAGAAATTCTCCGATCCAGTTGCGATCGACGGTCGCTGATGGTGTGACGGAAGCAGCACTCTCACGTGGCTCGCTGTCGCCGACATCATCTCTGTGAATTCCGTTTCTCTGTTTCTCTCTCAAAGGGATCATTTATTTGGGCCGATTAATCTGTTGGGTTATTAAATTACAAAGAGGCCCGAGAACCTTCTTCGTTCTATTTGCCACGTCATTTAGTGTGGCGTTATCCACAAGACAATCATCATAATACAGTTGGGCTTTCTTTTTTTATTGCGAGGTCGTTGAGATAAGCACGAGAGAAAGCTGACCACTTCAGCTACTCCTTTTGTTTTAGGCGTTCACCAACTTTGATGTCATTAACATACACTCTACATATATAAAATGATATTATCAGTTTATCACACCCATCGTTTTTCATAAGCTCATTGTTTTTGAGGTCTTGTAAAAACTAGGCCAATCTGAGGATAACAATAACCTTGTGCTATCTTTCTATATAGTAGATGTATAAATATAACTTTAGTAGCCCAAATCAGTCAGATCGAAATATATGTAGCAAACAATGGAGAAGTCGTCCACTTTTGGAAACCATGTCCATTGCTACTTATGTATTACACAGAACCGGACACATAGATATACTCATATACAATCGTCTGTCTAAAAAAGAAAGATATACATATTGAATGAATTTAATTGGGTGTGGATGTAGTTTTTTTGAGGAAAATACTTGGGGAGGAGGAAATTGAGATTCATCCCCTCGTATATTTGCCCTCCTTATTCTCTTGTAATTACGATATTACCTTGTAAGCATATTCTCATATTGAATTCGATATATTCTCCTAAGTTTCCTTTTTCTATTTGCCTCTCGTAATTTCCGTAATTACCCTCCACCTATCCTTTCTCTTTAGCATCATCATATCTCATCCCATTTATGACTTTGTTCACATTTAGGTGGGCATTTTTTAACTAATCAAACCAAACCAAAAACAACTGTCCCGAACATATTAAACCACCTAAAATTACATACACTTATTAAATATTCTTTCCATTTCATATTGTATGATGTTTTGAGTTTTTTATTTTGTTCCACAAAGATTGATTTTCTACATTATATTTAATATATTTCTGTTTTCAAAATAATTTTTTGGGTAAAAAGTATAAAAAATTAGTATTAAATTAATAAACAAACAAAAAATACTTAAAAAAAATAAATAATCATTATTTTTTTAATATCTGTGAAACATCTAAAACATCATACATTCTGGAGGAAGTAGAATCTAAAGAGTACTAATCCCGTAAAAAATGAATACAAATCTTAGACAATTTGGGCATTACCAAACCTTATAAAAAGTGAATTAACAGAAAAATTAATATTGGGTTTTATTTCCAGTGGCAATCTGGTAATAACCAGGGATAAAGAGGGGTGACTGAGAAAAAGCGTGGACTAGAACTGAAAAAAATGGAGACCAAATTTTGGCTGTTTGGTTGATCGTATCGCCAAGTCCCCCGCACACTATATAAATACTTTTGACGAGCAAAGAAAATAAAAAGAAGAAAACTGAATTCTCCGAGACTTTGACACTCACCAACCTAAAAATCTCTCTAAAAACCTAAAAAGTTATCGCCCATGGATTCGGATTTCGGAATCGCCAGAGAACTCTCCCCTCTTCAGCAACTCCGATCTCAGTACCGCCCCGAGCTTCCTCCATGTCTCCAGGTTTCTTATATGTCTCCTCCTTAGATCTCTCTTCCTTCCTTCCTCCTTCCCGTTCACTGTTGTTACTGTCTCCAATGCCTGGATCTCTATGTTGTTCATCGAAATCGTTTGCTTCATTGTTTCGTATTCTCACAGTTTCGTTATTTCACTAATTTTTTTTTAAATCCCTTCGAATCGTTTGCCGTGATTTTTCTATCCGAGGAACTTGCAATATTAGTGCAGCTCATGCAGATCTGTTTACAAGATGGTTGTGATTGCGATTTAGGGTTTCGGATCCCTTTGTGATCCTTCTGCGTCAATAGTCTGATTTAGTATTTCGGTTTTGAGATTTCAGTTTAGCGCGGTAGGTGGAATTTTGCATGTAAACGTGAACAACTGTAATGTAGTAATAGTAATCGGGGCCTTTTATTGTGGTTCAATGTGATTTTCTGGAACAGTATTTTTGGAATCGTAGTTGAATTTGTTCTTGATCGATGTTCATTTCAGGGGACCACTGTCCGTGTGGAACTCGGTGATGGAACCACTGTGGCAAAGGCCGGTGATGCCCATATCATTGCCCGTGCCTTCCCGCATACTCTGGGCCAGCCTTTAGCTCACTTCCTCAGGGCTACTGCTAAAGTTCCTGATGCTCAGATCATCACCGAGCATCCAGCGATTAGGTGTGCAAGCATTTGTATATTATGTACTCTGGTAATTCTTGCTCTGCGGTTATTTTGTTTGGTTCAAGCTAGTTTTTTTTTTTATTGTAGGGTGGGAATAGTGTTTTCTGGAAGGCAGGCTCCTGGTGGTCACAATGTAGTTTGGGGTCTATACGAGGCTCTTAAAGTGCACAACGCTAAGAACACTTTGCTAGGATTTTTGGGTAAGTCCTGTTTTTATTTCTGTAACTTCATTGTTTTCTATAAAGTCACATTTTACTTCCGTTTTGATTTGTGCCTGCTCATTGATCAGAAACTTTTGTTACTTGTCAACAGGTGGTTCCGAAGGTCTGTTTGCCCAAAAGACCCTGGAGATCACTGATAATGTCCTCCAAACCTACAAAAACCAAGGTTTGTTGTTTGATAAAGACGTTGATAAGATGATCATAATTTTTATCTCGTCATCTCTCTGACAGATGGCACTTAAATTTATGGCGTCTCAGGTGGTTTTGATTTGCTTGGAAGAACCAAGGATCAGATAAGGACAACTGAGCAGGTTAATGCTGCACTAAAAGCTTGCATGGATTTGAAATTGGATGGTCTTATTATCATTGGAGGTACCTAGTGTTGTTATTTTTTAAGGGATTTTGTAATGGTGGTATCTACTGCTTTTAATTTTGTAAATCTGATTGTTGAAGTTTATCTCTGTAATCAATACTTTTTATTGGCTAGGTGTGACATCAAACACAGATGCTGCGCATCTTGCTGAGTTTTTTGCTGAAGCAAAATGCCCAACAAAGGTCCTACTTTTTCCCCAGTTTACTTTTTTTTTCTTTAGTCTGATCTTGGCTTCATGAAATTATCTAGTCATGCCGTTACACCTTTCAACTGAATAATTCGCTAACAGCAGAAATTACCATTGCATTTCAGGTAGTTGGTGTTCCGGTCACCATTAATGGAGATCTCAAGAATCAGTTTGTGGAGACAAACGTCGGTTTCGACACTACATGCAAGGTATTGTAGCCAACATTATTTCCGTACCCGCGCGAGTCCGTTGAGGTTAATGACATTTTATCTAATTCTCTAGGCTAATGTTATTTTACGGTATACAGGTGAATTCTCAGCTAATTAGCAATACCTGCACCGATGCCCTTTCAGCAGAGAAGGTAAATGTTATTTCTGACTTTAATGTTTTAGAAAGATAGAGACACTCATAACCATTATAATGTTCAGACTAGTTGCATCTTATGAACATTTATCATATATTCATATTAATTTAGGTTTTCGGTTAATAATGTGGAAGTTATTACTGTGAAATAATTGAGAAGGCGGGTTCTTTATAATTCTGTTATCAAGTTTCTCTATAATAATATAATATCGTCCTCTGTGTTGCCAGTATTATTACTTCGTCCGCCTCATGGGTCGGAAGCATTCACATGTGGCCCTGGAGTGTACACTTCAGTCTCATCCAAACATGGTATTCCCTCTAAACATTTACAGTCGACGCTGTTGGCAATGCTGTCTCTAGAATCTAATTTGCATGTGATGCGATTGTCTCAGGTGATATTGGGTGAGGAGGTTACAGCATCGAAGCTCACAATATTTGACATCACAAAGCAAATCTGTGATGCTGTTCAAGCGAGAGCAGAACAAGGTTTCATAATTAAAACGAGTTTATACGATGTTGGCAGTGATGTCTTTTACTTGTCCACTAACTTTAATGATAAACCGGTTATTTGTACCAGACAAAAATCACGGAGTCATCCTAATTCCTGAAGGGATCGTGGAGAGTATTCCTGAACTTTATGCTCTGTTGAAGGTAATGATTCAGTAGTGGCAAGCATATCTATCTGTCATTTGAAAAGCTAATTTTCAGGTTTCTTGAGTACCAAAACGTGGTAGGTATTTACATGTTGTTGACGTTGTGCGGTGCAGGAAATTCATGGACTGCTCAAGGAAGGTGTGCATGCTGATAATATTTCTGCTAAGCTGTCACCTTGGTCATCTGCTTTGTTTGGGTTTTTGCCTCCATTCATTAAGAAACAGGTTCTAATTCTTTGACATGGGACTTTTCTTTGTGTTCCTCACATGTAAAACAAGTATGAATACTTATGAAATTGTCATCTCTCTTGCTGCAGCTACTTCTGCATCCCGAGTCTGATGATTCTGCTCAGCTATCCCAGGTAAGAAGAATGAAAATGATGGCTACTGCCTACTGCGCTCTTTACAAAGTTGGAATCCTAATTTTGCCCATTTGCTTTCTGCCGTAGATTGAGACGGAGAAACTTCTAGCTTATCTTGTGGAGACTGAAATGAACAAGCGCATGGTATGCTATAATCCAAGTTATATATATATATATATTTAAAGTGACCTTGCCTGATTATTCGTGTTGTTCATGGGATATAGAAATCAATCGTTCCCCTAACACTAATTATTGAAAATGACAGAAAGAAGGGACATACAAAGGGAAGAAATTCAATGCTATCTGCCACTTTTTTGGTTACCAAGCTCGTGGATCTCTGCCATCAAAATTCGACTGTGACTATGCCTATGTATGTGATCGCCAAGTGCACTACAATGATATTGCAAAATCTAATATTTTGGAGATAGATATTAACACTTAACATTATGCATGCAGGTTCTTGGGCATATATGTTACCACATCCTTGCAGCTGGTTTGAACGGTTACATGGCAACTGTGACTAACCTGAGGAGTCCTGTAAACAAATGGAAATGTGGTGCAACACCGATTACAGTTAAGTTTTGTAAGATTAAGTTTGTTTAGTATATACGCTCTTACTTTCTGACTTGCCCCCAAATTTCAGTTTTAGTGACCTTTAGTCTCTCTCTCTTTCACTATCAAACCTGTAGGCAATGATGACAGTTAAGCGCTGGTCCCAGAACTCTGGTTCGACTACAATCGGTAGACCTGTAATTCATCCAGCTACGGTGGACTTGAAAGGCAAGGCATACGAGTAAGTCTCTATAACCACCTCCTCATACACAAAAAGATGAATGAGGTGAAGGGAATTGTTGACTTTCTTTGATGTTTTGTGACATTTTGTCAAATGATTTTAGGCTATTGAGACAGAACGCGCAGAAATTCTTGATGGAAGATATGTACAGAAACCCAGGACCGCTTCAGTATGATGGTCCAGGTGCAGATGCAAAGGCCGTAAGTCTGTGTGTAGAAGACCAGGACTACATGGGCAGAATCAAGAAGCTTCAAGAGTATCTCGATCAGGTACCTCATCTTTTTTTTTTTTATAAATCACGACCAGTTTCGATATGTTTCACTAATATATCTGCGGGCTTTGTTATTGTTGTTGACAGGTGAGGACGATAGTGAAGCCGGGTTGCTCTCAAGATGTGTTGAAAGCGGCATTGAGTGTTATGGCTTCGGTGACTGATGTTCTCTCCACAATCTCTTCTTCTTCCACCAGCGGTCAACAATTTGCTTGAGATTTGTTACATCTCCCAACCTTTTTTTTTTTTAATTTTAATTCGTCGGTTTTTTTTTACAGAGACTCTTTCATTTTGAACTCGTGACAGCAACTCTATTGTTGAAAGTTGAGTTTTAGGAAAAAAGAATAATCAAAGTTATGGATTTTGAGTAATTGAAATTACAGAGCAATACTGTCATGTGTATCTAAACCTCAATAAGAGAAATTCGTTCTTTATTAATAGACCAAATTAAAACCAGCCACAGATAATTGCTTTTTGTGTACGAATATTCATGATTTTCAAAAAGTCACTGTGGACGCAAATGATAAAATCTTTTAATTAAAATAATGAAGGCCTTTAAGAGGAGACCGCTCTCGTTTGAATTTCGAATAATCTATCCGTTGTCGAAAGTCCAGCGAAAAGGAATCTATATTTCAATAACCGATCTACATTTTTTTTTTTCTCTATCTTTCCACTTTCCCAATAAGAACCGTCTGTGAGATAGAGAGAGAGAGAGAGAGAGAGAGCCGGAGAAGAAGATTTTTAGAGAGAGAGAGAGATGGACAAGGAAGTAATAGCTGTTTCCGCCATGGACGCTTTCGAGAAGCTTGAGAAAGTTGGTGAAGGGACGTACGGGAAAGTTTACAGAGCCAGAGAGAAAGCTACCGGAAATATCGTCGCTCTTAAGAAGACGCGTCTCACTGAGGACGAAGAAGGCGTTCCTTCCACCACCCTCCGCGAGATCTCCATCTTGCGCATGCTCGCTCGTGATCCCCACATCGTTAGGTTAGAGATTTAACCGCCGATTGCTTGAAATTTCCCCCAGTTTTCTCGATTTTTTATTCTCTTTTGAATAGCGGTTAAAGACCTAGGATTCTGGATTTTACCTCATCGTCTCGTTTCCCAAATGCTGGATCCCAATTTCAAGAGTTCGCTGATCGTTGAATGATTTGATCTCTGAGGATTTGTTGATAGATGTTTCCTAGAGTTTGATCTACTTTAGGTTTTTCGTTTATTGGGATAATCAATGCATTTCGATTCCCAGTTTCAGTGAGTTTGCCAGTGATTGCAAAATCAAATATACTCTTGATTGATTCTGCCCAGACCTGATTGTCATCTTCTTCAGGTTGATGGACGTTAAGCAAGGACTGAGCAAAGAAGGAAAAACCGTACTGTACCTGGTTTTCGAGTACATTGATACTGATGTCAAGAAATACATCAGAAGTTTCCGTCAGACCGGAGCCAACATTCCACCCCAAACTGTCAAGGTCTCTTTATCTTTTCTCTCATTGCATTTTTGCTCACTTTGTTATATATAGTCTCCACTAAACCAAACGCAACATCTCTGAAATCATCATTCTCAGAGCTTGATGTACCAACTATGCAAAGGAATGTCATTCTGCCATGGCCACGGAGTGTTGCACAGGTAAGCTTTTCTCTTGTTTTCCCCTTTTTTATAGTGAGACTGATTTGAGAGGATAACCCGCAAGTTCTTACTTCGTCTCCTGGTGTTATAACAGAGATCTTAAGCCTCACAATCTCTTGATGGATCCGAAGACAATGAGGCTCAAGATAGCAGATCTCGGTTTAGCCAGAGCCTTCACCCTGCCAATGAAGAAGTACACCCATGAGGTAATTGATGAAACACAAAATCCACTGATTCCTCTAACCTCAATGTATTGTATAAAACTCAAACTTCTGGTTTTATGCAACAGATATTAACTCTGTGGTATAGAGCTCCAGAAGTTCTTCTAGGTGCCACTCATTACTCTACAGCTGTGGATATGTGGTCTGTTGGCTGCATATTTGGTACATACTCTCTGTGTTTACTCTTGAGGATTCTCTTCAATATCACAAATCTTCAGATACAAAAAACTATAACAACTAACATTGTTTCTTAATCATTTGTAGCTGAACTTGTGACCAACCAAGCAATCTTTGCTGGGGACTCTGAGCTCCAACAGCTCCTCCATATTTTTAAGTAAGTCTTTGTTCAGCTTCTTCACCTCCTCTTACTTGAGAAACACAACAAAACCTAACATAATTGTTTATTTGTTTTCTCGCGAAAAACTCAGGTTGCTCGGGACACCCAATGAAACCATGTGGCCAGGTGTGAGCACGCTCAAGAACTGGCACGAGTACCCACAGTGGAAACCGTTGAGTCTGTCCACATCTGTTCCAACCCTCGATGAGCCTGGACTTGATCTTCTCTCTGTAAGTCCAAAGCTCTTTAAATCTGTTATCAAAACACACACTCAACCAGACAGACGAACTAATTGCGTTGTTATGATTCTCCCTGGAACAGAAAATGCTGCAGTACGAGCCAGCGAAACGAATCTCGGCAAAGATGGCTATGGAGCATCCTTACTTTGATGATCTGCCGGATAAGTCCTCTCTCTGAGAAGTCTTTCAGTTAGTATCTTTCCCAATATCACTACTACCTTTTGTGCTTCTTCCAAGCATATCTCTAGTGTGCTTCCCACTCCATGAAACCTTCCTTCCCTTTAGCGTATTATAACATCTGGTTATGTTTCTCTTCTGTTCTCAAATTTGTATTCAACATTTGTTTCAGAAAAAAACATATATATATTCTATAATGACGGTGTTTCAAATACATGATACAATCATATTCTGGAAGTCCCAAGGACAATTCTTGAATAAATGAAACAAAATAATACACATAACATGATCGAGTGTGTGTGTGTGTGTGTGGGGTTTAAGCAACAAGCCACATGAAGAACGTGGGCCAAACAGTGAGTGAGATGGAAGCCAAAGAGTATGTCCATAGCAGAATCACTGAGCATTCACTTTCCCCAGCTCCGAACAACTGAGTGATTGTACCTGCAAAGTGAGTGATTTCAAACAGTTAAATTTCAATGGAGTAACTAATAATATTTCTTAAGTTAAAAAAAAAAAAAAAAAAAAAAAGAGTTGGTATGTAGCAACGAACCTAGATTCATGGCTGGAGGGACAGCATACTGAAGAAGAAGAACGAATTGGTACAATGGCTCTGAGGTAATCAAATCCAGCTGATACGCTCCTCTTACGATCAACACACCGCTTATAGGCAGGAACACGTACCGTGCGACCAAGACGCCGATAATGGTGGATTTTTTCATCCCTGAACTCTTCATACCTTTGAGTAGGTTTCCTCCAATAATCAAGGTCATTGCAGGAATGGCCCCATCTCTTCACCCAAAATAAACAAGAAAATTAGGCTTTTTTAAAAGTGAGTGAGTTTCGATTAAGATAATGGTTTCAGTTAATTACCCCACTAGAGAAACTGAGTCTTGAAGCACCCGGAGAGGAGCTACGTTGCCGATTATTAGGTTCCTTAAAGGAGTAATGAGTCCGATCACAAGCGCGATTATCTGAACACCAAACACACAAAAAAATGGTAATTAGAAAGATTACAGTAGTGTGAGATGAACATAAGTAAGTATCTCGAGTATTTTACCGCAGCAATAGTAGATGGAGCAAATATTGTCTTCAAGTTGACTTTTTCCGACAATGAACCCACTCTTCGCTTTACTATGTCCCACTTCCCAGCCTGTCAGACACATACACACAGTCACTACCAAATGTATTAAAACTGATGAATGATTTAAGTCTTATTGATCAAAGTGATGAGACCTTAAGGCTGTCTTCTTCTTTTGAGGAAATCAGTGGGACTTTGCAACTGTCGTAGTTGGATTCAATAGAGAGTTGGGTTTCAATAGGAGATGTTGATAGCACACGCATAAGGTTGTATACGTAAGTCCATATGTAAACTGATCCCATCTGATAGCATCACAAGTATATATATCATGATGACATACACTGATAAAACCTTGTTTAAGAAGATGAAGAAGAAGAAAACTTACAGCCATGGAAAGTGCAACATAACCCATTCCATATTTATGGCAACTCTCAGGATCTCCAAATGGACCGTCCTTCTCTTTACAAATGGCTGGGATTATGATTAGTGGCATATTCCCCAAATTCCCTGTGTTTATTTTGGTGTTTCGTTAATTTCATCATTAAGCAAAACAAAGTTCAGATTTTGAAATATTCAGAGACATATCATCATGGTAAGGTTATATATGTACCAGCAGCACAACAACCAAGAATGAGACCACGAAGATGCGAAGGAGGCTTAGTGATGACGATAACAAGCCAGCCTAATAACGAACCAATGATGAATGTGAGCAGAACATTCACCGGCATGAACCACCTGAACACAAATGCAATCTCATTAACTATATATAACCAGAGAGCAAAGATCTATAACTCCTGATGCATGGAAAATTAATCACGTTGACTTACATTTTCACCAAGCTTTCATATGTAACACTATCAGCTAAACGGCTTCCAATAAGCGATGGACTAAACACATAGAAGACAATCTACCAACACGAATAACAAACATAAATTAAAGTCGAATTGTATGTATTACATTACATTTACTAAATAAAGAGAGTAAACATTAAGTAATAACGAACGTTGTTCAAATATTTGCGAGCGTCATGACCAAGAAGATCGACTCCATCTAGAGCCATATAAAATCCAACTGTTGTTATCAACAGAATCTCCACAACTGGTTTCGATGAGGTTATGAACAGATCCAAAAGCTTCATCATCTCTCCTTCCAAGATTTTTACTTTTTTTCCAAAGCTAGAATCTGCAAACGTAATCCATATTATATATATGCATGATTTCGGTTATTGCACATGAATTAAGCAGAAAAACAATGAATTTAATGGAGCTGCGAGAGAACCGGCGATGAAAAAACAGAGCTCAAAATACTCTAGTAAACCTGAAAATTATTTCTCCGATAACAATATAAAAAGCAATACTTTTGGAATAAGTACCGTTTTGGAAGTGTAAAGAGAGAGAGAATCCGCCGGAGAATCCAGAAAATCGCTCTTTCTCTCTATGAAAGAGAAAATATGTCTCCAAATTTGGCGTTACACTTGCATGGCCACATCTCTTCTTTAAAAGAAAACTAATCAAATGTGTTTTTTGGTCACCAATCAAACAAATTTCGTAAGCAAAAGAAAATTATTAATATTTTATCCCACGTGCTTTTAATTTAATTTATAAAAAAAACTTAGTATATTATACTAGTATTGTACAGCTTGGTATCCGCATTTATCGGGTCAATTTTATACATCTTTTTCAATTGTTTTGTTCGTCTCATTACGTGTGAAACAAATCATTATTGAGTATAGATCGTAGCTCTTTGTATAAAATTCCAACTTAGGAATTGCACATTGGAAATTTGATGGACATGCATTAATATGTAAGAGATATGGATTAATAGTAGTATTAATTCTGTTAACTAATTAGGAATTAAAAAATCTATGAAACTTATATGATAATCTGTAAGTTTCTGAACAATTGTTAAATGTTACTTTAACCAAGTAGAAAACAAAATTCAAATCATATATCTATACATGTTTGGCAAAATAGATCTTGAATACATGTATCTATCACGTTTTCTGTAGATTATTAGTATATTAATGCATGCAACCTTCACGATTTTATTATAAATTTTATTGTTTTTCAGTATTGGCATATATATGGAGACCATCTTTATTTTCGTCCGATATCAAAAAATGCCACCAAAATTCTATCAATCTATTAAGTGAATCACTTGATCAGTACAAGATGAACTCAAATTTGGTAGAACAACTTCCATTGAGTTATTACATCTATCCCCTTTTTATTTTCTAAACGCTCGCTTTCTCGGATTTGGATATTGTCGCTTAATTAGTAAATTTCTATACGAAACCCCAATCAAATTATGTTCGTTGTATTGTATTTACCAATTACGCCATATCATTTGTAACTTATTTTAATTTAATTCATGAAATACAATTGTAAAATGAAAACACCATAAGATACACGAACGTGTGAAGTAAAAAAAAGACATGAACTTTTCTTTTGACATAAATACACAAACTTATACAGACATATAATTATTTTAACTATTTTCCTTCATTAGTGTGATACAATTCTTTTTATATTTTTCTTTTTGTCGTCATACAATTATTTTATAATAAACAAAAAAATTTCCACAACTTTTGGAAAACATGTATCCAATCTTTTGTTTGTTTCCTAGATTGTATATGTACATGCAAGCATGAATACAAATTATGAACCAGGATTTGTCAAAAAAAAAAAAAGATAGTGTCGTCGGACCGTCGTCATGCCTTTCGTCACAACGACTACGAAATATCATTGATATAACTAATTCGTGTTTCTTGCCGAACATGTAGAGATATTGCATTTAGGTTAAGTAAATGATCAACATCAAGCGGGTTTATTCTATATTTTATATATTTAGTTTGATGCATTCTTCTATATTTACAAAAAAATTGTTTTCGTTAGTAACTTTCAAGGCATAATATATCCTAGAGATCGCATATATCATGGTTTAAAATTAAAATTAAAAATATATACAAATACGTATCTCGGTATATATAATACTGTATATACTATATATACAAAAAAATAAATGTATATATTTTCCAAAGATAGGAGGAGACAGATAAAAAAACCAAGACCGTTTGAAAAGCATTCGAAAAAAAACCCCACAATAAAATTATGACCTACAGTATTTGTCTATTTCTTTGGCCCATCAATAATTACAAAAACCAAAAACCAACATTTGTTGCATATAGACGTGAAAACGGCCAATTTATGTTTTAACTGAGTCGCAGTTCTGAATTTCTGATTCATCTATGTACTCATGAATTGTGTAAATACACTTTTTCTAACAACTTAATTTATACGTAGAGTTTAATCAAATACTACTACTCTCTCTGTTTCATAATAAGTGTTATTTTAGGAAAATATATTTACTTGATCTATTAACCTCAAAACACATCCAGATACATTCAGTTATAATGCAGATACATTTTCTCAAAATAACACTTATTATGAAACAGAAAGAGTATGTAAAAAGGTTTCATATTCAATTTCTACTAAATTTATACTTAATAAGAACGCCGTTGATAAAATTGATATATTTAAAACACCGAGAATAAGATGAGAAATTTAAAAGTGGCCGGTGGAAATTGAACTACTGCGAGCCCTAATCAAAGATCTTTTTTTTTTGATGATAAGAAAATTTGATAACGAAATTTTATCAATATTTTTGTGGGGTAGAAGATGAATAAACTCTCTTTTTCTGTAAAAGAAATTCCAAACCACAAAAAAAAACTTAATATTATAAGATATGACTTGACAATCAAGTTAGCATCGGCTAACAGCTAGGCTGGCAAAATCAGAATCAAAGTATATTACATATATATACACACCATTTTCTGTGAGTTCATGTAGAAAGTTTAATAAATAAATGAATTTATATATATAAAAATTCACACAGCTCATGAGTACACACCGCTAGTTAAAAGTTTAAAAATATGCATTTGGTCGTTCCCTTGCATGTGGAGCCTAATATCACGCGATGAACGTGGACAAAAGATATGTCAAATCGAAATGGTCCACTCGTTTAATGTTCGCCAATGAAAGCTACACACGTGACATTTTAATTTAGAATATAAATTGATTACTACTTGAGCATGTGGGGATCATCAGATGCCAATCAAAAGTGTGGTCCCCAATCCAAACTAATCTCGGACAAGAAGCTTTTTTTCTGTTCTTTTGGATCCCCACATCAATAATTTATTAGGATTTCGATTATTTGCTTCTGTGAGAAGAACTAGTGAGATCGTCATCACCAATTATTCATTACAATTATAAGTTTATGACACATGTCGTAACAGTCTACAACTAATACAATTTTGCATATATTTTGAAAATTAATAGTACGTAAAGTTATGAATGATGGAATAACAAATACTCCAACTTTTTTATTTTTTTATTAAGACTGCTGTTTTTATTGAACCGGCCATGCTGAAAGCGAACGATCTCTCTTGCAGAACTTAAAATAGAGGTTTTGAACTTTTACAAAGCAAAAAGCTTTTTAATGTAATTGGGCTTTGCTATAAAGTACCCTTTAATGCACTTAGCGAAAAAAAAAGAATGTAAAAAGACAAACCGGAACCTAGAAAGTAAGAGGCCCTTAAGACAAATTTATTTACCAAGCCCATATTTCTACGTACTGGGCTTTGTTATTGATGTGGGCCGTATAGGTCCAACTTCGTCAAATATCATTTCCTAATACCTTTCTGAACATTTCCTTATAGCTTACATCTTTTTAATATTTAATAAATCAAATAAATCAATTCGTAGTCTTATTTAGTTAACAAGACATGTATAATTTAGAGAATGTATAACCTTGGCTGCATCAAAATTTAAATATGTGCATAGCATGTATAAACATGATAATGGTGTGTTATAGATGTTGCAGTTGTGACTATAAACTCTGGTCTACGCCTAAAATGATAAGTATTGTTTTTTTTATACAGTATCAGATTTGTACAATTAGAAATCGGATTACACAATTAGAAGAGTTTTCTTTGCACGATCTTGGAAATTCAGAAAGACTTGATTGTAATTGGGCAGAAAAAGTGCTTTTTTTTTTTAATTTGGTAAAAAATGGATCTGAAGTAAATTGTTGACAGAAAAAGAAATCTGAACATTATTAAGTCCATTAAGCGTTGCCATTTGTTAAAAAAATCAAAAACCATTAGGCGCAAAAAAAGATTTTATATTTATTTTAAGAATTCTTGTGTTCAGTTGAATTTTCCGCAGCGTTTTTAATTCACATCCTTTATTTTTGATGTGCCTTCGCTACAATTAAGAAGATTCTCTCCGTGAAATTGATTTTCTCGCTCCTTTTTCTCCGCCGGCGTCCTTCAATTTCTCCGGCTTATAACAAACCCTAAACCGACACCACCGTCCCCGCGTTTTCTCCCGGCGTCGTCTTCGCTGCGAAACCGGTAACCATTATTAATTTTTATGCGCTGCCTCGTTTCGTTAAGCTCTGCTTTCTAGCGCTCACTTTTTGTTTACTGTTGAATCAGAGCGATAGAACGAGTCAGTGAGAGAGTAGTAATCAGACTATTCTACGTTCCAATTTACATTTTTTGAGACCGAGAGGGATATATGTTTAAGCTTTAGTTGCATTTTCTCGGGAATTATCGATTGTGTTCTCGGATTTTTATGAATTTTGGATTGATCATATGTTTTATGGATTCTGATTTCTTCGTCCTCATAAATTTTTTTAATTGTTGTTGTGACGGTGTATCACAGAGAAGAAGAACCTTTTGATGACGGACACCGAAATGCAAGAGCAAGATGTGCCTTCTGGTGCTGATGCGGCTCCGGTTGAGACCAAAGGTGTTGAGGAAGAAGAGCCTTCAGAACCAGCGAAGGACCAAAACTCCATTGAAAAATCTCAGTCCCCTGTTCCCGAGGATACGACTCTTACTTTGGAGAGTGATGTTCATTTATCTGATGCTCCCATTACTAATGAAACTGAGGCTAGTGAAGAGGCACGTGGTCAGAAAAGTGTTGATGGGAATAACGGTGATGTTGATCAGTCTGAAAAGAAGGTTTCGAGTGATGGAGGTCAAGAGGAGACAACTCCTCTGGAGGGGGAACCATCGACTCCTCAAGTTGCAGGTGAAAGTGTTAAGAAGTGGAAGACGTGGTTGCTGAGTGATTCCGAGGTAAAGGAAGAACATTTCTATCACATTTGGTTTTATTATCTCTCAGGGAATCGAGATCTGTGGTCATCAGTGGCTCTATTTCATTACAGGTCAGGGAAGTTGATGAAGCAGGGACGCCAGAGGATCAAGAGGCGTTTATTAAAGAAGTGGAGTCATACCACAAGGAGCATTTCCTGGAATTTAAAGCCCCAAAGTTTTATGGACAGCCCTTAAATTGTCTCAAGTGAGTTGCTGGAAAATATTGCTATTAGTTCTTGGAAAATTCCGTCTTTTCTGGTTAATCCTCTTTTGATTTCTGCATGTTTTGCTTTGCAATGTAGGCTATGGCGAGCCGTCATCAAGTTAGGCGGCTATGACGTGGTAATTATCCAAATATAGTCCTCTCCCTTGTCGAAATTCTATGTCTGGTATTTAGAATTCCTGTGATTTTCATTTTCTTAAAGGTCACTACATCTAAGCTATGGCGGCAAGTTGGTGAATCCTTCAATCCTCCGAAGTATGACTTGTCTTGTCCCTTAAACTCCGCAATGTATTCATCTTTGTATGATTTTAACATCTACACTTTCTTATTCAATTGTCTTATTCAGGACATGCACTACAGTCTCCTGGACATTCCGCATCTTTTATGAGAAGGTGAATTGTACTTGTTCAATATTAAGACGATTTCCTTGTGTTTCTTGGTTCGTGGTTGATTTCCATCTTATCGAATCATATGGATGTAGATACTTCATGATTTGTATCCTTGTTTTTCAAGTGCAGGCACTTTTAGAGTATGAAAAGTTTTTAAGGCAAAAGGGTGAGCTTAACCTTCCTGGTTCAGCTTTTCTTCCGTCTTCCGCCCTTGAAAAGGAGGTTAGAATTTCTCCTTTAAAAATGTGTAATTTTTATGATTTTGGGTAGGTGAACACTTTGGGATGGGGTCAACTTATGGATAGTCATCAGACTCACACTGCCGTTAGAATAAGACGAATTGAAAGCTCTGCATGTTTTAGCAAATAACACAGTAGCATCTCGGACATGCTACCTTCTTCTGTGTCAAATGGGAAACTCGATTAGAAAGAATATGTTTATGACCATATAATAACCCTTATAAGCTCAAGAAAGCAGAAATATAAACTTTACATACCTCCCCTGTTTCTCTCATTGATATAAGGACACTTGTATAGGCAAGTAGCCATCAAGGTTCAGGGTCAGGCAGAGCACGAAGAGATGCCGCAGCTCGTGCTATGCAAGGTTGGCATTCTCAGCGCCATCTTGGATCCGGGGAGGTTACCGAGCCTATTGTTAAGGTAATCTATTTAGATATTACCGCGCTTCATGATTATACCCTTAGCACAAACTTGTGTGCAGCACCATGATGCTATTTGTACTTCTTCGTTATAGGAGAAAGGCTTAAATTCAACCCCAAAGCAAAAGAACCTCAAAAACATTGGTAAGTTTCCCAAAGAGCTCTTATCATTCTATTTGATTTACAGAAGGGTTACGTAATGCCACCGCTTTTTATGTGTTTTTTTTTTTCAGGTGTCCAGAAGCAAAAAACACCAACTGGCGTGGACCTTAGTTTATCACACGAGACAGACAAACAGTTACGAAATCTAACCAGCTCCTGTATATTTATGTCTCTTATGCAAAAGCTAGCTTTACGCCATGTGCAATGATACTGAGTCTTCTATCCACCGAGAAACCCTGTTTTGTCATCTAATGTTTCGCAAGCGTTGTTCCTGTGGGTGGTAGTTATAAGAACATTCCAGAAAATAGTGCAGGAGATTAAATAAGTACAGAGCATTGTGCGACTTGCACATATTAAAATGAGTCAATACCAAGGTGTCACTTTTCCTTATCAAAGCATGATATTAATAATATTGTTTTTGGCTTGATAGGTCATCTGCCGAGGTTATTGATGTTGGACCCCCTGCAGACTGGGTGAAGATAAATGTCAGAGAAACTGTGAGTACATCTTCCTCTTCGCCTCCCATGTAATGCATTATTTACTCAAGTCTTGAAACGTGACACGCTGAAGAGAGGGAGATTAATGCAGTCTGGCTCTTTGTTTTGATTCCAAATTTGTTTTGTTGTCTTTTATTTACAGAAAGACTGCTTTGAGATATTTGCGCTGGTACCTGGACTTCTTCGCGAAGAGGTGAGCTTTTCTCCTTGGAACTCAGTTTCTTAAGGGATTCTTGATCAGTGTTCGTCACATTGGCATGCACAAATAGATGTATCGTTAGTGCAGATAGGTACCAAAGCAGTTTATATTTGCTGTTTCCTATAATATAGATGTTTGCAGCAGAAATGTTTGGAAGGTTAAGTAAATAGGTTCCCGATTCTAATCTGGATTACACCATTTTTGTTAAACTTGATGATGGTAATATTTGTGTTCTCGCACACGGTCTTTTAGTTCCTCAACATAAGTTTCTCTGTTCTTTCTTTCTTTCAGGTCCGCGTTCAATCAGACCCAGCAGGGCGGCTAGTTATAGCAGGACATCCTGAGCAGCTTGACAATCCTTGGGGAATCACTCCCTTCAAAAAGGTTAGATCCTAACACTCCAAACACTGCCATATTTACTGAACTTGAAGGCTCCTCGTCTTTTGATTTTGGTTTTGGATTTGGCAGATTGTCAACTTTCCGGCAAGAATCGACCCGCTGCATACATCAGCGGTTGTGAGCCTACACGGCAGACTGTTTGTGCGAGTCCCATTCGAACAGTGACCTGTCTCAACTAAAGTGAGCTCCTTCTTTATTTGTTCCTCTGATGACTTCGACCATCTCTTTGGTTCATTAGGATTTCGTTTGTATCAAACGCTAGCAAATGTGATTGTTTGACCGTAACATTCATGTTAGTAGGAGGCTGCTCCTGAATCGTGATGCAACCAACAATAACAGTGTTGTATGAATTTGGAAAGTTATGATTCTCAAATGATTTGTCGCTTTTATAGGATTAAGCTGTTCATATATGTATGTATCTTTATTCAAGATGTTTTTGTGGTAGGGATCTATCTTCTTTTTTTCTGGTTTCGTAACGAAACTGAAGTATTTGTCTCTCCTTTTATTCCAGTTTCAGTCGTTAGGTAAATAATATTTTAAGTTTTATTTCGACGTTTGATTGTTTTGTAGGGCCGAGTCTAATGGGCTATAAATACCAGGCCTTACATATATATCAATCAAATCATACAATAAACAAGATTTTCATAGAATTTTCAGTATTCAAAATAAATAAAATCTAATTGCTTGTTCTCAGTATTGTGTAGCTCAATTGCATGTAAGGCACATGACATGAGCACCACATGGATACATCTCCAAAAGATAAAGTCATGTATCTAAAAGGTCCCTAAAGTACAATTCTCTTTAATTCTCTTTACATGCTTCAACCCCTAAAAAGCCAAATATATGAAAATTATGAATCTTTCATTTAAAAAAAAAAAACTTTGTATTCAACTCTCATTCCCATCTTACAACAAGTAAACCTGAAATTGACCATAACAGATAATATATTCATTTAGTTTCTCTACAGTATTAATATAAGTAGGATTCATAATTAAAAAAAACTGTAAATATATGTGTCGGATTTTTTATAAGTTCTATTTGATCATGCTAGATAGGTTAAAGCATTTGTTTCTTTTCTGATTTTCTTCGTTATATTGAATAAATAAGTGTGGTTATTTTGAATCAAATTATGAATTATAAAGGTAATATTTTTACCAAGCTATTGTTAAAATCTGGTCACAAATATTTAAAGAAAATGATCTTTAGTAATTTATAAAACGTATGATAATAAAACTTTTCAAAAATTATATACGATAATATTATTTTAGCATTTTTAGTGTTTATATTATTATATGATCGATCCAACAGGAAAAAAAATTCTAACTGCACCACTGATTGATTTACATACACAAATAAACAAATTATCCCTAGCTCATTGAAAATATTTCACCGAAAAAACTATTTTAACATGCATTGGTCATGTAAAAGTTTTTCGTTTTCGTATGTACTGAATATGAAACTTAAAAATTTATGTGTTTAAAAATTGTCCTTACATATTTTTCCCTAGGGACTTGATGTATTCCTCATTTTCACACATCTTGGTACTCAAAATCCCACTTGGTTATCTAGTAGCAGAGATTCCTAATCATCTATATGGAAACTGATAAAACTCTCATCCACTTTTTCCTGTCTTGGTTTTGGCAGGTCGTGTAGTTTTCTCGTGTTCTGCCATTAATCAAGTCATTGTAACCGTTGAAAATTCATCTCTTATGGTATGTTGATATCGCTGTAACGAGTAGAACAAAAAAAAATTGTAATGGTATGTTCTTATTATCGTAACCGTTATTTTATAACTTTTTCGTAAATTTCCAAAACTTTATTTGTTTTCTTAATATTAATGTAAGCGTTATTCTGTAAGTAGTCTGTAAAAATGAAGAAACGAATTAGAATTCTGTTGGTTAAAAATCAAAACATGATTCTATGAATAAACTTGATTTAAATTACTTCAATATGTTTAAGGTTGTAGAAGGCTCTTTCATTACATAAAACTCGAAACACAACAACCCCAATACAATCTTGAGGATTTCTTCATATATGAGGTAACTAAATGAATGGAAAGAGAATAAGATCTTGATACATTAGTTGATATATATAGCAACATAAATACCTAACCCCGCAAAAATGGGATTACTTCAAACTTGATTTGAAGTACTTCAATATGTTCAAGGTTGTAGAAGGCTCTTTAATAACATAAAACTCGAAACACAACAACCCCAATCATACAATCTTGAGGATTTCATATATGAGGTAACTAAATGAATGGAAAAGAGCAAGATCTTGATTCATCAGTTGATATATATAGCAACATAAATACCTAACCCCAAAAATGGGACATACTATATGAGCCATCTACATATTTTGGAACTCAAAAACTTTATTGTTATCATCAATACGGGTAAGTCATATAGTATATAAGAAATAATATATAGGGTTCAGCACAGAACCCTAGTGATTAAAAAAAGAAAGAGAAAATGTAGATGGAGAAGTATATAACGACTGACTTCAAATATTCATATATTTAGATAAACTAAATTTAAAACCAAAAGAACCCAAATAATTAAGAAGATGTCATTATCATAAAATGATTTTTATTTTCAAAATTTAATTTTTTTTACTGATTTGCTATTTTACGGACATGATTTTCAAATCTAAAACGGGGGTCTTGTAGCGGCTCCGGCTCCCCAACCAAGCAAATGAGGATCACCGGAAAACTGATCATAACCACTTATATTGCCTCTCAACTCTCCCTGACCGGCTCCAGACGGTGGGGATGCTGACTTAGCCGGAGGTGGAGCTCCTCCTCCTCCGGTTTCTCCACCGGCTTCTCCTCCTTCATCTTCAAGCGGAAGCCTTTCGAAAGTTGCATTAGAGAACGATGCAGCCATTAGTACCACTGGACCCGAAGCCACAAGTGGACCCATCACGTTTCCTCCGATCATCTGACCTTGCCCACCAGCAAGAAAAATTGACAAACCACCGGATCCGGGCGGCGCGGGTGGCGGAAGCACCGTACCAGTGATAGAAAGAATTTCAAACCTTCCATGTAAAGTCACAACTCCTCCGGCTCCGGCTCCAACTCCACCGTTATTCCCATGAGACGTCACCGGCTGGCGGAGAGCGACGTTAGACACCGTGCCGTTACCACTGAGAACGGAGATACCTCTCCCTCTCCGGCGAGCGTAAGTGTTGACGCTCTCAACTATGTCGGCTCCAGATGAGACTTCAAGAACGTGAGATCTAAGCACGTTGGGGCTATCTCTCGTCACAATCACCGGTGGCTTCGGCTTGTTCTTAGATCCTGGAGGACGTCCTCGTGGACGCTTCCCTGGAGTTGAGCCCGAGGTAACCGGGTCGGAATCGGGTCGACCCGGATCCTTGTTGGAGTCAGATTCATCATCTGACTGAGGCTCATCATGAGGATGAGGTTGAGAAAGAAGATGGGGCTGGGGATGGGGCTGAGGATGGGGATGAGGCTGAGGCTGAGGCTGAAGCTGGTGGTGAAGCTCAGGCCTAAAGAGGTTGTGAAAGTATCTTGAAGCTCCTCCGGTTTGATCGTAAGCACCGTCCATGGCCGTGGCATCTACTGGGTCTTGTTCTTGTGGCTCATATATAATGATATCGAGAGGGTGAAGATTTATTCATATATGAGAAACTTTGGTGAGATCCAGTAGAGAAGTCAAATTTCAGGGAGTGAGGAGCCAATAGCTTGAGTTGATCGGTTACACAAACCGACAAAAACAGAGCAAAGAGACACAAATCATAAGGGTGCTACTTGTGTGTTAAACCCTAACTCGCTTTAGGGCAGGAGAGGAGCAGATTCTTCACTCGAGACGGCGTCGTTTGAAGTGATGTGAAATTTAGTGAAGCTTCAAACTATTTCATGTGAGTGACTCTGCAACACTTTTGTTGAACGAGGAAAGCAGGAAAGGAAAAAAAAAAAGCAATAGTGAGACACCGAGAATTTAGCTGAAATCATTCCTTTCACATTTTTATAAAAATTAAATTTAAACGCATAGTGTGGCACATATTACTATATTTTATATACGCAGAATCGCATATTAATAATAAATATAGATATACATGAAATCCAAGAGAAGAATACATGTTTCGAGTTTTTTCTCTCTGGATGTATTCGTTTTCTTTTTTGGCATATAGCTGCAAGCGGAGAAAATAAAGAAATTCATTTTAAGACTTAAACCTTGAAAAAGAAAGGCATTTATGAAAAATATTTGCAATTTTAAAGCCAAAGATAATAGGAATAGAAGATGTTGACAAACGAAAAAAAGGTTTATTAAAAAGCCTTATGCAATTGACTTTGTTATACAGAAATCAAATATGAATTATCAAGTAGTTGGTGCTTATATAGTGGCTTTCTATTAAAATATCTAATATCGGCACATCGCTAATTCAACTATATTAAATATAAAGTGATTGACGTGTTAAACATGATATTCTTAATAATTGATCCGAACATCAATAAGATTGTAGGCCAAAAATTCAAAAGTACTAACAAAAAAATAAACAAAAAATCGAACATAAAACCTCAATACTCTAATAGATAATTTAAAAGTTAGCAATGAATCCAACCAATCACCTTGGGACGTGTGCATGTAATGCCATATTCAATTTCGTTATCGACTGAGACCAAAGTTATATCTATCAAATTATCATTTTCGTTTCAGACAGTAGAGATTATAAGCTATTTGGAAAAGAAGAAAAACATCACTATGCATGCATGTAGTGATACTGCAAGTTTCTTTCTAATAATAATATAACTATATGATAGAAGAGAACAAATACTTGTAATTGGTTTAACCATACTTTGTTGACTAATATACAACGTTTTATATTAATCCGCACGCATATTCCCTCCTCTATGCTGCTGCTACTCGATCTTGGTGGTGCCAAGCTATATGTTAAAGAAATTGAAATTCTTACCAAAGTTTCCCACTTGTTTAATAGCTATAATTGAATATCCACTTTTACTGTACTAGAAGAGGGCCGGGCATAACTAAGAATAATTTATGGCTTAGTTGATAAGAACGAATAATTAATTATCTATCTTCTCTATACTAAATGAACCTTTATCATATCAAAACCTAAACGAATATATGTGCATATCTAGGAGCATTGTGCACACATTATTAGCATATTCTATGATAGAACCATGTTAATTAGTACCCTTTTTAACATATTTATTTTGCCAGGGATGTTAATAGTACTCTATACGAAAGGATACACATATGTGTAAGCTTTAGAATATGCAAAATAGTATATACATAGATCAAATGAACAAACAATAAGTGCTGATGAAAATGAGTATGCAGATAATATAATACTTTGAATATACCTCTAACACTATTCAGTAAACCTAAATTCGTAGAAAATTGAAACTAGCTAAAGACTGGACCAAACATAAAAGAAAAATGAGTATAACCACGCTGATAGTGGAAGCATAGAGTGAAATAAATAATAGTGGATGAAAATTACTTGTTCAGAACTATATAATTTACGTTCAGCAAGAGTAAGATAGAAAGCATAGTTTGTAAATTGAATAATATAAAAGTAGGTAACTGATAGTCGCGAGAGGAGTATATATAAACAGAACTCCAAATATACTTGTACAGATCTAAATCGATTTTACAAAATATTTTCTATGAACACATTCTCAAGTTAAGGAATTGATATGTTTTTCTGGTTATAGAATACTATAATGGAATGATATTTTAATGGACAAAATGATGCATTGGTGCATTAGAAAGATTATCAAGGTATTGGCTATTGTTGTATCTATCTATCTATCTACTACTTGTAGATATCTGAATTTTAGCAGCTTTTTTTTTTTGTCATCTGATTATTATCAAAAACCAAAGTTGAGATACATGTTGAGATACATAAAATAAAAGAAATGCGAGTATTATTGGGACAAAAAGAAAAATGGTAAACAAGTAAGATTAGTAATGTTAGCACACTAAAAGGATCCCGCACGAAAGCAAATGAGGCTCTCGATCAAAGCCGTTCCTTTACATGACCGGCATAATCGGACGGCTCATGACGTGGCGATGCAATCGCACAGTCTGGTTGATCCACACGTGCACGGAGCAAAGTCACGTGCGGTCAAAATGTCAGAGCAGAAGCTGAGCTGTTTTACCACGTGGAGGCGGTCGGAAGCATCGGTACTTGGTCCACGTGGAGGTTTCCCCCCAATCTATCTTAAATACCTCGAGTCTCGTATTTATTTTTTTTTATAAAAAAATTGTATCAGAATTCTGAAATTCATCAACCCTTGAACATGTTCAGAATCAAACTCAAAAAAAAAAAAAAAGTACAGATGCACTTGAAAATGATTAATTGCATGTTTATAACATGATGCTTTTACCAATACAACTTTAGTTTGAAATAACAATTTTGGTGAATCTCCTAAACTGCAACTTAATATACTACTAGATTAAATTAGTGGCATTCAGATTTTTTTCAGTAGTTAGTGGTAGGCATAACCTACATCACTGGAGTAGAACATTTGTGACCAAATCATTTATTATATATATAGTATTGTATTTAAGTATACATAAACCAAACATGTGACCTCAGAATGGAGGGAATATATATATATAGTCGTTGGACCTCACGTTCCCAATCTTGCATAGTGCATTGCATCAATTAGTAGTAAATTAAGAACTACAACACCCATACAATACTGAATTTTCTTTCCATCCTTATTTTCCACGTGGCATATATCGACTGACTAGATTTTGAACTGAGATCATCTCTGGGTCCATACATAAACACTCTCTCGTCGGTCTTGCTTTTCTTATTACAAAGATAGGTATTCGGCCAATAGAAGATGAATCCAAAACTTGGAGTCTATATATTAGCTTCACAGTGCATGTAATATGTATGCATATATAGTAAATATTATATGGTTTCTATTGAATAAAAAGAAGCATCGGTGAGTTATTTGACTATGGTAATTATGTTATATGGTTTCTATTGAATAAAAAGAAGCATCGGTGAGTTATTGATTGTAAAATTATAGTCCATTAAAATTGTTTGATAACTTTTAAAAAGCAGTTAGTAAAACAAGAAGATTACGGGAACAACATTTTTGACAATCACTTTCTCATTTCCATATAATTTTGGCGACTTGTGTGATCCACTAACCCAGTGAACACTAACCCCATCCACCAATTATCATGTCTTTTTCATTATTATTTTATTAGCTTTAATGCCGAGAAAAGTAACAAAACCAAAACTAAAGTCCAAATCGAACTCTAGTGCTATTTTTTAAATGAATGAGGATCATATCTACTGAAATTATTGGTTTTCACGAATTTTTTTTTGTAAATAATTAGCCTCACACGCCAATGATTACAAACATCTGATCTCCTTATATATATATATATATATATATATATATATATATATATAAGGTGCAATGCATATTGATTTAACGGATAAAAGATTTTTCACGTAAGTCGAAGGATCAAAGTTCGAATCTTTCCACCATAATTTTAATCATGTATGTACATGTGTTTAAATGGAAATGATACTCTGCATCTACACTTCTACTAAGGTTTATGAGATAGTCTGAGTTTAGGTTCAGAATCACCCATCGGAAAGAGCAAAAAAAAAGCTACATGAATTCACAAACTTCTTCTATACATATAGCTTAGAGGAGAACGATGGACGCAAATTACCAAAATGGCTCGAAAAAAGGCCCACATGTCTACCTAACCGTTACGGACTTTGTGAGTTATTATCGAAGATTTGGGCCCAAGTAGACCTACATACGTAGATAGGAATATTTTGGTAGTCTACGTGATGGCTAAATTTGAGAGACGTAATTAACAAAACAGCTTTTTCGGCCCATGTAACTTGAAATTTCTGTAACAGTATAAGAGTGGCCCATAACAAATGCCCCTCAGTATCAATTTCATTTTATGAAAAGTGAGAAAACCAAAACAAAAACAAAAATCCAGTGAGTTAATTCATGTCTTTTATCCGCTACTTTTCATGTTCTTTCTATTTAGATGACAATAATGATCTATATTTTGAAGCAAATCTAAAACTTATATCTCGAAATGTTAATTTTTTCTAAAACTGTCAATTTCCAATGTCAAATAATCAGTATATTGTCACCCAAAAAAAAAAAAAAAACTGAAATACAATCCTAGCTGAATGAGTTTTGAGAGCTCATGGCCGTGTAGAAAGCCTCTTCTTGTTCTAATTCAAGAGCTGTAGATTTTTTATTTTAGTTATGAAACTCTATAATCTGAATCGGAACCTAATATAAAAGATATATAGATCATTTGACCAAAGTGGTGGACAAACAGAAACTCTTTCTTTGTTCCTTTAAAAAAAGAAAACAATGCTAAAGGTTTTGACGATCCAAAGATGGGAATATTAATATAGTTGGAGTCTTGTGGAGGAAATAAGATCCGTATACCAACAACTACGTAACTAGAGAGAGATGTCCCAACACACAGGGAATTTTTTCATATATATAAGTAAAATATATATATATATATATATATATATATAAATGAAGTAACAAACAGAAGAAAAATTCTCAGAGAGTGCAACTCATGTCCCCAAACGCAACTTCATACATTCTTTTTTATCATATAGACATCACTTTCCTAACAAACAAGACAAAGCTTAGACAAAGCTCAAAGAGAAACACGAATTATCCATGAGAGAGAGAACGAGGAAAGAGCGAGAATTGAAAATTCCCAAATCTCTCTCCCTCTCTTTCTCACCCTTAATCCCCCCCAAAAAAAGAGAAACAAAAAAAAAGATTCAAGTCGAACAAAAACAAAAAATTAAGTTTTTATTGAACAAAAGAAGGCACGCACATGGCTTTAATCTGTCCTCCACCAGAGAGAGAGAGAGAGAGAGAGAGAGAGAGTGAATGAGTTGTAAAAGCCTGCCTTCTTTGGATTTTTGTCTGAGTTTTTGGCCCAGAGAGAGAGGATGAAGATGATGATTCAGATCATGTTGTTGTCGCTGTCGTTGCTCCAGAGATGTCTCTGCTGGATCTATTGTATTTCATGTGACTCCTCACCAGTTGTCCAGCTGCTATTGCTGACATTAGCGATAACTCTCCGGCCAATACTGCTCCGGCCACTATCGTCGCTAGCCTCCTCGAGTTCATCCCCGGCGACTCTGTGCTCGCTCCTTTCACTCCCAGCAGGTTTAAACACGCTGACTGTGACGCAAGCTGTGTTCCTCCTCCCACTGTCCCTACCTGAATACCCCAAAAATTCAACAAAACTTCACAGTGACCTTAAAAGACTCAAGAGAGAGGTTCGCTCGATCAATTACCTCAATAGATGGCATAGTGACAGAGATATGGATATCTTTGCCGTCGTTTATAGCTTCCATCATCGTGATGCACTGAGAGCTCTCCACGTTTTGAGCTGGATCTTGCCCAGTGGCTATGAATACAGCAGAGACTATGTTGCTGGCGTGCGCGTTGAACCCACCTAGAGAGCCTGCAACAGCAGAGCCCGTGAGGTTCTTTAGCATATTGAGCTCCACCAAAGCAGCCACGCTCGTCTTCAAGACCTTGTTCACGATATCCCCTCTGATCACTGCCTCGCAAACAACTGACTTGCCCCGTCCCTCGATCCAGTTCACAGCAGCGGGTTTCTTGTCCGAACAGTAGTTACCTGGACAATCAAGACACACACACAAAAAAAAAGTGTGAATTCCAAGAAGACAAGAAAGGAGGAAAAAACGTTTTCTTGGAATTTCACAAGATAAGAAGAAGGGACTCACCGGAGATCCCGATCACATCCATGTCGGGAAAGTCATCGGTGAGGAACTCGAGAACGTTCTGCACACCTTTGGAGACCATATTCATCCCCATGGCATCACCAGTGCTACAGCTGAAACGTACATAAGCATTCTTCCCAGCGATTGCGCACTTTACACTTTGCAGCCTCGCGAATCTACTCGACCTGCATCCACAAAAATCACTTTCTTCGTCAGTTAAATACTCACCTTTGGATTGAAAAAATTCAATCTTTGAAATCAAACAGTTTTCTAACTTAAACTTTGTTTTATAAAGCTTCTAAAGAAGTCTGGAACAAGTCTCATATCAGTGGGAAATATCTAAAATTTTAATCCTACCATATGACATCTTGCAAACGCATCAAAAAAAGTCAAATCAAATCTCTATCAGTCAAAAACTGGGAAAATCAAAAGAGTGGACTATTGGTTGAAAAAGAGGTGGACCTGTTGAAAACGACGGCCAAGGTGTCGAAGTTCTCTGGATTCTCCAAGAAAAACTTGAGCTCCGCGGCTCGTCTCGCCGACGCGAACCGGACGACGGGTGCTCGCGTCATGCCGTCCTTGAGAACCGTGCTGGTCGCTCCGCCGGAGATATACATGGCCTTGCAGCCTCTGTTGGTGCTGGCAACCAAACACCCTTCCGTCGTGGCCATCGGAACCGAATACTCGTATCCATCGAGCAACAACGGTCCGGCGATCCCCACCGGAATCTGCACGTACCCTACAGGCATCTCGCAGCATTGCCCCAATATCGACTCGTAATCAAATCCGTCCAACGGCAACCCTTCGATCGATCTCCCCGTTATCCTCTGCAGCGACTCTCTCCGGATCGACGCCGCTCTCTTGCAATCGCCGAGACGGGATTCGAGCGAGTAGGATGGGATCGAGCCGGCGATGACCGATTTCACAATCTCTTCGTCTTCCTCGGGAAGCGACTCCGTGACGATGGGCTCCGGATTGGGTAACTTGGCGACGGAAACGATCGGTGGCGGAGGAGAGCAGGTGACGAGGCGGTGGTCGTCGTCGATGAGGAAATTCCTGTCGGCACCGTTGGTATCGGCGAGATCCCAGGAGTCACCGGAGGCGCGTGAGGTGAATGACTGAACAAAGTCAATGCCGAAAAACCCTAGGAGGTAGATGAAAGAGGCGATGAGGGCTATAAGGGCGCCGAGCTCGGTGACCGTGACGACGTGGAGAGGCGTGTTGTAACGGATCTTGTCGCGCCACCGGTGGAGGAGATAATAGGCGACGGAGAAGAAGAGGGTGAAGAAGACGGCGTTGGTGAGGTAGAGAGGGAGGGGGAGCGCATCGGAGGCCTTGGGAGGAGGAGCAATAGCGGTGCGGCGATGGTCGTCGTCGGAGGAAGGAGAGCGATCCTTGTGGAAGCGGTAGGAGCCGTCGGGGTTAACCGGCGGTTTGGGAGGCCTCCGACGGATATCCATGGGAGGAATATCCAGCGAGGAGGGGGAAAGAAGGTGAGGTGGCGTGATAAGTGTGGAGAGAAAAGGAAGGGGGAAAGAGAGAGATTAGCAAGTTTTATAGGAGACGAACGCGCTTTTCTGTTTCGGACCACCTCCCTTCAACATCATTTTTTTCACTTCACAATTCCCTTTTTTGCCCAATTTTTTTTTTTTTTTAAAAACATATTTCGTTTTTTTCGTAACTCGTCTATTATTAGGCTTTCTCACGTTTCTCTTCATTTTCTCACCACCATAACAGATAAAATTAGTTGTCACTGGAAGAACTTAACTTATGACAAATGGAGGCATTTAGGAATAGTTGCAATATGATATACAGTTGAATTAATAAATTAAGAAGACAATTTTGGCTGATTTTTAACAATACGTCATCAATATTACATGAATATCATCCATATTAATTTCAAATCGTAATTGATCCTAGGTAAATAATATCAAATGTTTTATATTTGCCGAAAAAATTAAGTGGGGCATATTAATTAATGATTTAAGATGATTTTATTTTTTTTTCCTAAATTTCGTATTATAGAATCCAATATTTGAAAAAGCTACTTAAAATCCAAGATTATTAGATTAATATTTATTAATATTTATTAAAATGTTGTCTTATTAAAAAAGTAGAATTTCATTAATAAATTATTTGAAAGATAATGTAAAGTTAAAAATTAATAAATTGAAATACCATCTCATATAATAATATTTGAGAGAATTTAAAAAGAAAATTTATTTTAAAACTTTAAATTCATTAAAATCTTCATAGATTTTGATTTATCTAAATTATTAATCTAATGTGTTCCTCTAAATGTTTTTATTGGTTGCTTCAAATACCTTTCTTCACTTTTTGTAAAAGAAAACCTGTTCAAACTAAATGTGACATGATACAAAATGTAACTACTTGATCATAAAAGAAAGCAATTCTCATTGTATTATAAACACATTAACTGTATATAGCTTAATATTAAGCATGATATTGAATAACTGATCAGCGGAGTTTAATTTTATTTTTATATATGGAACAGTGGAAGTAATAATCTAATTCCTTATAGATATATGGAGTTTTATAAAGATTCGTTTGCAGTGTTGTACAAATATGGTTATCTGGAACAAAAGTTTCTATTAATAATTATTCTTAGGGAAAATTAATTCTATAGCAAATAATATATTTTGATAGTTATATTAGTATAAGCTTTTCATAAAACGTGAGAAGGTTTAAAAATATGACGTAAAATAGCAAGAAAAGAAAATGTAAATGACACACAGCAGGAGATACGAGATGGTTCTCAGAATAAAATACTAGTAAGAAATGGATAGAAACAAAAGTATTAAATTAGTGGGGTGGGGTCCATAAAATGTTTTGTCTTGAAGCAGTGGAAGTCACATTACATTGTCACGTTGTGGATCTGGGACCTTACTCGAAGTAAGCAGACAAATTAAACCAACCTCTCCCTTAGTTAACAAATACTAGTAAGCCTTGTATTATTGCTTCACTATATAATAATAATACACTCTTGGTTCGGTTTTATATTGCTCAGATTCCTTCGCACAAACCTACAAATCCTTCGTGTTTAATAAAAAAAAAAAAACATAAAAGAAAGAATTAAAAAGAATCAAGTAAAATTACGAAAATTTGAGAAGAGAAAGTTCGCGCAAATCCATGGGCCATGGTTATGTCGACAAGCTTCATATTATAAATTTAATTAAACGAAGAATCGCGTTTACCAAAACGCCGCCATATAAAACCACACATGAGATTCTTATTCAATCTTCTTCACTTTCATCTCCTGAAAATACAATTTATCATTTGAAGGCATGATGCTGTATGGGTACGGTCTCTCTCTCTCTCTCTCTCTCTCTCTCTCTCTCTCTCTCTCTCTCTCTCTGACTGATATTTGGGTTGATTTGCGAGTATCTTAGTTGTGTCAGATGTGGTCCTGTTTTGTCCAGAAGAATGTCTTGTTTTACGTAATTAAAAGACGAGTCAAGCTTCTCAAAATCTCAGAATGTTGCCATTTTTAGTGATCTCTGATTTGTAAAACTATTCAAGAGAATTTGGGTTTGATTCTCATTATCAGTACTTTTTATAATTTCACCGTTTGATTAAGGTCGCACTTAGCCGAAATCAACTGTTTTGCTTACTTGGGGGATTCTACAATTTCAGGGCTTCTGATTATAAGCTTGGAATCAGACAAGAGTCGCTCTGCTACTTACTGTTATGTCTTATCGTCTTGGTAAATGGATTGCCTTGTCTCGGACAGGAGAACATGTTCGTGTTTCTTGAAACTTCTCAATCTTTCTATTGTCACCTTTTTGTTTCCACAGCCTGAGGCTAAGTTATTATTGTATTAATGTTACTATTTGAAATATTCTGCTAACGTTTGATGTGAAAGCTTTATATGTTGGGAAGGAATTGTGGAAGGAGACTCTCCCATTGCACTCGGGTTCTCTCATTTACAAGTTAGAAGGACTAAAGTCGAGTTCTTGGTATGAAGTGAAGATATCATACCCTGCTTCTGTATGTAAAGTCTCTGTTTTTTTCTTTTCTTTTGATAGACTTTCTTTGAAATGAAATCTGATGTTCCTTTGCTTTCCTGTTCAGTTTTCGCTGCAACTAATAAAGAAAGGTGACAGCTTGAAGCTAAACCAGATGAGGAGGTTACTAAACACTGAGAAGTTGATCTTCAAAGTGGAAAGTCTCGAAGAAACTAACAACAAGGTATTAGCTTCTCGTTGATTCCATTCGACCTAGAAGAAAGAACTATGTCCTGAGCATTTTTTAGTGTTTCAGGGTGGATTGTATGTTTTACTGACTGTGGAACCAGAAGGGATCGTGGCTATACCTAATTCAGAAGAAAGATCTTTCGTCGTTCACAACATAGGCAAGGTTACATTATCAATCCACTTACCTTAGACTCTTTGCATTTTTGTTCCAAGTCTAAAACTCTTTTGGTAACAAAACAGTTTGTGAAGAACAACTCATGGGCATACCTTACTCAAGCTGTTCAGTGGTTATATTAGTAGTTTTGTGTCTCGTGGTGGCATTCATAGTTCCCCGATTTCTGCAATCTTCTCTTCTTATAAAGAGACAAGGTGCACGTTGTTTGACGTCACACATGTTTCTTCTTGGTTATATTTACTTGTCCATGTCTCAATTCTGCTCTCACTGTTAGGTTCATGAGATCTTAATTTTTTTTACTGACAAAGCTCTTCTAGGTATCTAAATCCTTCTTTTGTATTGACTTCAAATCAGTTATTTGTACAATCCAAAATTGTCTTTTTCTTCTTTTGATTCTTAAATATTTGGAGACTTTACTGCCCAAAAGTGTGAGATCCACACTGCTCAAAGACTGTATATTTCTGAGAAAGATTTCAAATTTGGCTGTCGACTATGTGCATGATATAAAATGCAAAGTCTTTTTTCCCTTTAGATTTTTTCTTAAATAAAGTAAAGGTGGCCCTGTGAAAATGACTCTGAATTATGAGGAAGATATCAAATTAGGCTGCTATGACTTGCATTTTGTGTGGATGGTAAAATCTCAATCTTCTTTTTTTTTTTCCCTTTGTATTTTTTTAAACTAAAAAAAAAAATATACATGCAATAATGTCTTCACATATTTTATTTTTTAAGATTCCCACATGTGTTACAGAAGTTAGAATCCTTAACAAAATTTTAATTTGTTTTTAACATTCCTTCGATGTGTATATTCCAAATTTTTAAATCTGAACTGCAATCTTTATCCACTTTAATTCCCTCATAATAATACGCTACTTCAGGTAAAGATGATGAGTTTGCTAAAGTCAGATTTGTGAACCTGTATAAATACTTGTGAACCTGTTTTCTCCTTCGTTCACTTCAAAGAGCATCTTAAAAGTTGCTACAATGGTGGAAAAGCAGAGGGTATGTGTTACTGGTTCAGGAGGATATATCGCTTCATGGCTCGTCAAGTCTCTTCTCTCCCGTGGCTACACTGTCCATGGAACCGTCCGAGATCCTTGTAAGGAGATATCTCATCGTTTTCGTCTACTTTGGGAACCTTTTGACTATTCTCTGTTTCTTGATGTTCCATGCATTGATTCATTGTTATCAGGTGATGAAAAGAACAATCATTTGAAGAAATTGGATTATGCTTCAAAGAATCTGAAGCTTTTCAAGGCAGATTTGTATGATTACGAAGGTCTTTCTTCAGCCATTTCTGGTTGCTCTGGCGTTTTCCATATCGCTGGTCGTGTGCCTTTTGAAGGGGTTCCTATCACAGAGGCAAGTCCTTAAAATGTTTCTTTCATCTTCTTTTCTTTGTTTCTTTCTTGAATCACTAAACGGCTTTGGATCTTCAAAAAACATTCAGGAAGAACTGATTAAACCAGCTCTCACTGGCACCAAAACCGTTCTAGAAGCATGCGCAGAGGCTAAAGTGAAGAAAGTTGTGGTTGTATCATCAATTTCTGCAGCTGTTTACAACCCAAAATGGCCTAGAGATGTTGCCATGGACGAGGATTCTTGGTCAGACACTCAATACCTTCACTCACTTGAGGTATTGTATCTTTGAAGCCAGCATCACATATGGTCATATGAATCTGTTTTTTTTTTTAATATATAAACCAAAGACAGTAAATGAACATTTGTAAATGAACATTTGTGCTTCTTCATGATCTCAGGGTTATTGGCCTTATTACTATCTTGCCAAAACATTAATGGAACGTGAAGCATTAGAGTGGAGCAAGAAAAGCTTAGCTGATGTTGTTACGGTCTTGCCCTCTGTCACGATAGGCCCTAGGCTTCAATCAACGCTTAACTCTAGTAGCTTGGGACTTCTCAAATTCATAAAAGGTGTTTGTACAATATGTTTCTTCTAATATTTACGTATCTTGGTTTAAGTGATTTGCTCTTGAAATGTTCGATGAAACCGGTCTGTCTCAGGCGGTATAAAGTCATTGTTGAGTGATCAACTGTATCTTGTGGATGTGCGTGATGTTGCGGATGCGCTTTTGTTGGTGTATGAAAATCCAGAAGCCAAAGGAAGATACATATGCAATTCTCATTCACTTCACAACAATTCTCTTGTTACGAAGGTGAAGAACATGTATCCTAACCGCAACTTCCCTGAAAGGTAAGTGTAGAAAAAACCGGTTTTCTTTCAAGCAAACGTTTGAGATTCCGGTTTGATCTGATCAAAAACGTATAATGGCAGCTTCACTGAGATAAAAGAGAAGGAGGTGAATGGAGAGATGATGCTTCGACTAAGTTCAAAGAAGTTGCAGAATTTGGGGTGGAAGTTTAGGCCATTAGAAGAAACCATTGATGATTCTGTTGTGAGCTTTGAAGTTGCTGGTGATCTTCCATAGTGAAAGAAGATAGTCTTCTTCTTCACTTTGTTATTTACTCTTTGAAATAAAGTGAATTTCATGAAAATGGTCTTTGGAAAAATCAGACTTTTTGTTATCACTTTCACAATTATATGAATAATTTGATGGAACATTTTAGATTCTCTTTTATCTAAAAACAAATATGGTTTTTAGTGGATTTGAATTCAACCACTAGACTGTGAAATGTTCGCGGCAAAGTTAAAAACCAAATTAATTATGTCGTTATAGCTTTGTAGTCTATGTAGTATTATACATAAACACTAGTTACGATTTCTTAACTTCTTTGACATTAGACCACACAATTGTGGTTTTTTTTTTAAATGAGTCACGAGCTCAAGAATCCCTAGCCGTTGATTCGGGATTTTCCGAGGATTAGGATTCATCTACATCGTCCAAAATCGATAAATGATGGCAAAGTTCTTTTTTTTTTCATTGCTGTTTAATCTACCCGTGAGTAGAATTTGATCTCCCTCCCTTTTTTTGTTTTGGCATCATCATCTCAATTCTAAAGGATATTAATCAATCAACACATAAAGTTAGATGTTTTTTTTTCCTTCGCACCAAAATCAAATTACTTAACGCATAAATTTGATAAGACAACACAGAGATCGATATTAATTACAACGTTAATCACACAATTAGAGTATAAATGTATGGGTCCCACGTCATTTACAATGGCCAAAATCAAAAGTGTCTCTCTCTCTCTCTCTCTCTCTTCTTCAACAAATCACGCACCATCATCATCATCATCATCAACAACTTCTTCATCATCACCATCAATGGAATTCCCCAAACTAAACCTCCCTTTCCTTAAATCGATTCATCTTTCTTCCTTCCTTTGTTTTTTTTAATGTTATTTTGCTTCAATTTTTTCTCCAGAATTTCGAATTCGTCTCTGTAGCTTCGTTTTTGTTTATAATTTGTTTTTTTTTCCTTTTCTTTTGAGTGATCCTGCTGTACAGAAACCCTAATTCCACCCACCGACTTCGTCCTCTTGTCTGGCCCATACTAAAACCCACACTGCTTTTGCTTTTCTTTTCTTTTTTTTTTTCCCGGGAAACTTGATCTCTTTTCCTCCTTTCGTCATTATTAGTAGGGAATGATCTTTTAGGTTTTTGATTTTCCCCGATCTCGCTTTTTTGGTTTTCACCATCTCCGAGTAAACCCTAGAATCTTCCGTTCTAATTCGATGCATTCTATAGGTTTCATCTCTACGGTTTTCACTGGGCTTAATCATTGTAATTATGTCTAGGGTTTACTCGGTCACCTTTATCATCACTTAGAAGTTGATCCCTTGTCCATAATTCGTCCTTTTTTTCTCTTTCTTTCCTTCGTTGGGATAAAGTTTCCATTTTTAATCCTCTTCTCTTTCCTTCTCCCTTCTACTCTGTAATCATGGCGTATCAATCGGCTCCGGGTTCTGGGTTTCACTACTTGAACTCCCCTTTCGGAGATACAACCTTCACAAAGGTATTCGTCGGTGGCCTTGCTTGGGAGACTCAAAGTGAAACCCTTCGTCGGCATTTCGATCAGTACGGTGAAATCCTTGAAGCTGTCGTCATTGCTGATAAGAACACTGGCCGATCCAAAGGATACGGTTTTGTGAGTCTCCTCTTCTCCTTCATTCTTTGTTGCTTGCTTATAATGACATCTTCCTCTGTCTCTAGTGATGCTAAAATGTTGCTTTAGAGATACAATTTTGATATATCAGTGCCATTGGCTTTAGGCTCATAGATGGTGTGAACTAATCACAGAACGTAGAAAGTCATTAGTCTTGGTGTAATCATGTTGTCGTCATTTTGTGATTGCCTTTTTAGTTTTGACTTTTATCAAGTTTGTAGAATGACTCAGTGCTCTGTTTCTGTTTCATGTGGGAGGATTTAGGTGACTTTTAGAGATCCAGAAGCTGCTAGGAGAGCTTGTGCTGACCCAACTCCGATTATAGATGGTAGACGTGCAAACTGTAATCTTGCTTCCCTCGGGAGGCCTCGGCCTCCATTGCCCTACGCGCTGGTACCTAACATGCCTGGTCAGTCTTACTGCAACACTCATCCATGCCCCTTTCTCTCATTGGGACTGGTTTGTCTAATGTTTATGTGTTGTGGTGGATCATTGCTGCTGTTAGATTACCTGTAATTTTAGTGCATTGGTGGTTTTTTCTTTGGTTAGGACGCTTAAGACCTGCTTCCCCGTACATTGGAAATGTGCAGGGTCCTCGTGGTTCGGTTTTCGGAAGCTATCCGTATCAGCAACCACTCCCATATAACTACCAGCAAGGAATTGTGTATCCTTATGGGTGAGTCATGCACTCTGATATCACACATTGCACTTAACGTCTTTGCCTCAAGTGTCTCTTGTTCATTAATGTGCTTCTAATGTTTGTTTTATTTTGTGTCTCAGGGTAACGGCATATGGACCCGAGTACATGTACGCACAGTCACAGGTTGAAATATTGGCTCTCAACAGTTTAAGTCTTGGTTTCTCTCGGTATTGTTATATCTTATCTCATTTCATGGTTCAGGGTTTATATGGTCCATACATGGGGCAGCAGTACCTTCAGGTCTACGGAGTACCTGGTGCAGTGAATTCGCCAGTTTATCAATACGGTCAAGTAAACCAGAGTATTCCCAGTGGCCACGGTTATACGGCAATTCAAGGGTATTCGGTACCAGGAAGCCATGTTCTTCAGCTTGGTGGGCCAACCGCCAGTGCGATGACCACTTCATCTCTGTCTGTTCTTCAAGCTCCATACCCTTCAGGTGCATTTTACTGTCTTACGCGTCATAACCTTGTATACCCTTTCAATGTTCAAATGTACTGGCTTCTTTGTTACTATCATTATGGAAAAGCCAAGTTTAAGTACAATTAGGTTATGTCCTCCTTTGAATGTTTTTCAGGCCCTGCACCAGTACAGTCGCATATCATTGTCCATTCCCCTCAATTTATGCAGAGTAGCGGCGGTTCTGACCAAACAACAAGGTGAAGATCGATTCAGTGGTTTCTTTATTTTAGGTTTAAGTATGCGGATTTTTATTTTTCCATAACGTATATGGTAGTAATGGATTTCAGCTATCCTTGAAGACTGAGGAGAAAGGAAGTTAAGGGGTAGCGAAATTGCTATTCAAGGTGGCAGCAGAGGCTTCCTGTTTTATTAAGTCTTGCACGTTATTTATCTTGCATCCTAAAGGTATGTGACTGTAAATGACTAAATGGCATCATCATAATGCCTTGGCCTTGATCTCATTAACGTCAAGATCTTATGGCGCTACAGGTTATATTTAAAGTAGTCTTGCTCACTTGGAGGGCGCAGAAGGAAACGAGAAAAGGAAATTGGAGTTTCAGGGTTTGTGCTTCCGTTTTCTTACCCATCCGTCAATGTGTATATCTAAACACAGCCATACAAATGCTGTTGGGTCGAGCTCGGGTTGAGTTTGCAGGCACTCTTAACGGTTTACCCTCGGAGGTAATAAGTTGGGTGTACAATATGCATATATATATACACATACACAAGCATATACATATGGTAGAATCAAAATCTGATTCTTTTTTAGTCTAAAGTCGTAATACTACTGCACTTCCTTCAGGTATAGGAGTGTAGTTGTATAACACTCATAGGTGTATAGCCTTTGTCCCAAGTCCTGCATTGTAAATAAAACATGTCCATGTTCTTTTCTGTCACTGCATATATATATCCTTAAGTTGTGTAGGGTTTCTCTCTTCTTCTATGTCTGAAGAATTGTAATCCGAAGCTTACTTTATGGAGTCAGTGTTTTTTTATCTCAGAATTTGATTGGAAAAAAAGTGATTGGTAAGTAAACAAAATATTTGATCAATGTAAGGAGTGAACAGATCAATTTGTTTTCGGTGATAGTTATGAATGACGTTCTCATATGAATTTGAAAGACTTGACTGCCTGCGAAAACAGAGAAAGAAAAAATCGTAAGCAACAGGTCCTGGTGAAAAATCTTTCATCGTTGTTGTTGTGTCGACTCTTCGTACCTTCTGGATCTTGGAGCTTTGTTCAGCGGATTCTCCATCTGTACACTGTTATGACCATAGAGGTTCATATGACCATAGAGGTTCATTGTATTAGACAAAGAAGAAACCAATCAGGGAGAATACCTTAGAATTTGGACAAGACTTACCTGCCCTGTGACAGTGTATAAACGGTTGTACCAACCGTTTGTAGCCATTCCAATTGCAGAGTACAAATGCTTACGAGCTTCTCCAGGGTTTTGTAAGGTGTACTCGATGTAATAGAACCCTGGTCATAGATCCAATTTACATAAACAAACAAAGCAGAAACAATCAGAGATTTTTTTCACTAAATTTTATCTTTTTACCCTTAGAAGATCTGCTATCGACTAGCTTTGCAGTCACTCCTGCTGGTTTCTGCCAGCTTCTATCCAATCCACTGACCTATAAACATATATGCCAATTCCAAGAAAAAAATTAAGGATCTCTTTTTGGAAAGAGAGTTTGTTTTTGCATTGTTCAGCAAATTTGGAGAGAGACTTAACCAGTGTCTCGGCGAAAGCTTCGACCTTTCCAAAAGATTCCATCCGAGTGAAATCCGGACCTAGTCCAGTGATCGCTACGCTCACTGAGACGACAAAACCATGTTCACAAATCAGCTATAGCTCATGCTTTCTGAACAAAGGAAAGAAAAAACAACTGATAATATTATTACCATTGTAAGTTGAAGTTTCTTCAGGGTAAAATGCTGTGATCGACTTGAATCCGTTGGGTTCTGCTTGCCCGATTTGCCAGTCTTTTGCGTGTAATGCAATCGGATTCATTAGTCGATCATGATTTGGAATAAATATATCAAAACAGGGTTTGACTAGTTTTACCTTGCGGAATTGATATCTCGAATTTGTTTGCTTCATCTGTGTACACACGGAAAGTTTCTGACGCATCTGAGAAAGGAATGAAAGAAAGGAGAGAGAGTTTGGCTTTATTAGCTTCTACACACTCTCACGGAATCAACATGAAAACGAGCTTGAATCGACAATACTTGTCTCTGCAACCGCAAATGCAGGTGAAATGGTCAATGGAAGGAAGAAAGCAGAGGAAGCTATCTGTAACATGACTCCCCTTCTCTTCATCGAAACATGATCTCTAGAACAACTGTTAACATAAGAATTACAAAGACCGAGACTTTTAATCAGATTCAGAATAAACCCAGATAATGAAATTGAAAAGTAGTGACTTTCATGGGGACATTAATAGAGTCTTACGAAATTTGATGTTCTTCCTCGTCGGAACGTTTGAGAGCAGAGATGACAGCAGGAATTGGTGTACATCTTCTGGAACCTGGAAAGAATTGGCTCCAGGAAAATGAATTTTGTACAAGAACGGCGATGAAATAGTGAAGTGACAGAGAGAGAGAGAGAGAGAGAGAGAGAGGACCTGTAGTAATATAACGAGTCGAAACGCGGGGATTCGAAAAGCTCTGCGGAGAAGAAAACCATGGAGAAATTGCTGCCATGTGTTTCAAGATATGTCCGCTTCTTAGAGAAATCTATCGCCGTTTGGTGTTTCCGTTTCGTGTTTCTGCTTTTTTTTTAGTTTTTTTTAATTCTAAATTATATTTTGCTTTGAAAAAAAAATATTAATTTGATCATATATTTTATAATTTATTAGTAATTTGAAATCTATAATAAAATTTTTAAAATTTTTTATGCACGATGGCAAGTTAGTTCTTGTTAAACTTAAAATAAAAAAAATTAATTTAATTATTTTATTTTCCATATTTTTCTATAAAAAGTGTGTTTTAAATAAATAGTCATTTAATAACTAGTTAAAAATATTAAATATAAATCATTTTTTAAAAATAAATTGATAGTTATAAATCGATTTGATAGAAAAAAAAATCAAATAATTAAAATATAAATAAAAATAGAAACAGCACACAAGCCGATATAGAGAGATATACGAATGTATTCCGACCCACCTACGAAAATTTTATGCAATAATTTTTTTTGTTGCCTTAACGGGACTGCAGCCCCCACAGTCCTTTTGTCTGGTCTCTTTTTAACGCGACTCTTTGGGTTTTTTAGTGTTTTACTATTTTTTTTCATTTCAGGAAGAAAAACAAAAAACAAAATATGATTTGTTTTTCAAAAGTTGCGCTAGCGAGGCCCAAAATGTCTAATGGGCCTAAGGGCAGGTATAACATTTCGAGTTGATTTTTAATGAATTTTATAAATGATTTAAAGGGATATTACTCAATCAAGTATTTTAGGGTTAGAAGTTATTTTAAGGTTTCTTGTCCTAGAGTTTTTGTTATTATGCTTTTAAAGTTTTCTGGTGTCACTCAATCATTGTGTTTGAAAAGATTTGTCCCTTGTAATGTCACTGTCGAATAAACTCATAAGATTAACGACACATCATGAATAACTCTGTATCCAACCTGTACAGAGTTATTTATCTCGAAAAAAATGATTGTTTAGTAAACAAATGATATACGCTGTTTAGTGCCATTTTTAGCATTTATGTTTCCGAAGATGATTTTGAATTGGTGTTCGAGAGATATGTTTTGTCATCTCATGTGACCGCATTGGTACTCTCTTTTGATGGGTTTTCTGAAATAGTCGGAAAGATATAGTTTTGTTTTTTTTTTCCTTTTTCTGTTTTACTTACTGGTTTTTTGTTTTCAATTAGAACATGTTCTACGCAAAGCCTGATGACACGCTAGTACTTCCACACCATGCTCCTAGTTGGTGTCGGTAAGGATGCTGAAGGACGTATAATCTTCTGGAAATTCCAGGAATCAGGTGGGACCAATGTTGGTGACAAGGGCTTCTTCAGAGTGGCTGCTAGCTAAGGATATGAAAGAGAGTTCCCTGTTTTTCCTTATTGATTTTCTATGATGGGGATCTTCCATAGTGAAAGAAGAGAGGCTTCTAACACTTTTGTTATTTACTCTTTGGAAAAAATGAAACTTTTGGTGTTCTTTTGGTAATAAATCATGTTTAAGATCACACATTCTCAAATTTTAGTGTTCTTTTGGTAATAAGTTGGGTAAGATGAAAGGTTGAATAAAAGGATCAAGCTTTTACATTTATATACACCTTAATTAATATGCATATGCATCGAGTAAAACATGATGAAAAAACTGAAAGAGCCAAAAATAAAAGTTGATTACCAAACGTCAAAAAGCAAAGAAAATTTAAATTACATATTACATTTGACTCATACACAATGACACTAATGTTTGAATAAATATTTCCATACAACAATATCAACACATTTTTTTAGTTATAAGCTTTATGTGAATGAGTAGATTATTCTTATCATTTAACGTTTCTAAAATGATATTAATCATAATAAGTACATGAATCATGGTTTAAACTTTAAACCTGCATGACGAATGAGTCAGTTAAAAGACCTTCTCGTGTTGTTGGTCGTTGCTTCACTTCCTTGGCTCTTTTCAAAAGCAAACCAAGCGAGAAAGTAGCGAGAAGCAGCGTCCGCCAAAACCAAGCCTTTGCATTCATCGGATCCACTCTCCGAGCAAGCCACAACGCATAAACCGCTTCACTCACGTGCACCGTAACCACAATCCCAGACGCTATCCGCAACACCAACATGGACCTGAAAATAAACAGCGCAATGACTCGAAGGAACGGTACGGGTCCAATGTCCGGAAGCCATGCGACCGATAGAATGGCAGGCAGTCCGATCACACAGAAAAGCCAAGCGTAAATGCTCGGTCCATCAACCTCTCTCCTCTTCTTCTCTTTAAAATATGAAATGGTTTCGGTCATAGCTTCTTCGGGTTGTGTCTTGGGCTCGTACCCGATTTCCTCCTTGGCTTTCTCTATCGAGTAGTAATGAGTCACCCCGACCTATTCCATTAAAAAACAAAAACGTTATAAGCTTGTTAAGAAAATCCGTTCTTCTTCTTTTTAATAGATTATTCTCTAGTGTCATCATCAAGGGTAATCTCTAACAAACCTTGTAAACTTCCGGTGGGAGAATCAATGGCTGTGGAATCCACCTTTGGTTCAGCAACGGTGATAGCATTATGTATACTGCTTTGCATATGTTTCCGAGTGAAACCGCAAGTGGAATAGATAGGGATGACTTGGGCAGGTCATAATCTAAATTCTTCAATAGTGGCTGGAGAAACTCGAAGAAGTTCATCGGATTACCTGCGATAAAACAAACATCAAGAATCGTCCTGGAAATAAATTGATCAAAAGAAAGTATGTATGAAAAAAAGTTTGAGAGTGAATTTTTTTTTAGTATATTACCATCAGAAACAAAGTAGGCCTTCCCGGCAGCTTTCGAGTGTTCAGAGAGTAAACCGGTGGTCGCTAACATGAGCGCGAGTACAATATTATCCACGTAAATCCAGTCGGTTTTCGAGTTTGGATCACCAATTTTGAAGAGGAATAAACCCAATCTTGCATCAGAGATTATTCTATCAAGATACTTCTCTTCACCCGGCCCATAAACAAGTGGACAACGAATCGCGCACGTAGACAAAACACTTTCATGTCCATTCCTATAATAACCCCCATTAGCATATTTATCAAACGTTAGCGTTACCATGTTCTCATTTATTTCCCTAAGTTAGGGGATTTATAACATTGTAAACAACAACATATATTGAGTTTTCACTTACTCAACAGTACGACCGTTGTTCTTCAAAACCAACTGTTCGGCAATAGATTTAGTCTGATCATATGGACCGACGTATTGTTTTGAAGCTAGATAAGGGAGAGCTTCATCACCGTTCTCAATCTCATTCCCACCAAAAACTACACCGTTTGAGCTCAAATACACTAACCTCGTGATCCCTTTCTTCACGCATGTTTCCAAAACGTTACGCGTCCCTTCCACGTTGACTTTCTCGATCCGACGAGTCCGCACCATTTCCTTACCGGAGCCACCGTACGAAGCAAGATGAATAACACAGTCTACTCCGTCAAGAGCCTCTTCTACGCCCGTTCTACTCGCAACATCTCCTGACATATATATATTGGGAACAAAGTATATGATTAGCACATTTGATATAAATTAGATCTAACGACAAACAACATACCATCAATTGGTTTTGAGTTAGAAATATGATTTCAAAAATATCTGTGGATATAGCTAGAGAGTTATATCAATTTTGATACCGTATATGCAGTGAACGCCGGATTCTTTGAGACGATCGGACCAAGGAGAAGTGGTGCGGCAGTCGAAGGAACGGACTTGAAGAGCACCACGGCGGAGCAGCTCAAGGCACACGGCGGAGCCAACTAAACCCAACCCACCGGTCACGGCTACAACTTTGCCTTGTATTCCTCTGTTCTCTACTTCAATCGTCTCCATTTTTTGGGTTCAAACGACGACGAGGTTCTTGTGCTTAACGTACGCCTTCATAATCAACGAAGAGTTCAGTATATAAATTAAGGACTGGGATATTGAGTTAATGGCATATGCTATATATAAACAAAAAATATATTTATGAAGGCGTACGTTAAGCACAAGAACCTCGTCGTCGTTTGAATCACGTGCGCCAGCGAGATCACGTAGCGTTGATTGATCACGACGATAAAGTTAACATGTTCATTTAGAATCAACATCCGCAAGTTATGCAACACGTTAAATACCATTTATTGAAGTTAAACTTGATTTTGGGTTAAGCTTAATTTTGGGTTTATAAAATAATTATTAGTTATTAGATTAGGCCCAAAATTAAGCTCAAGTTCTAGAATCTCTAGAAACATCACTAAAAATTATCATCTTTCTTAAATGTTCTAGAGAATTCTATTAGTTAAATATCTAGATAATTCTATAGATAATTCTAGATGTTGTAGTTAAAATTCTAGATATTATTGTAGAAAATTCTAGAGATTAGGAGAATGTTTGTAAGATATTTTGTAATAAGTGGAGCCTATAAATAGCCCACTACTCCATCATTTGTAAACAAGAGAAGTTGAACAAATAAAGAAAGAGTGTTCTTCATAAGTTCTCTTATTCTCTCTAAAGTTCCTTCAAGTTTTCTCTAAGTATTCTTTCATCTTATTATTCATACTTAGAGGGTCTTTGTTTCTTTCGGATCTCTCGGGTATTACGGTCTTGGGCTAGTGCTTGGCACTATCGGTGTTTTCTTTATATGGTATCAGAGCCATTCTGATCTGGTTCTTTTTCAAGATCGGATTAATTGAGATCTCAGATTTACTCTAAGTATGGAGTCAATGGGCCGCGTTGTTGGGTTGGGAATGGAGATTCTAAACCAATCCAATTACCGGTTATGGAAGTCATGCATGGAGTCATACTTGGTGAGTGAGGACTTATGGGATGTCGTCGGCGGCAGTAGCACAACACCACCAAGGGGAGCTGCTGCGACAGCGGAAGCGACAAAGGAGTGGACACGGAAGAATGCCAAGGCGGAGTTTGCATTGAAGAGGTCAATATCCTCGGGAGTCTTTGAGCATGTCTCAAGTTGCACATCCGCTAGTTCCATTTGGCAGGCGTTAGATCAGTTGTTCAACAAGAAGAATGAAGCTCGGCTACAACTGTTAGAGAACGAGTTGGCGAATGCAAAGCAGGGGGAGTCTTCAATCTCAGAGTTTTTCATCAAGGTAAAGAATCTTCGCTCAGAGATTAATACTCTAAATCCGGAGGAGTCAATTTCCGAAGCACGTTTAAAACGGTATATTATTCGAGGTCTACGACCTGAGTATACACCGTTTGTGACTTCGGTTCAAGGATGGGCTACACAACCTTCCTTGGAGGAGTTCGAGAACCTGCTAGCTTCGCAAGAGTCATTAGCTACGCAAATAGCAGGAGTCAAAATCCATGATGACTCGGGGAGCGCCTTTGTAGCTCGGAAGCAACACAACTTCAAAGCCAAATCCAAATACGATGGTGCAAAGAACATCGATGGACCGGAAGGATCTTCTACTGGAGATAAGAAGCGATTCAAGTGCTACCGGTGTGGAAAGCTTGGGCACTTCAAAAAAGATTGTCGAGTCAAGCTGAAGGAGACAAATATGGCAGAATCAAAAGGTCATATTGAAGACGAAGAATGGGGGAAATGCTTCACGGTGGAGGCTGCATCTTCAGGTATATCCACAACTAAAAATCTTGAAAATGATTGGATTGTGGATTCGGGTTGTAGCCACCATATTACCGGAGACGAGAAGCTATTTTCTAGTCTTCAGCGCCATGATGGAAAAGAAGCCATAATTACCGCGGATAATTCAGTTCACCGGGTCGAGAAGGAAGGGACTGTTGTCATTGAAGGAGAAGATGGAAGCCCTATCACCCTCAAGAATGTATACCATGTCCCTGGAGTAAGGAAGAATCTTCTCTCTGTGGTGAATGCAGTAGACTCAGGTAACTACGTTTTATTTGGCCCAAGAGACGTCAAATTCTTGAAGAATATTAAAGAGTTAAAGGCGGATGTGGTTCACACCGGATCGCGGGTTAATGATCTATATGTCTTATCTGCGTCCAACTCATACGTGGAGAAGATGAGTACAAACGACAATGCCTCTATATGGCATGCTCGGCTTGGTCATATAAACATGACTAAGCTAAAGGTTATGGTGAATAAGGAGTTGGTAAATGGGCTTCCGAAGCTGAAGATCCAAGATGAAGGAAAGCTTTGTGAAGGTTGTCAATATGGAAAATCACATAGACTTCCATTTGACAATTCTACTTCACGGTGCAGTGCTCTGTTGGAGAGGATTCATAGTGATTTGATGGGTCCTACAAGAACACCCTCATATTCCGGGTTTCGGTACATGTTGCTGTTCATTGATGACTTCTCACGGCACACTTGGGTATACTTTGTGAAGAAAAAATCAGAAGTATTCTCCAAATTTCAAGAATTCAAGGTTACCGTGGAAGGGGAGTTGGGTCGGAGAATCAAGACCTTAAGGACAGATAATGGAGGGGAGTTCATGTCCAAGGAGTTTCTCTCTTTTTGTCAAAAGCATGGAATAAAGAGAGAGTTTACTTGTCCGTATACACCTCAACAAATGGAGTAGCGGAAAGGAAGATTCGACATCTAACTGAGACGTGCAGAAGCTGGCTATATGGGAAGGATCTGCCTAAAGCCTTGTGGGCGGAAGGCATGAGATGCGCAGTGTACGTCATAAATCGGATGCCACTCAGCCCAAATAACATGAAGTCTCCGTATGAGATGATTCATGGGAAGAAGCCGTCAGTGAAACATCTCAGGATATTTGGATCAGTCTGCTACGTCCATGTGTTTGATTCTCAAAGAACCAAGTTGGAGGCAAAGGCGAAGAAGTGCATCTTCGTTGGCTATGACGAACAAAGAAAAGGGTGGAGGTGTATGGATCCAGAGACACACAGGTACGTAGTGTCTCGAGATGTTGTTTTTGATGAAGTTTCCTCATTCTATGGGCCACCTCAAGTTTTAGTTGAGCAAGAAGGTGGGAGTTCCTCCAAGAGTGATAAACCAGCTCTGAGTAAGGAAAAAGGTCCTGAAGAAGAGATGCAAGGTGAAAGGGGGAGCACTGATCAAGAGGAGGATGAGGAGGAACATCATGGTTCCACGGCTAGTCAAAGGCCTAAAAGGGACATCATTAAACCTGCTCGGTTCAGAGATCCAAAGTTTGTTACTACCTTCTCGTGCTACTTTGCAGCTCCATTAGATGAAGATGAGCCAACATCTTATGATGAAGCAAAAGGTGTTGACGAGTGGGAAAACGCAATGAAGGAGGAGATGAATGCTCTCATGAAGAACGAAACTTGGGATTTGGTTCCAAAACCCAAGAATGCCCAACCTGTTTCTTGTAAATGGGTGTACCGGATCAAGCGCAAAACAGATGGAAGCGTTGATAGATTCAAAGCAAGGTTGGTTGCTCGGGGATTCTCTCAAAAGTATGGAGAAGACTATGATGAGACCTTCAGCCCTGTAGCCAAGATGACTACGGTACGTTCTCTCTTATCTTTGGCTGCAAGTTTTGGTTGGAAGTTATGGCAATTAGACGTGAAGAATGCTTTTCTATATGGAGAGCTTGACAAGAAAATCCTGATGGAGCAGCCACTTGGTTTTATATCACGAGAGCATCTTGATTATGTGTGTAAGCTGAAGAAGGCCTTGTATGGGTTAAAACAAGCTCCACGAGCCTGGTATGGAAAGCTTGCTCAGTTTCTTCAGTTCTGCGGTTATGTGGCATCAAACTCTGATCCGAGTCTATTCTTCAAGAAGAATGGAGGAGTCCACGTGGTAGTTCTCCTTTACGTGGATGATATGATAATTACCGGGAATGATGATGCAGAAATTACTCGTTTACAAGAGGATATGTCGATAAGGTTTGAGATGAAGAAGTTGGGAGAGCTCAACAACTTTCTCGGTTTGGAGGTGGAAAGGGTAAAGGGTGGAATATTCATCGGCCAACAAAGCTATGCAAGAAGAATCGTTGAGAAGTTTGGAGTACACGAAGGAAAGACACGCTCTACTCCAATGGATGTCAACATAAAGCTTAAACGCGATGAAGGGTCCTTACTACCTGATCCTCGGCCTTATCGCTCTCTTGTAGGAAGTCTTTTATACTTAACCATTACAAGACCTGACATTGCCTTCGCGGTAGGTCTTGTAAGTCGGTTTATGCAGGCACCAAGGAAGCCACATCTAGAAGCGGCAAAGAAGATATTGAAGTATGTGAAGACAACTCTTGGCATGGGTCTGGTGTACAAGTATAATGCCAAGGTCTCTCTTTATGGCTTCACGGATGCTGACTTTGGTGGAGATCTTGATGATCGGAAATCAACTTCAGGCTATGTTTTCCTATGTGGGAACACAAGTGTCTCATGGTGCATTAAGAAGCAAGCAACGGTGTCGTTATCTACAACTGAAGCAGAGTATAAAGCGTCAACTCTAGCAGCTCAAGAGTGTATTTGGCTTCAGAGACTCCTTGAAGATCTGTTCGAGCCAATCAATAAGCCAATTGCAATTTATGGAGATAATCAAAGTGCGATCAAGCTGGCTAATAATCCGGTGTTCCATGGGAGGACTAAACACATTGAGTTAGAGCATCACTTCATAAAAGAGAAGGTGCTTGATGGGACAATTGAAGCTTTGGAAGTTCGAAGCGAGGACAACGTTGCGGATATCTTCACCAAGTCATTATCAAAAGGTCAGTTCGAGTTACTTCGCTCGAAGCTCGGGATGACTGACAAAATCAAGTTTAAAGGGGAGTATTGAAGTTAAACTTGATTTTGGGTTAAGCTTAATTTTGGGTTTATAAAATAATTATTAGTTATTAGATTAGGCCCAAAATTAAGCTCAAGTTCTAGAATCTCTAGAAACATCACTAAAAATCATCATCTTTCTTAAATGTTCTAGAGAATTCTATTAGTTAAATATCTAGATAATTCTATAGATAATTCTAGATGTTGTAGTTAAAATTCTAGATATTATTGTAGAAAATTCTAGAGATTAGGAGAATGTTTGTAAGATATTTTGTAATAAGTGGAGCCTATAAATAGCCCACTACTCCATCATTTGTAAACAAGAGAAGTTGAACAAATAAAGAAAGAGTGTTCTTCATAAGTTCTCTTATTCTCTCTAAAGTTCCTTCAAGTTTTCTCTAAGTATTCTTTCATCTTATTATTCATACTTAGAGGGTCTTTGTTTCTTTCGGATCTCTCGGGTATTACGGTCTTGGGCTAGTGCTTGGCACTATCGGTGTTTTCTTTACACCATTTTTTGTTAATCAGCCAACGACAAAACCGATATAATAAGTTGTATGTTGAAGGTTTTCGAATCTTGATAATACAGTTACTTAGAACATGCAACACGCATATTAGCAATGACTTGGATTATATGAATTTTTTTTGGATCCGTGTTGTTGTTTTATAAACTCCAAATGACTGGTTGATTTATTTATTAAAAGACGATTTTTCTTTTTTAATTAAACAATAGCAAATGTGGGTAATTTGGTTACAGGAATTCTTAGTCAGCTTGGTCAACAAAGTCTTAACACGTGGCTTCCTTAGAGTGGTTACTTTGACTGGTCCTAATCCAGCGACTCAACAAAATTAACCACTTCTTTAGAGTTACATTGAAAACGTATCATAGAGAGTTTCAAATGCAGATTCTAAATAATTAAAAAATTAAAAAAATTGAAAAGGAAGAGAAGGAGGAGAGATACTTCTCCTATTAGAGTTTTTAGAAGCGAACTCTCACCACTTGGCAGCATTTAATTTATTTATCTTTTAAAAACAAAATAAAATTTAATCAAATAATATTATTATACTAAAATATTATATAAATAAAGATCAGAAGCCCATTTTTTATAACTCACCGTTGGAGGTGGTCTAAGAAACCCAAATTTTCAGATCAGAAAGATGAATTCCTCAAAGTTAATATTGCATGCACATATATATTCCCTAGCCAAAAACCATGTGCTTTAGGAATGAAGTCTTATTTAGGCGCGGAATATCTATAGTGCATGAAAGAAAATTTGATTTATGTCTATCAAATTCAAATTTGAATTCATTCTTGTGCAAGCGCAAGACAAAATTTGAAATTCTATAAGATTAAATTCTGTTGTTGTCAATAGGTATAAATCAACTACTTTGAGTTAAAGGCTTATATTTGATTTCAGCTTGAATTTTTTGATAATTGAGCATTAGTTATTACCAAAAAATGGTCGATTGTATTCGTTGAATGGTAATCATTAAAATTTTGATTAAACTTTTTATTATATTCTAATAGAAAATAAATCTCAATATTTAGTAATGAATTTCTGACGAAAATATAAATTTGATCACAAATTAGTAGAGAAACTTTGATGAATAAAATTCATTAAAACTTGGATAAAAATTTCTGATCACTTTCTAACCAAAAACTTGGTTTAACCAAAGTTTTGTTTAAAAAATAGGTCAAAAAATGAAGCAATGAAGTTTTATCAGTCAGCATTTGGGGCTGAAAGATTCCTGTTGGATTAACGATGATATTAATCCTGGTCTTTTCCAACTTAGGCATGAATCGAAAAACTAACTAAACCCCACGGAAAACTGTTATAAGCTTTTTTAACTAATAAAAAAGAATGTTTAGAGTTTATAACAAACTGAGATTCAAAAAAATATTTAGAGATGCAAAATTATATTTACAAAATAGAGTAACTTACTTTAATCACAAAGCGAGACAAAAATTAAGATACACCGTACTGATCTTATTGGCTGAAAGAAGATTGTGAAACTTTTCAAGTTCCAAGAGTTTTTATCATTGAAAGACATGAAGGAAAAGAATAAAGTAAATAAAAATACAACTCTTTTTAACAGGAATAGAATAATGGAGATTTTTAGGGGTGTATTGGATTAGTAATTTGGATAAATCCAAATCTATAAAGTTTTTAATGAATTTAAAAATTTTAAATGATTTAAACAAATCATGCTTTCTAAAATCCTTCAAATACCATCATATAAAGTGAAATTTCAATATATGGATTTTTAATTCTAAATTATTTCTCAAATCATCTCAAATCATTTTTAAAAATAATTTATTACTAAAATCTCAATTTTCCAATAAGGCAACATTTTAATGAAATTGTACAAATGACTAATCTAATAACTTTGGATTTTAAATAATTTTTTCAAAATCTAAATTTAATAAGAAGGAATTTGGAAAAAAAATAAAATTATCCCAAATCATTAGAAAATAGGGTAATTTGGTTACAGGAAATTCTTAGTCAGCTTGGTCAACAAAGTCTAAAACACGTGGCTCCTTCAGAGTGGTTACTTTGACCAGTTATATGGCTTCCTCATCCAGCGACTCAACAAAATTCACCACCGGTAAGGTTATCGACTGACGACGGTCAACCTCTTCTGAAACGGAAGCTTCGCTGTCTCTCAACACCACCGGAACTCACCGGAGATCGATACGGTACGCCGCTCTGTTTTCGCTCTGTTGATCACCTTCTCGAATTACTTCGTTCTCGCCACTAAGAAATTTCCTGAGTTTCGAGGTTAGAGTGTAGATTAGGGTTATTTATTTTCTCCTTCACTTATTCTTCTCAGCTTCGATTTTGGTTTTTCAACTCAGAGCCTTTCTCTAAGGAGACGATTAGCTATCTCTATATCGCTGTTTATAGTCTAGGGTTTCAATCACACGATACCAAATTATGCCCAGCTAAAAAGGACGATTTCGAGAATTTTTCAGCAATTAAATTCGTAGAAACCTGATTGAGCTTTAGATTGAACACGACTGAGATTTGTACTATGAAAAACGCATTCTTCCAGATTTATCTCTCTGTGTGTTTATCTCCCATGCTTTCGCTTCTCGTGTCGTTTTTTTTTTTCAAGCTTTCGTTCATCATTTCATTATCATTATTCCAGAAACCTGATTATATCGTTATAATGATTGGAGTTTTAAAGTTTGGTTCATCAGAAGTGATACTCTTGTTCTTGGATCCAGCATCATTTGTGTGTTCTCTTGTAGAACAATGGGGTTGAAATGATTGAACTTGCTTCTTAGGATGGGGTTGAAATGATTGAACTTGGCCTCTTTGCTTACGTCTTCAAACATGACATATGCTTTGATTTGATTGTTTCGTTATCTTCTTCTTTTTCTTTACTCAATAGGTAAGGTTTGGATTCTATCCCTTGTGAAAGCACAGATCAACAACACCATGAACCATCAAGCTACTCATTCGAAAGTGATCTCACATGTATTCTTCACCGGTACTGCCAAGCAAGGCTCTGCTGGTCCGCCCATCGGTCTCGTCGACATTGGTGTGAGCGAAGCTGCCTACATCTTCAGAGTCTCTCTCCCAGGCATTGAGAAAAATCAAAGTAAGCTTTCACCTTTCTTTTTCCTCCAAACGTCCTTTCAATAGTAACACCAATTGTAATGTTGGATGATAGTCAAAAGAGCCGTCTCAATACAAAACTTCCTTTTCTACTTGTGCCACATGTTGAAACCAGAATGGATTTAGAGAAAAGTTGTAACTTTTATTCACAATCTGTGTATGAAAGAAATTGTGTGACCCACGAAATGCAACATTCTTATATGATCTTTGTGAATAGATAAGATCAAATGTGAGATCCAGAGGGAAGGGAGAGTATGCATACAAGGAGTAGTACCTGAGATTGCGATTCCAAGTGAAACAGGATGCTTATACAGGATGCAAGTGCAGCAGCTCTGCCCTCCGGGTCCGTTTTCGATCACGTTTAATCTTCCGGGACAAGTGGATCCTCGTTTGTTTTCTCCAAAGTTTAGGCCTGATGGGATCTTCGAAGTTGTTGTCGTCAAGCTCGGAGTAAGCATCCCAACTTCATAGTTTTCACCAAGTAGGATATTTTTCAAAGTGTTTTTGTGTACTTAGAAACATGTTCAGTTGTCCGATTTGTTAAGATGTGATTCGTCTGGAAAAAGAAAAAAAATTGTTAGATGTGAAAATGGTATGTTCGATCAATTCAATTTTTAACGTTTTCTATTGAAATTCTGGACTCTGTGTTTCGGATCACATCACTCAAAATTTTCCAAAATGTAAAAGGAGCTAAACAGAAAAGAACAAAAGAGAATCATAAAAATTGTTTTTTTAAAAAAAATCTTGAAATAAGCTTTTTGTGTTGTAAAATAGGGAATTTTTTTATAGTTTATAATCCGATTTTAGAAAATATGTTGGTGGAAGTCAACTAAAGAATGTGGACTCGATCAAGGTGTTCCTCGCAGTCAAAACAAAAGCATATTCCATAATCTCTCTCTCGAACAAAACTCTCTAAACAACATTAAAATGAAGAGACAGAGGTTTCAATTGTTGTCTGTTTTTGTATCCTCAAGAAACTTTCCAAAAAGAAAACCAAGTTTCCATTTAAGAACAATTCAACGATGCCGGCGGCGTTAAGAGTGTTATCGGCGTTAGATGCGGCGAGGATACAGTGGTACCATTTCAAGGCGATAATAGTCGCCGGAATGGGTCTCTTCACCGACGCATACGACCTCTTCTGTATAGCTCCGGTCATGAAAATGATCAGCCAAATCTATTACCACAAGGACTCAATCGGAACCGCTGTTCTCTCAACTTCCTACGCCATCGCCCTCCTCGGAACCGCCTTGGGTCAGCTCATCTTCGGCTACTTAGGCGACCGAGTCGGACGCCGCAAAGTCTACGGGCTCTGCCTTCTCATCATGGTTTTAAGCTCCTTCGGATGCGGATTCTCTGTCTGCACGACTCGCAGATCTTGCGTCATGGCGAGTTTAGGATTCTTCAGGTTTGTCCTCGGGATTGGGATCGGCGGCGATTACCCTCTCTCCGCCACGATCATGTCGGAATTCGCTAATAAAAGAACACGCGGAGCTTTTATCGCCGCCGTGTTCTCGATGCAGGGGCTTGGGATTTTGATGAGCTCCGCCGTAACGATGGCTGTGTGCGTGGCGTTTAAGAGCGCCGGAGAGGGGAGTTTGGAGAAAACAAGTGCGGCGGGGATGGAGACTTTGGCTCCGGCGGAATCGGATATTGCTTGGAGGTTGATTCTTATGATCGGTGCTCTTCCCGCCGCGATTACGTTCTACTGGCGAATGCTCATGCCTGAAACCGCCAGGTTCGGTTCAGTTAAACTCGATCTTTCTTCTTTTTTTTTCTCAAATTTTCAACAATTTTCTGGCGTCAAAATAAAACAAATATATTCGCGTGTGACATCTAAAAAAAATCAGTATTCTATCACTGTGTTACAATATAAAATAATTAAGTGCATCATCTATATACTATTTATGTCATTTTTTAGGGTCATTTTGTTCACCAATTTTTTTTTATCTTTTAATATCACCGAGATACAATGTAATTAATATATGCAGTATCTTGTGTGACTTTGCTTCCTGTAGAATATGATATAGTCTTAAACAAAACGTTGGGAAACTTTCAGATTTCTAATGAAAACTCAATGTAGAATTATAAATTTAAGTTATTAGAACTTTAGTCGTGTGTTTATACATAAGTTCCACCCATGTGTTCCGTACGAATCAATGTTGGAGAAACTGAAACTAAATTCGTGAAATTCAACCTAAATTCGATCTGATTTTGATCCTATGATATACATAAAATAGTACTTTATCGTATATATGTACTAATGTAAAGAGTGGGAACATCGTGGTTTGTTCCTAGGAAGTAGTTAAGTTGACTTGTGAGGAGATATACCGAACATAGAGTATATACCTTTTTAAGCTACCTCTGATCATGCTAACGTATTGAGCTAGTATTCCGTTATAATATACGTAAATGTATAATATATAGTTTTAGTATGTATTAATTATTCTTCCCAGGTATAAGCTCCAGCTAATAAACAGAGTCACAAGACTTTTTCTTAGTTATCAAGCTATCAAGCTATTTTCCCCTATGGTATATCTTATGAGTTACGAGTCTTATGAGTAATTATCACACTGATATTAAAACCTAGTATGATAACTACTAACTAAAAGTTCAATTAATAATAACCCATGATGTTGACTAAAGTCTTTGAAAATGCATGCAGATTCACAGCCCTAGTGGAGAACAATGTAGTCCAAGCAGCAAAAGACATGCAAAGAGTCATGTCCGTATCCATGATATCTCAAACGAACGAAGACTCATCATCGGAAACATACCAACAACCACCGTCTTCCTCCTCCTACAAACTCTTCTCTCGCCGTTTCCTCAGCCTCCACGGCCGTGACCTCTTCGCAGCCTCAGCCAATTGGTTCCTAGTCGACGTCGTCTTCTACACAAGCAACCTCCTCCTCTCTCAAATCTTCAATTTCTCCAACAAACCTCTCGATTCCTCAAACGTCTACGACTCAGCCTTCGAAGTAGCTAGGCTCGCAGCCATCGTAGCCGCTTGTTCCACCATCCCCGGTTACTGGTTCACCGTTTATTTCATCGATAGAATCGGTCGAGTCAAGATTCAGATAATGGGGTTTTTCTTTATGGCCGTTGTTTACTTAGTCGCTGGGATTCCGTACAGTTGGTATTGGTCTAAGCATGAGAAGACTAACAAAGGCTTTATGGTTCTCTACGGATTGATTTTCTTCTTTAGCAACTTTGGTCCTAACACGACTACGTTTATCATCCCGGCGGAGCTTTTCCCGGCGAGGTTTAGGTCCACGTGTCACGGGATATCCGGAGCTGCAGGGAAGTTTGGGGCGATTGTCGGGACTGTTGGTTTCTTGTGGGCCACGAAACACGATGAAAGGGACAAAGAGGACGTTTTTCCGGACGTGAAACGCGTGAGAGTCGCGTTTTTGATCCTTGGTGGCGTTTGTATCGCCGGAATGTTGGTGACGTACTTCTTCACGCGTGAAACTATGGGAAGGTCGTTGGAAGAGAACGAAGAGAACGAAGAGTACGAGCTTGGTTCAACGTCAGCACCAGGATCGTCTTCTGCGAATGAATTGCTTCCGAGACAATAATGATTTTGAGATCAAACGGAAAAAAAGACTTTTAAAATGCACAATGAATCATCTTTTGATCTCCTCTCAGTTAAACTCTTAATTTTCTTTGCTTTTTGATGTTTGGTACTTAATTTTTTTTTCTCATGATTACTCGGTGCATATTAAAGGGGTATATAAATTTCAAAGCTTGATCCTTTTAATCAACATTTCTTCTAACCAATAGAAAGCTAAAAATTGGGAATGTGTGATATTAAACATGATTGAATATATCACTTAGTTTTGATAGTCCATAAGACCACCATTGCACCCGTTGTTTGTATGTTGTGTCTTGTTTCAGAGGGTTTGTTTCACTGATTGGGAAACAAGACCGATAGTTAAGCCCACTAGGCCCATATATAAACGCAATATATATATGTTCGTTCAATACGCGAGGCAAACAGTCTACAGTATGTTATTATGTAAAATTTTATTAGTTTCTATAACAGGAAGACATTGAAATGCCAAAAAAAGAGTGTAATTCTAATGGAAAATATAGCATGAAAACACCCTACACTCTTTCTATCTCTCTCACCCCCTAACCTACGCCGGCTACGACACGTGCGCACTCTGCTTCTCTGTACATTACATACATATTCACATTCGAGTTATATATACGTATTGGGTAACCTATCGTATCATCCTTAATTATTACCATTTTTACTGATAATATTATCCAATACTTTACCTATATGGCTATATACAGTATGATCATAAATAAAGGCTATAAAAAGAATGGTAAACAAAAGGTTGAAAGTACTTGTAATTTTGCCGTTTCTAAATTCTAAGCCTTACTACAAAGTTTTTTGATGAGCTAATACATTTTTTCAACAAACAAAAGAACTCTGTTTAATGTTATTTTCTAAACAAAAAATAAACAAAAGAAATAAAAAAAGTGGACATCAAGTCTTCCTTAAAAACTTCAATAATATTCTTGCCAAATATTATTTTCTTGATATTATCTTTTGTCACTTTGGATTAGATATCCATTCTTTAATCAAACAGTCTCGTTATGGTCTGAGAAGATGGATTGACGTACGTTCCTCTTTACTTGCTTGTTTAAACAACCATATTTAGCCACTTCTTTATCAAAAATTTTATTAGTCTAAAAGCTGTAGCGACGAAAATATATACTACTTCTTTAACAGTAGAAACAAAACTCGTATACAACTAAATTCTAAATTCTAAAAGGCCAGGATGGTTAAGCAACATATTTTGAAGAACAAAGTATTGTCAAAACTTTAGAGAAAAAAAAATCTGAAAACACACAACTAATCAATTAGATATTTCACCCTTGGATCTTTATCATGTACACATAGTCATACTAATTAAAGATACAATAGAAGCACACGATAAAGAAGAGCTTTATAATCATTAATGTAAATATAAAAATCCATCAACAAAAAACAAATGTGCATGCACGGTTGTATTGGTCCCCCCCAAGTTTGCAACTTCTCACCCATATTTATGAAGGCTTCGTCTGTCCCAATATCCCTAAGACCTCTCACATTTATTGCCCATCCACTGTACGGACATCGTTCAATGACCTATCAATAATTGATAAACCAACATTCGCATCAAATTATCATTAAACTGGACCAAAATTATACATTAACCCATAAAGGTATCATACATATCATATAGAAATATCCATCTCTATTGTAGTGGATTATAATCAAGAGTCTAAGAAATTGAGAATCAGACTACTCGCGTGACAATGGCAGCACCGACCTGCTACAATGCTGCCCCAAGATGAATGATGTAATGATTATTATTTTTTGTAAGTTTTTATCAATCATATAACGACTTTTCAATTAGTTAAGCTTCACATTTTTCGTTTAAAGAATTTGCAGTTCTGTGTATGTGCGCATGTGTTTTTTCTTGTATGAATTTTTCTATTAGAAAGTGCTTTCAACTAGAATCGCATAAACGAGTTACTGTGTTTTAAGTGATTAATGATATATTAAAATGAAATTTTGGATAAAATCTAAAAACCAATTTATCTCGTAGAATAAAAGAAGCAAATGGGCGAACATAAAAAAAAAAAGGATAGCTTGTGAAGGGAAATGAGTGAGAGGTCGTTCTCTGGTGGAGCAGGTCGGTGCTGCCATTGTCCTTTCCTCTTCCTCCTTCATTTATTAGTTCTCTCTACCTTCTCCTTCTACTACCACTCCCTCTTCATCCTCTTCTTTTTCTTACTGTTGCAATTTTTCAATTTTTTAGTGACTATTTTGTATGTATTTCGATATAACTTTTTTTTTTCGATATAACTTTTCAAATAAAACACAATTTAATATGACCTTGCTCTAAGTTAATCTGAACTTGCGAAACGAGAATCATTTTCCAACTTGGTATTTTAATTTCTCTAGCAATAATTTTATTTTGCTTGTCATTTTTCTAAGCTACAATTTTATTATGGACGATTTTGAAATAAACTTGGATACAGACATATATTAAATACAAACAGACAAAGACGAAGAATGGACCCCTTTGTCATCTGATTGACACATACTATAAGAGAAGTGTGACAAACAGTCTTCTATCTTCATTTTGGTGATTTTTGTTTCACCTAATATCTCAAATTTTAGTGTCACATATACTATATAGGAAATTACTAGCATAGTAATTCTGAATTCTGAACAAAATGGACTGTTATTTTTGCACATTGCTTCTGTTACACAGAGACCAGTACCGTTTCTGCTTTGTTAAGTGGTTTAACTTTTAATCATTTTATTTCAAAATAAATTAAAATGAAATAGTGTTACTGAAATGACGTAGTACGACGATAAAAAAAAATGCTTCTAAAGTATGGCTACACTTGCTGCTTTAAACTAAGTAATTGATATTCTGCCATGTTTAATGATACTATAGCAGACAAAAATAATTTAATAATAACGAAATGAAAAAAAAATGTTACTTTTTTGACAGGGCCAATAATATTGTTTGTGATGCAGATGAACAGCACTATAATTTAGTAGACCGACGGTGTCACTTGGGCAATAATTAACTGAAATACGAAAAAAATAACAATTTTTTGGAGAAATAAAAAGGATAAAAAAGAGAGTCACAGAAATATCATCAGAGCTAGAGGAATAGACCCCCTGGAGAAAAAATAATTTTAGGTTTTAAATAGTACAAGAACTAGTATATATAATAAGCTTTTAATAATGGATAGGCTTAGGTAAGCCTATGCAAGTACAGCAGGTTTTTGAATTATTGGATGAAACAATTTGTTCAAATTCAAGATTTACTTTTTAAAATTATATATTTTAATTAATCTATTATAAAAAAATATGTTTATATAAATTATAGAGTTGTGTAGGGGTTAGGGTAAAAGAATGACTTGGGAGATTTTACATAAGATCGTGTGGGCAGTTAATATTTAGTGAGATAGATAGTGTAGTACGTTTTGCATTTATTACATTTTTACCTGATTTTTATATCATTCTCCGCACGTGTCACCGCCGACATCTGCTATCAGCCTATTCTCTACTGTTCCATTTCATTTTATATCTTATTATTTCGATTATACAAAATGAAACAGAAACACTCCAATCCGATTCGAAAAAGTTATAGTGACAAAAGAAATAAACTATTTAGTTTGGTTAAAATGGTGTATATTTTTTAACAAGTTAAAAACATCAATCAAACCGATAAAGAAATGTACCACTAATATCTTTTACAAAAATTGTAATACAGAATTGATTTAACCGTTGAGAAATAGTATAAAATACAAAATGTATAAAATAATAATAAAGTGGTTAAAGAAAGTAAATAAGGAAATGAAAGGAATTGGGATCTCAGGGCGAATGTGTATAAAATAATAAATAAAAAGGTCTGACTCATGAATGTATAATGATATGCTTACACCCGCACGCATAAACCTCTGCCATCTTTACTGCACACTCTTTTCCTTTTTTCTTCTTAAAAGTAAAATCTATTTGCTTTCGTTTTGATGATAACCATAAAATGCAATCTTCTTTAAATGATACAGATTATCTATTTGACATTTCTTAAAATCTGAAAACTTTAACTGACAATAACATTTTTTGGGTAGAGATATCGATTAGTTGATAACCTCACTATCAGAATCTTTAGCATAACGGTTTACTCGTTTTCAAACTGCACATAAAAATTTATAGCTTTATTGAATCAAATGTAATTTTGATATGTCCTGTAAAAAAAACACACATAAAATAGTGGTAAAAATTACAAGCAATTAAAAGGCTTGGTTTTTGTTGAAAAATATACTATAAACTAATCATATATCTTACACTAAAATATAAAAAAATAATTATAAATGTGACTGAAAAACTGCAATGATCCATTGACCAATCGAGTAGTCATTAACGAAAGATCATAACTTAACATCACATTGTCTCAATCAAAACTCCAAAGACCATAAGAATTTCGCTGGAAGCAGTGTAGTGATAAAACATAAAACGGCAAAAAGTTGTTTTTACATTTTAGAATGTTATAAATTGATTATTTGCATAGGAAATAAAAAGAGGAAAATAGAAAGAGACTCCTGAAAGCTCCCCAGGTGAGGGCAAATAGCAGCCTCTCTGCTCCCTGAATTTCACAGCCTTTATCATCAATGCTCCTCTAACCTCAAACACTCAAAATCCACACATCTATACACACACCTCTACATACTCTCTCTCTCTCTCTCTCTCTCTCTCTCTCTCTCTCTTATATCTTCGATTAATGAGCCACTTTGTATATAAATATATAATCTTGCACACATTAAGGTTATACTCACCATCACCTTTTGTATCATTGCTCTCTTTGTTCTCCCTTTTCGTGTCTCTTCAAGTAACAAGACTTTAAAAAGTCTCTTTTCCGTTATAGCAAAAGATGATGCTCGCCGTGGAAGATGTTTTGAGTGAACTTGCCGGAGAAGAAAGAAACGACAGAGGATTGCCACCTGGCTTCCGCTTTCACCCGACAGACGAAGAGCTCATAACTTTCTACTTAGCTTCCAAAGTCTTCCATGGAGGTCTCCGCGGCATTCAAATCGCCGAAGTTGATCTTAATCGCTGCGAACCTTGGGAACTTCCTGGTAAAAGCATTCATATCTTCTTTCCTCTAAAACGAATCTTTTCTAAACATCTTCTTAAATGTTTGATGTTGTTTGATATTTTACTGTTATGAAGAAATGGCGAAGATGGGAGAGAAAGAGTGGTACTTTTATAGTCTAAGGGATAGGAAATATCCAACGGGGCTAAGGACGAATAGAGCCACTACGGCTGGATATTGGAAGGCTACCGGAAAAGACAAGGAGGTCTTTGCCGGCGGCGGCGGGGGCGGTGGAGGAGGAGGAGGAGCGCTTGTTGGGATGAAGAAGACGCTTGTGTTCTACAAGGGAAGGGCTCCACGTGGCCTGAAGACTAAGTGGGTCATGCATGAGTATCGCCTCGAAACCGACCTTTCACACCGCCACACGTGCAAGGTAAATTAAACTCTGTTAACTTAGCCCCCACAAATTTGTATACTACTCCCAGATAAAAACGAATTTAATAGTAAGACATTATTATATTTCTTGTCAATTTATGAGTTGACTTTTTCTCACTAACAACTGAAAAGAAAAGTTTTTAACTGATAATGTTTCTTCTTCGACTCGATTTTTTAATGGGTTAAAAAAACTTAAAACTCTGTTACTTTACTCCCACACGTGCGAATACTAAACATTAATATGAATTTGATGTTTTTATTGTCAAATAATGAGTTGACTTTTTACAACGCTGAGTTGAAAAGAAAGGTTTAACCGAAATATTTTACCTTTTTCCCCGTTTTACATTTTTGTTTTTCTTTTACTAATTTCATTTTTGTTTTTGTTTTACTAATTTCATTTTTGTTTTCCCAAAGTATTGTGTATTGTCATTATTTGGTTTGGCTAGTATGGGGAGGACAAGGGAGAGAGCAGTTTAGATGTGATAGATTTGATATAAAACTGTACGTGTGGATGTCAACACCAAACACACCTTGCCGTTTCCTGTTCTTCCATGCTACACTGTTGTGTCGTTTTCATCACTATTGCTTTCTGTAATTAATTACATTCATGTATCATCATCATAAATCAATTGGTCAGGCTCACATTTCAAACTAGATCTCTACCAATCTTGGTTAGGTTGTGATTAATATAAATAAAACACATATTTTTTTTTTTTGTGTGTGTGTGCAACAAATATATATATGTGTGTGTGTGTGTTTAAATAACTATATGTATTACTTGCGAAACAAAATGTCTAATAGCCTTTTTGATGTTACACAGGAGGAATGGGTTATTTGCAGAGTGTTCAATAAAACAGGAGATAGAAAAAATGTTGGAATCCATAACCAAATCAGCTACCTCCATAACCATTCACTCTCCACAACAAATCATCATAACCATTATCATCATCTTGAAACCTTGCCTCCTCTTCTAGAACCTTCCAAAACCCTAACTAACTTCCCATCAGTACACTACGATGATACCCATCAAAATTACAACAACACCCTTCTCCATGGATCATTAGGCCACAACGTCGACGAGCTTAAAGCCCTAATCAACCCAGTCGTGTCTCAGCTCAACGGAATCATCTTCTCTCCGGGAAACAACAACGAAGAAGACGACAACTTCGGCGTCAAGACGGAGCAATATTCGAGCGGTGGTAATAACGATCTTGACGTACGAGACTACTTGGAGAATCCTCTTTTTCAAGAAGCTAGTTACGGTCTAATGGGTTTTTCGTCTTCTCCTGGATCTCTTCACATGCTATTAGATTCTCCATATGTCCTTTAGTTTCTCCAGCTGTAGAATCTTGGTTCTTGGATTATATATTTGGCTTTTCTTTTTTTTCACCTTTTGTAAAATACAAATTAATATAACAATTATTATTCCTAAGATCCAAAGATCTTCTGTAGATTAGGGACTTTCTGATTAAAAAAGTTATGTGGCTGCTGCAGCCTTGCAGGTAAAGCTATTAGTGTATTACTTTTGATGAACTGTATTTGTGGGCGTTTCACTGTTCGATGTGATGTCATAAATACGAATAACATTGGTAACTATTCTGACGTCATTGTTTTATGTGAGATTTTCTTTTGGATGGATTATATTTCTTTTTTCGTACATGTGTTCAATAATTTGAAACTCTGAAAATTGCATTTCGGTTGAGTTGCTAAATTTGGCCGGTTAGGCGAATTACTATGGTTAAATGCTTTACCTGGTTTGTGAGTTCGGTTTATCTTTGTGGGAGGTGAGCCACACTGGTCAGTTTTGAACTTCCTTTCATAGACACGCAACACAAGATTGGTGTATTGGAGAGTATTGGACCATTTATTTAATGACTTGAAGAACTTCACAAGTGGTTTAATCTGAACCTCTGCTTTTCATTAATTTCCAAATTTATCCTCTTGACTTCGGAGCGAGTAAACGTTATTCAAAAAATAAAAATTCCGCTGTCCTCCAGTTTCAAGCTGTGAAGCCCATTAAATATCAAGAGGCCCAGGAAGCGATAATAACTAAAATACTACGATACTGTTCATACTGATTAGCTCTACATTTCAGTAACCGCTGAAAAAAAATTCATCAATCTATAAAAAAACAATTATGCAGATCAATCGTGTCGAAGATTGATGGTCAAATTTTCACAGGTGTGTTAGGAATCCATATTGAAAGTGTGATATATATGTTACATGTATTAATTCACTAATCATCAATTGGTCTGGAGTTAAGTTCATGAATTATATATTAACTCTACGTACATTTCATTATATTTTTCGACATGAGGTTTCCATTACTCGTTTTGAGATGATGATTAACTGAATTCCATGGAAACATACGAAACATAACGATCGATCTGTAATATATGTCATCTTGTTATTGAAAAACGTATATGATCTAAGAAACCAAAATTTTCAGATCAGAAAGATGAAATCCTCAAAGTTAATATTGCATGCACATATTTATTCCCTAGCCAAAAATACCTTGTGCATTAGGAATGTAGTCTTATTTAAGCGCGGAATGCATGTAGTGCATGAAAGAAAAATTGATTTATGTCTATCAAATTCAAGTTTGAACATAAATCAATGATGATTTTACACTTTTTAAAGCCTTCATATATATCTAACCGATGATGATTTTATTTACATACGACGCCACTAGCTAATGAATGAAGCATTCATAGGATAAATTAACAAATGTAGCTAACGCATAATCCAAAAACATGAATGTGGAATCTTCGGCCAGATCTGGATTTTGGTCTCACCATTCCTCAACGGGAATTTAGAGTTCCTCTTATTAAGAAACAAAAGGCATCTCTTCTCTTTCTACTTTCATACTCCTTCTTTGTGATTCAACCGAAAATATTCATTATTATCATAATTTAGTACTATTATTAGAGAGCTAGGCAACATAATCTATCCATTGATATAAAGCTAAGGGGCAAGGCTAACAGATTATGCATATGCATGCACGTACAATATATACAATGATATCATTAAAGTAAATGTCTATTTATGAAAATTGAATTTATTCTTGTTCATGCGCAGGACAAAATATGAAATTCTATAAGAATGAATTCTATTGTTATCAATAGGTATAAATCTAACTACTTTGGGTGAAAGGCATATAGTTTGCTTTCAGCTCGAAATTTTTAATAATTGAGCATTAGTTATTACCACTACGAGCTATAAAATCAACACTATAGTAGTTAAAAGCAAATAACTAATGAAATTTTTATGATAAAATACTGTATGTTAATGTCTATTCTGCAGTAGCTTTCTTATATCACAAAATTACTCTACGCCATTTTAAATTATACGATTAAATAAGATTAGCACTTAGCACATGAACTCACTTTCCATAGTGGAAAAACTCGTGGTGAATGCTAATAGTTCGCGATGGTGGACCATCCTTATTTGTACGTGTTTTATTTGATGGCTACACAGAGAAGGATAAACAATCCATTTAATTAGATTTGTATCGTGTTTGCGTAATTATCTTACATCTTGACTAGTTGATTTTAAAATTACTTTCTCATTGTCTTGATTCGCACTTTAGTTGTACTCAGAGATATTGGCGATCTTTTGTTAGGTCAATGTTCGACGACAAAATAAGCCCATCTTCATGGTCATTTTCGAAGTCCTAATAATTTAAAGTCGCGTTTGATAATTTAGTGGGATACAGGCTCGTGTTCCCACCTTTTATAAAAATACTTCTAACAAAAACAAAAAAACATGAATAAAATTAATTTATAAAACCCGACAATTAGTTTGCCGCTTTATTAATGGAAAAGTGTAAAGAGAAAACTCACACAACACACATCACACCATCTGTTCCACGTACACTGGTCCATCTGTCTACTTTCCCATATTTATTATGGAATATTCCATTAGTTAACGAGTTTCTAGCAACGAGCAACTAACATTTGTATGCGTGGTGTACTTTGAAATGAAACGTAAACCACGCGTACAAGGCATATTGATCTTATTTGTTACATTAAATTGTATACCGAACTGGCATGTACTATCAAATGAAACAAATTGTATATAAGGAAATCTTGGTTTATAAGCTATGGTAGTTAAAAGAAGAGTGTGGTATTAAATATGATTAGTTAGATACTTATCTATGATATTAAGTAGGTTCTTAATTCTTTTGGCACGACATAGAACCATTAATGAATACATATTCGCGTACCATAAGCTTCTGGTTTAATTTTGGTAAATGGGATTTTACTTACGTATAAATTGTGTGTTCCAACGTCTCTCAGTTTCAAGTTCTTTGTAACTGTATCATGGTCTCTATTTAGTTCACAAATCATGTGGATTTCTATAAACGATATATATATGTTGATAAAAATGAATTCCTGCAATATCGAAAAAAAGGAATAATTAAAGTTTCATTTCATTCCATAATATACATTTACAATAAATAATTATATACATGACAGTTGACAGACTAACATTATCCTTTAACATGGCATGGAACACTTTTTAAATATGTGTGTCACAGGAAGTTTGTTTTTTTTCTTTAAAAGGAAAAAAAATTTAGGAAATGTCTAAAAAAGAATCAAGGTAAGACGTTATTTGGATCATCTTCGCGTTGGTTGATTCGGGTTTCGGGTTCGGATCCTGAGCTGGAGCTACCAGGTAGTCCGCCACATTTTTGACACCTGGCAACCACCAAGATCTGACGGCAGGAAGGACACGAAGAATGAGACCCAAGCCACGTGTCAATACACGATACGTGAAAACCGTGACCGCACTGCGGCAACACCCTGAGCTCGTCGCCGGCGGCGAATTCCGTCAGACAGATCGGGCACTCGGCGAATTTCTCCACCGGAGTCGAATCCGGCGAGTAGGTGAGCTTCGGAAGAGATCGAAGTACTTTCTTCTTCAATCCTTTGTTAGCTGCAGCTGGTGGTCGAGTCTGATCCGAATCGGCGGCGGATCTGTTCGCGGCGGCCATACGGCGGAGCCAGGCGCATCGAGAGACGGCGAGTAAGCCGAGGACGCAAATAAGTGCACAGAGAAGAGCCGCTATGATGACTACGAGATCGGAATTTAAAGCCGGAGCAGCCGATGGAGAATTGGCTTCCTGAAGAAGACGAGAGAGAAGACGCGCCATTGCAGAGACGATCGAGAGAGAGAGAGAGAGAGAGAGAGAGAGAGAGAGAGAGAGAGAGAGAGAGAGAGACCGTTTGATTGGTTAATTTAAAAAATTGAGAGGGATTAGGAGTGTGAGCGTTTTTTTCGGGAGGCCGAGAGGAAATGGATTTATAGGGAGCGATCCATCTTGTTGGTTATAAGGTTATTTTCGTAAATTTACTATTTAGTTCAGATTGTGTTGACTTTTAGTCAATGACTCAAAAGACTCATGAAAACTCTATGCTTTTTTTTTTTTTTTTTTCCCCCTTTATTTGAGTCATTTTCTTCAATGTTTTGTTTGTCGATCAACAACGCTCTCAAGTAAATACATCCATAACCCTACCAAAAAAAAGTAAATACATACATAAACAAGACCAGAATTTTTTTAGTAACTTAAACATGTTACCTATATACTATTATCTATATACATAAGTAAATTATATATGTCAAAAATTCTCACAAATCTTGTTTCCTTAGAATTCATACGTCATTGCTCCAATTTTTATGGGATGTTTACGGTTTACCTAACACCTTCTAGACCTAAACATTCAACATTCGTTATTAGAAACATATATGCATATTAATTGGGTTTTTTTTTTTTTGACAAGCTAGGCAATACGTTATTGCAAATCTGGTCTAAATCCAACGTTTCAATCAATTGGACTATACATTAAAGAAAAAATAACTATGTGGAATGATTAATAGTTTTGGTGGATTGAAAGAAAAAAAAACATTAAATTTGGTGATAGTGGTGCGTGTGGGCTCACACATGATGGAAGTGGCAGAAGCGTGTGTGTGCGATGTGATGCCTTTCCTTGGACCATTGAACACCAAACCACGAGATAGAACTGATAAGGTGTGTGTTTGTGTATCACTTATCTTAACATTCTTCGTGATCCACTGCGGTTAAAAACATCATCAACGGTAAGGAATTATTAATTATTTTGTTTGATTATTATAGACTCTTATCCAAAAAAAGATAATGCCCTTGTAAAGAAAGATTACGTTCAACAATTTGTTAGATGCACATTCCAATGGTAGATCTAGACTTCTATAGTATTATTTGAGTTAATTACTACTCGAATATTTTATGTATTTGCCATTTCGGCTCAATGGATGGATACATACATATGTTACGATAAATTCTTGATGACATTTGACCTATACAGACCTAGTGGAGAAATGTGATTCACTACTATCTACGTACAAAAACGACCTTTGAGATCACGAAAAGAGCATTCTCTTTTCTTTTTTTATTATTATTATTAATGGCTGCTAGACAATTTGAAAACCACAAAGCCTAGATCGTTTGTTATAGCTTAAGATTAAAATCTGTAGTAACAACTTTTTCAAAAATGTTACGTACGTTAGGAAATATAGGTCGATGATATACGAACGTTCTGCGAAGTCGTTCTACGTACTGACAAGTATATAAATTTTGTCTTAGTTTAAAACAAACCCGACGACGATCCACTTCCAAAACATCCCAATTAATAAACGAAGAAGACGTGCGAATTTTAATGTAACTTTTTTCTCACTTTGCTGGTGGAGAGGATTAGCAGCCAATCAAGCTGACATATACGTGTAATTAGGATAATGACTAATTCAATAAGGAAGACTTTTTTTAATGTTTAGATAAGATCAATCTTAAAACTCAATCCTGCAAAATAAATATGAACTTTTTCTATATGTGGGATAAAATCTAAATAATATTTTCGTGTATAATATAGACATTATTTAAAATTGACCGCGGACCTGCATACCACACCCCTCATAGAACAATAAATCCAAAAGGAGGAAATAAGTGTGTATCTCTTTACCTTTTTTATACTGTACAAGTTATCGATTAATATCTTATATACCAAGACAAAGAAGAAGATATTTTATCTTATCTTTTGACCCGAGAAATGTATCAACAAAGCAATCTGATATATAGTAAAAATTGAAAGAAATTTCAGGTCTGTGTCAAAGAAAAAAAAATCTATCTCAACGTCATTTTTTTTATTAACATCTAGTTATACTATTTTTCAATTCCAGCAAACATATTATTTCAACTAGCTAGGAACACGTATCAAGTTATTGAAAAGCTATAAGCAAATTATGAATAAAAATGGCATAATATTTTCAAAGCATATAAATTCACATGCATAAACATTCATCTGGAAAACATAAATTTTAAAATCAAAAGCCTCGTACTAGTAGAGACTCTCAACAAATCGACAGTTTTAGTCCAAGTATACTTAGCCATGAGAATAATGCCACGTACACACAGAACGAACAAACTGAGCCAACTTACGAAAACGAAGTTAGGGTACAGACAACAAATAGCTCCATTCCAACTCTACCCTTCAAAAGCGTTGGACTTATGAATTTAACTTATGACATTCATGAGTCATGAACATAAATTTATATACAGGGCCTATCTCAAAACTAAAAATAAAATATACTCAAGATCTTAAATTAAAGTATGTTTTCGGTAACCAACAAACTTTCGGATCTTAATTACGTACATAATCGCTTCTCCAACCGGAAAATGGATATCGAATTATGCAACGTGTTAGTTGAACAAAATGTCTTTATTACTTACTAATGTACATGGACCGTTGCAAAAGTTTCTTGAGTATTATATTATACAATATATGATGAGCATGTTTTTTAAGAAAGGATTACGATAAACGTATTCTTATGTAGTTATAGCTATAAAGAAGTTTCTCCTGGCTAAAGTAATTACTAAATACAGTTATACGATAAACGTGAAGAATAATGAATCTCCCTAATTAATCGGCCTAATACGTAAAGAGAAGCTTTTTTCTTCAGTGGTAGTGATCATATTTGTGTGAAAGATGATAATAACAACTAACTGAAAAAACATGCGTCAAGACTCGAAAAGATTTGGCGAAGAGGGACGCTTGTCCACTTCTTATTCATAAACTTTTTTTTTCTATATTGTTATATGAGAGATATATAGAAGATGATAGTGTTATGGACAGCAAAAGAAACATATTCGTTTCAAAAACATAGATGCGCCACAGAAAGATCGTAAACTTGCATGCGCATTTTGAATTTTGACATTACTGTAGTGCCCAATTAAAGTTTTAGAAGATTGCTACTAACTTACTGCATCGGTGCATGGAAACTAAACGGGATTAAGGAGGAAACTAAAAAATTAAGAAAAATAGCAAAATAAAATCATACATGAAATAACGTATGGTAAGAAAGAGGAGCAAACGTGTGAAATATAAGTTTCTAAATAGAGTTAGATGACAAAAATTAAATATATAAAAAGAGGCCATTACTTAGTCTGGTTGACTCTTTCTCTGCAAGTGCACTCCCCACTTTCCGATTTCCCACCGCCCACTTTTGCTTTCCGTCACATGCTCCGCCTATTTATTTATTTATTTGTGTTCTATTATTATTATTAAAAACTATATACTCCCTGCAATTATATAACTTTGTAACGGCAATGTTGTTTATAAAAACACGTTTTAACTATTCTTATAAAATGCACGTTAAATATGCAGCTCATGACTTATATACAAATATATTCAGCAAACGAATATCTAAAAAGTACAAAATGTCATATATTATTGATAATACAATACAATTTTTCATCCGATTCTATTATTGCAAATACACATATAGTTCGTAAAATACAACGTCAAAACCGTTTTTTTAACAAGTATAAGCATGTACGATTTTATTTTGGAGTTTTAAAACTTTCTCTAGGTGAATTAGTGATAATTAGTCGAATATGAAAAGATTTTACTGTCGACTAATTATAATATGAAAAGATAATAATATTGAAAAACTTCGTTAGAAAAAGATTATGATAATTAATTAATTACAGTCGTTTTTTCAAAACTAAAATTGTTTTTAATATTTTAGAGTTGAATGACTAACCAATAACGTTTTTTTTTTGGAAATAGTTGTCAAAATAATAAATAATATAATTCATGCATGGAAGACTTAAAAAATACAATTCAACGAACTCGTGTAGTTATAAATTGTTTTTGTACGAGTCGATGTAGTCTATATGCTAAGTGCTAACATTAGCAATATCAATCTATTCAGTTATAACGTTCCGTTACGATCGAGTTCGTGAAACTTTGAATTAATATTCATATTAGTGTTGACGAAAAGTAAAACATATAGTTACAAACAAATTATCGGTGTGGCCCTCATCAAAACAGCAAAAACGTGCACCATTTGCATAGTCAATCAATACAAATAGTGTTATTGTATTTAGGCTTCAATGAAGTTTTATTCTTAGTTAAATTTATTTTTGTAAAAAATTCCTCTCTTTATTATTATCTTCTAAATCCTAAACCGTAATAGTCAAAACTAAACCATAATTATGAAGTAGTGATGATTAGAACAAGTCTCAAGAGAATCTGAGTGTTAAGCAAAATAAAACTCTGAGACCAATCTGTCTAATCGAGAACATTAAGATTGTAAGAAAAAAGGGGACCATTAATCTATCTTATCCATTTAGTTCGAGACTGATGGATATTTTGACCTCCAAATTATATGTACAAGGTGATATATTATATATATATATATAGCTTACTTCATAAAGATAATACTTTGATACAAACCCTTTTTTTTAAAGAATACAAACCCTTTTCTCGGACCTTAAGTATTTATTCAGTCAAATGTATATTATGCGTGATCATATATATTATAGTATATATATGTTTTTATAATGTTTAGGTGTTTGTTATTGGAAACCTGGAACTAAAATAATGAATTTGAAAGAGAATGCATCGAATGTGACCAAATTAACTTAATGCTGGCCATGAGATTTTAACCATTCCTCATTACATGAGTGGCTTATATACATCATAAGCAACTTTTCCACAGTATCATTTAAAAGCCAACATGGCACTCTTTCTATTTAAGAAGTGGCTTGCCTTGTGATTAATTAGCCTCTCACCAAATAAGATAATAATACATTACAAATGAATTACAGATTATTCCATCCATTTCTTATAGACATTAAACATAAATCTCAATAACGCATTTTTCAATAGCGTTTTGTTATTTATTATTCTTTTATCTAACGAATCAAACTTAGAATAATAAAAATGTTTCGCTCAAAATAGAAAATGATATATTTTCAAAACAAAAAAAAAAACAATCTAAACCTATTCGTTTATTGTTGGAGTATAGACTGAAGAATTGATACGGTATCAAGTGATATCTATGATTACAGTGTGATGTTAAGATATGCCGATCATCGGACTGATAGCGATTCTGCACATTACTAATCACATAAATCTTTGTAATCATTTAAACATAATACTTGTAGATCGGATGTCACTATATCATATGGGTAGAATAAATTTTTACTAATTTACTATCACAATACATATATCAACTTTTCCTACGTATAATTATTTGAATCTGAGTTTACATTCTAAAACGACATATCACCCTGACATCACTTACACACAAAGATGATGTCTAAAAGACTAAAAAGATGAATCACATACATATGAGAAAAGAAGATAATATTTGCAATTACTTTTCAAAATAACTTTACAGGTCGGGGAAATTAAAAAGTATGTAATAAAGATTTGAGATTCCATAAATAAACCCTTTAACAAAAAACAAAAAAGGATTTGGGATAAAACTTGTCACTCGTAATGCAATTTTTTTCTTACTAACAAACAAAAATTGGTGATACAACGAAAAGGAGCCGCTATTAAAAACACGGCCGCCTCTAATAAAAAAAATTATGCAGATATAGTTAAAATATGCATCGAGAAACATTATTGGGATATACATAGTTAAATATGCACAGAGATCACGTGGATATTTAGTTTAAGACACTAACAAATCTAACGATAAAATTGGTGACTTGTCGATGTCTCTTTTTTCTTTTACTGTTTGAAAACGATCTTTAATCCTTTTTCTCTTTTGAGTGATGATGATCAGTAAGCAAATCTCAAGCATACCCCATCTTCGGATTCCCAAGATCAACACTTTGTGGGGACTTTTTTTAACTCTTATTTTCGTACTGATGTTGATGTTCTGAGCAGCAGCACCATCTCAAGTTCAACCAAACCACAACACAAACCAGTCCAAACCGATTTAAGGTATTGGTTCTCTCATGTTCCCGGTTTGGAATTGGTTGTTGAAACCACCACGATATATTATCGATTTGTGGATTTGCAAAATAAAGACATTTTGCAATAGTGACGGAGATGATTTGAGGAACATCTCTTAAAATTTTGAAACTAAAAAATGAGTGTATCAGTAGGGATTTAATACATTTCTCAGATGATGATTATGAATATTAAATGCAGTTACAGGTCAAATCTCAAGTTCCATCTTCCCTTCATGTTTGCGTTGAGAGTCCAGTTGTTTTCTCTAATCTGCATATAAGGGACCTGAAAGAGAGAGGCAACACAATGTTTTCAAGAATCCAAAACAGGCCTCATGACCAAGAACATCAGGCGGAAACATACTTCAGCTGTGAGAGAGATACCTTATCAAACATTTCGTAGCCAACTTTGATCCGTACATCCTGATCTTCCTTAAAGTCCATGATGTTCCACGCAATTTCTGCAGCTCCTTTAGGGTTCCTCTGTTAGCAGAACATGAGCACAGGTTAGGTTCATTAGGCATAATAGCACTCAAGCAAGAAACATAAAACTCCGACGAACGTTCTTGAGGCGAAATAAATAAAAGAAGCGAAACCTGATTGAAGTCTTGATCAAAATCACACCGCCCTTTAATATTAAAGGTGACACGCTTATCAGTTCTCACAGGAAACTCTTTCTTCCCGCGTACATGACACCGTAGCTTTTGGCGCTTATCATAATGCAATCCTACTCCAAGGCCTGTCGTAGCCTAAGAGAAATTTGTAACACGACTAGTCTTAGTCCTAGTCTACCGTGGAAAATATTCCAAGACGAAGACGATAGAGAAAAAACAACAAGAGAAACTGAGATCATACCTCGGGGAAAAAGTGTCTAATCATCGCACAGAAGTAACTCGGAGCCCCAGTTCCAGTATCTAGCTCTCCATGAAGCTATCACCAAACAAAACCCACCAAAGAAGATGAGAAACAGAAATATGCTATGAATGTCCAGAGACTGTAGCCAAAGCCAAAGAACTATAGCAGAACAAGCAATCTTGATACACATACTGAAAAGTAATGATGACTCAAGCAGAGATACAGGGAAGCCTCTGAATGCTCCTCTTCTCAATGACCATGAGGAGGAAGTTAACCACTCAGACATAATTCCTTTCCTAAACTAAATCACATTCCCCAAAAGCCCAAGCAAATGAAATCCCAAGCAGATGAAAGGTTAGTGAGACACGAAACCAAAACCATTCCTTAACTTTTCCTCCAACAACTCAATTCTGTAAATCTCAGGCGCAAGATTTATTATCAACTTCGCTAAAGTTAGGTTTTATACTCCAAGAGTTGCTTCAAAGTTCAAAGCAGCTGCTTAATTTCATCATCTCAACCAAAAAGTTCAGGTCAAGATAAAATCTGAAACTTTTCACTAAACTCTTCACTTGTGTTAAAATGCACACAAAAATTATCTGAAAACACCAAAAGCCTACACATCTAAATTCTAGACGCGACCAATTCAAAACTTAACCCTTTTTAATAAATCTCGATACTTTGGGGATTTGTCAAACAAAACAATCCCAATCCAACCAGAGAGCATTACACCACCAAACCCAAATACTTGCAGAATCGAATAGAGCTAATAAAATCCTCCATAGCATCACGAAACAGTTGCAAAATATAAGTTGGGGAGCTACGAAGAATTTTTCACCTGCAAATGGGTCCTCGAATTCACCGGGAGCTTCTCCTTAGCATGGATTTTCAAAGACCTCGTATTGCCCGTAAACCTCAGAGAAGTCTCCATTTTCCTCCAAACGATTTTCTCGAGAAAAATCGCTACGGCACACGAGGAACACAAAGCAGAGCGAAGAAAATTAGAAAACCAAAACCTCACCTATAGTTTCTTCACATTTTTTTTCCACTACTGTGTCATCCTCTGCACCCAGGTTCAGCAATATTAACCAATAAAAAACTGCCACGTGTTACAAAATATTCCTTTGCGGATCTAAGCCCACATAGAGGCCCACTATAGTTGGGCTTTATATCTGTAAAACCCGACCCGGGAAAAAGAGTATCCACTATCCGAATAAAATTTTGTAAATGCTCAAGGTCTGGTTCTCTGAGTGAGCAAGCGAGTCTCCAGAGACTGGTCTGAGTTAATCTATCAAGGATGAAGCAATCAAGTGTCGTCGATGTGTTGCTTCTTCTGCTTGCGATCGCTGTTCTCGCGACGCCGGCGTTCTCCGATCTGGTTTTATCCAAAGTCGAACGTCGTGTAAGTCTCTCAATCACTCCCTCCGCAATATCTTCGATCTGATTCTTACTCGTCACGATGTTCCTGATCGATTCTCAAACTTGCACTTGCTGATCTGTGCTTAACACTTAGCAATCAGTTCAGAAAGATATAACCTTTTTGTTCCTTTTTTTCTGGATTTCTTATGATATCGGTGGGATCGGATATGCTGTAATTCTGTTATCTGTGTAGTCTACGATTCATTTCGATGGTCTTCTGATCATCAATTTCTGCATTCTTCATCCAAGTTTGTTCCTTTTTGTAATGCAGATCGATGTGACCTCACAGTTTGCTCGCGTTACCAAGACCCTTAAGGTAATCACTTCAAACTTATCATGAGACTGCTGTGTTAGTCAGATTCCAAATTACGAAGTCGTCTCTTGAGTTGAGGTATCTAACTCTTGTTGTTTAGGTCGTAAACTCTGGCTCTGAATCAGTTTCCGAGTTTACTTTGACATTCCCAAAGTTTCTTGGGAACAACTTGGCATATTTATCGGTTGCACATAGCGAAGGAAAAGGGAAATCTAAACGCCCTTTGGTCAATCTCTCTGTGGAAGCAGCTAATCCCAAAGGAATGCCCGATTCGATCAGTTTCTACACAGTTGCATTACCCAAACCACTCAGTAAAGGCGAGACCTTGACGTTAGAGGTAGTTGCTGCATTCACCAATGTGCTTCAGCCATTTCCTGAGAAGATAAGCCAAGGTGATGTCCATCTTGTTATGCTCCAAGAAAGCGCACAGTATCTCTCTCCTTACGCGGTCGAGTCTCAGTCATTGTCTATCAAACTACTACCCAATGCCAGAATCGAATCTTACACCAACTTGGAGAACACGAAGCTACAGGGGTCAGAGATCAAATATGGCCCGTACAAGAATCTACCACAGTACTCATACTCTCCCATAGTTGTCCACTTTGAGAGCAAGGCTGCATTTGCTGTGGCAGAGAAGCTCGTGCGAGAAATTGAAGTGTCTCATTGGGGGAACGTGCAGGTCACCGAGCATTACAATATCGTTCACCGAGGAGCTCAACTCAAGGGAGAGTTTTCAAGGTTAATACTTTTTACTAATATGCTCGCTATTTCTAATTTACTATTCGGTTTCTTGATGCTTTTGATATTCCAACCTCAGGTTAGAATTTCAAGACAGACCTAATCCACGAGGAGCATCTGCCTTTAGGCATTTACTTGCTAGATTACCACCCAGAGCCCATTCCATATACTACAGGGATGATATTGGCAATATCTCCACGTCTCAGATGCAAAGTGATTCGAAAAAGGTTTGATGTTTTTTGGATTAACGAGATTTGATCTTCCAAATATAACTGGTGTATGTGTTTTGACTCTGTTTTTCTTTGCTGGTTTGGTTGCAGACAGAGCTACTAATTGAGCCTCGGTTTCCATTGTTTGGTGGGTGGAAAACATTTTTCACGATTGGTTATGGTTTGCCACTTAGTGACTTTTTGTTTGCATCGGAAGGGAAACGTTTCCTCGACATATCCTTTGGCTCCCCTATGCTCGACCTTGTCACTGAACATCTTATTGTACAGGTTGGTATCATACACTTTCTACTTGAAATGTTTTCTCTTTCTTAGTTTGATGATTTTCCTTAGCTTAGAATTGATGTGGATGCAGATGAAGATGAGGTTTGAATGAAAAGGTCTCTCGTCATTGCTTGATGTTCTTTTGTGTTTTCGTTTCCGTTGCAGGTGGTCTTACCTGAGGGTTCGAAGGATATATCAGTTATCACTCCATTTGCTGTCAAGCAGTCACAAGAGGTAACAGAGCTTGGGATTATATTTTATTTTCATGATTTTTTTTGTCCTGTCTCTGTGTGTTTCGATTCTAAATTTCTGATATTCGAATTATTCATGTTCGTTTGCAGATCAAATATTCGCACTTAGATATAGCTGGTAGACCAGTTGTTGTGCTTGAGAAGAACAACGTTGTCCCTGATCACAATCAGAAGATTCAGGTAGATAGAATACATCTGAGTAATATTATTCTAATAGCCACAATATAGGTTCAGGTACTTTAATTGATCAAGAGATGTGTCTTTTGTACAGGTCTACTATAAGTTCAGCAACATCAATCTGCTGAGTGAGCCATTGATGCTAATCTCTGGATTTTTTGTTTTGTTCATCACCTGCATCATATACACGCGGGCTGACTTTTCAATCTCCAAGTCCTCTGCTGCATATTTGGCGAAACTCCAATGGGATGAGGTAACGTTGGAATCTTTTTCCAAGCACATTGACATGTAATCTACTGATGTCTTGTCTCTGAGATATGAAAATGACATTCTTTCTGTTTTTTCAGGTCCTAGCAACACTACAGGAAGTCCAAAGTATCATCCAAAAATGCTTAGCTACACATGATAAGCTCGAAGCATCATTGCGTGATCTCTCAAGAACCGGTGACATTCAAACCTGCAAAGCAGCTCGCAAATCCTATGACAGTTTACTGAAAGATCTTTCGAAAGAACTGAAACCTTTACTGGCTTCATTACAATCTTCCCCATCAGCCTCTCAAATATCTCCAAAGGTTTGAAATTTCTCTCCACCTGTCTCGAATCTCTCAAGTCTCTCCCCTCTCGCTTAACGGGTCTCTCTTGTAACAGGTCGAAGAGCTAGTTGCGAAAGAGAAAGAGCTTCAAGAGAAACTGATGGCCAAACATACAACTGTTGTTGAAGGGTACGAGAAGAAATCCTCAGGGCGCGATATCGAAAACCGGATCGCTTCTCAGCAGCAGAAGATCATTGCTTTGAGGCAAGACGTAGAAGATCTTCTAGAATTCATTGATGAGATCTAGAAGAGTTAAACGTAGCAGATCCTGTTAAGCTTAAATACCAGACTTTTGAATTTACTCTCATTAAAAAAATGATTTTTGTTCCTTAATCAGTGATGTGTGTTTATCAACTTTGAAAGACAGCTCTAGTTCCTCCGAGTTTAACTTTGAAACCACTCTCTCTCTTAGAAACCATTTACAAGAAGGCATATAGAGACCTTAACCAATGTTGGTGAATATACCAGAGAAGTTTGGGATCTTATCAATGTGCCTCAAGGCGTTCTCAGCGATCTGCCGTGTCCTAAAATCTGCGTTTTGAAAGGCGTCCACAAGTGCTGCAGTCACGTTCTGCTCTTCTGCAACTTCTCTTGCTATCTCCTCAATGCGCAAGATCCTCTCGACCATCCACACGGCTCTTATCCTTAGATTCTCTGTCCGATTCTCCAGCAGAACGTTTAATATAGGCGTTATCCCGTCCACTTCATCAATCAACCTCACCGCTTTTTCTACTTCCAAACCGTCTTCCAACAACGTTGAAAGAGCAGCGAGTGCTGGCCCAACCACCTTCTCGTTTTCATGGTCCAAGAGATCAACCAATTTATCCACGGCTTGTCCTTCAACAAGACAAAAGCTGTCTCTCAATGAACATATCCCCTGATGGATCTTGCACAGCCCTAGAACAACAGGCGGTTTGCTCAGACATGAAAAGATCGACACACAGTAGCTCGGAGGAGGCAGTTCGGGTATCTTTGTAAGATTCTTGGATTCAAGTGAAAGATTCTCCAAAGCTATTGCAGAAGCCATCTGGATGTTATCCTGACTGTTGGACTGAAGAAGATCGAGGAAAACCGACGCGAGGTTGTTCTCACGGCAGAACGAAACGGCTTGAGTGTCCTTTGTGAGCGCGAATGTGATCCGAGCGAGAATACTAACAAGTCCTTCGAGAAAAGTTCTCTCAAACCGTTTCCCCCTGATTTCTCCTTGGCGAATAACATTTATCTTGGACATGATTTTCTCGAAAGCACCTTCTCTTAACAATCTCTGTGTCAGACCCCAATCTCTCTCAGGAAGTTCAGCTAAAAGTCCAGCAGCTGCAGCTTGCTCCTCCGTGATTGTTGTTGTATTCTCCGATATGATCGCGATAAGGTTCCCTAGCTGTCCAACAGTGCCACGCAACGCCTTGGCTAGTTCCTCGCTCATGTGTGGTGAAATGTTGTGAAGGAGCTTGATAGAGGCCAAACGCAAATCATCGTTCTCATTAACCTCAACGAACTGAACCAAGCTAATGATGGCACCTGAGTTTCTGATGGCGGAAACAACATTTATAACCGAGTTCGGGCAGCTGGTGAGCCCAACAAGAACCTCCAGCAGCTTCCCCTGGATCTCTGGACCCGTGTTGCTAATCAGTTGGAGTAGGTTTTCCACAACGTCCTCTGAAACAAGAGTCTGGTGATGAGCTCCAACAAGGACTTTGTCAAAGTCGTAGCCAATGTTCACTATGTTGGCAAGAATAGTGGCGGCGACTTCTTTCAGCCGAATCGGAAGCTGGTTTGGGCCAACATAGAACAGGTCTTTGATAAGCGGTGGGAGAATCCCTGTGCCGATTAAGACTTTGGCGCTCCCTTCAAAAGATGAGACTCTGTTGAGAGCTCCCAAAGCAGCTTGCCGTTGGCGCATGTCGCGGCTTCTCATAAGTTCGATAAGAGAGGAACCCACAGTCTGAGCCACAGTGAGTTTCACATCGTTATTTAAGGCAAGCTCACCAAGATAAGAAGCCATGGAGAGTTTTGTTTCAGGCGAACCTGCATAATCATCATGTTTCATATATGATTCAGTCTAATGTTTAACCAATCAGAGAATATCAGTAAGCAAAGGGTTTTGGTGAAAGCACCTTCAAGAAGTTTAGACAGAAGAGGCTGCAGTCTACCGTTTGTAGCCATCTGTCGAACATTTTCCTCTGATCTCCCCAAGTTTGTCAAAGTTCGATCAGCTTTCTCAACGGTTGAAACATTCTCTGATTTGCTGCTTGTCAGGCCAACCAACAAGATGATTGCTCCACGAATCGATCCAATCTTCTCGCACAAGGCCTCTGATTTAGAGAGCTCAAACAACAAGGAAACAGCTGCCTCCCTTCCCTTTGGTGGCTCTTGGGACAAGAACTTAACTATAGTACGCACAGTGTCTCCTTCAGCTACGATGACCTGAAACACATTTGAAATATTAGTCTACAAAAAAACAAAGACAAATAAAAACAGAGGCAAACACAGAGACGTAACCTTGCTCTCATCATCTCCCTCAACGACGACCTGAAGAGTTTGTAAGGCCTTATACCGCACTTCATGGCTACTACTTTTTAGCAAGTCCGAAATCGACCGAACAAGCTGAGGGCTGCGGACACGGTTCTTAGCCAAACGTATGTTCCTGCAAATCTCTCGGACATTCTTCATAGCCAGCAAGACATTGGTCTCGGAGTTTCCCAGATACAGCGACTGTCGAGCAATATCAAGCTTCAAACAATCATTCCTGGATCTCCACTCTTCGATCGCATTACATAAAGCTATACTCGGGCTTAGATCAGTGATACTCAGCTCCTGAGAAGTCACGGGACAGGACAGAGGTCGACCGTTTTGGCTACATTCCTTGAACCATTTCTCAATTGCTTCGCGCTCGAAAGTCTGACCATTCTCCAAAGTGACTGGATTTTGCATAACTTGTTTTGTCAATGGACAGATAAACGCTTCATATATATTATCGATCCCCGGCTCGAAACTAGAGCTGTTCTCTGATTGGCTTCCATCCCAACTTCCCGCCATATGATATGGTTTGGTTCCTCTTCACTTGCTGTAATAAAGCAAAATATATACACCCAAAATCATGAAACAGATCTTCAAGACCAAAAATATGAAAGCCAAGATATTTGTCCAGGAACGAATCAGAGCTCATATTAATCAGCAAAAAAACAAAGCAATCGATTACTTTGAAGGTATTATCAAAATCCCAATGGAAAAAGTTCTGTATTTTGTACCAAATTGAGCTAAGTTCTGCATTTTCCTCTGCCGAGAAACAAAATCAGAAGTCAAATCAAAAAACTATACCCGTAATTATGGTAAATATCACCAAATTTAGCATCGTGGATAAAAAAAAAACATTTTTTTTTCTTTCAGGATAGTCCTTTACTATAGTAATGTACAATAACAAACACACGAAAAAGGAAGATAGGTTAGAGCGCGTACCAGTTCCAAAACGCGATAAGCACCGAGGAAACCGATCCAACAAAGAACCAAAAAAAACCTTAGCTTCTTCTTCTTCTTCTTCTAGCTTGAGGATTCGATAACGACCACTTGTTTTAGAATCCTCGAGTAGAAATCGCCTGAAATAGAGTCACTTCATCGTCTTCCATGTTCTCAACATTGAGCAAAAGCGTTTTGTCTTTTTCTTTTAAAACTCTTCTCTCAAGCTACAGATAATTTCCCCTGAATCAAGCGAGCCGGAGATGGCAAACACGAGGAAGGAAGCTGGAAATTGTAGAAGAGAGAGTTTCACTCAGTTAAGCAACGAGAAAAAAAAAAAAAGCACCGACTGAAAAAATGGAAAATCGAATTATCAAAGGCGTTGACTAATATTTGGAAAAGCCATTACATTCACACTGACACGTGTACAACACACTCGACAGCTAATTCGGGTGGGTAACCAATCTGGGTTTAAAGGCCCAATATAATTCAAAAAACTCCAAACGTTATCCAAGGGTTGTTCCATACAGTGTAAACCACGTGTGTAGCAAGGCTCAGAGGCGCGCACGAGTTACCCATGTCCACGTTTTGGTCTGCACGTGTGGAGTATTTTTTTCCATTAATGCGTTTTACAGCAAGAAAAAAATTAACAACGAAACGACTGTTTAGAGGGCGAAAGAGAAAGGGGGAAGAGAGAGAGAGAGGAGAGAGAATGGGTGAAGTAGCTGATACACTAACGAAGAAGAAGAAGAAAGGGAGGCCATCTCTGATAGAAGTCCAGAAGCGAGCTCTGAAACATCAACAATTGCTACTGCAGCAAGAGATAGGAGAGCCCAGGAAAGAGCTTAGATCCGGTTTCAAAAACCCTAATTCTCTCTACCGATCCAGTCGCCGGAGATCCAATCTAAACGAGGCTTTTGAGGAATCAGATGGAGACGACGACGACGATAAGAGGAGGGACAAAAAGCGCCGGATGTTGCACGGGTTCAACTCCAACGACCGTCTTCATTCTTCTACTTTGAAATATGACGGCTGCGATTTGGACGCCAATGCATCCATCAGGCGCCGGATAATCGGTGCCGCCGGATCTGACTATAAGGTAAGTTATAGAGTTCCTTGTGGATAAGAATATCTTTGGGAAAACTAATTAAGAAGTTTCATTGGCAAACCAAAATTAGTTACTTTTTTTAACTTAAAATCTAAAACTTAATTATATAATGTAAAACTTATGATAATGTTACCTGTGTTAAAAAAATTAAATTTAAGGATATAAGTTTATATTCATTGGCATTGGCAAACATCTTCTGTGGACCATATAATCATGATTTTCAGTTGAAATATAAAGTGGTATGAATCTAATCATGGATATACAACAACAAAACCGACAAGTGAAGTGTAAGAACAAAATTGGTGATGACTAAAACTTTTGAATTTTTTTGACAGAAATGATTTTGATTAGTAGTGATAATTACAAAATTGCAATTTTAGAAGAAATCGAATCAATAGTATCAAATAAAAAAGAGGATGATTAATGGGAAACTTAGTCGAATTTGTTGTTGCGTCCTTCTTTGCAATGTCCGCCTTCGATCTCTCTTTATATGTTTTTCATCTCATTTCAAGGTTTCACTTTGGAGGAAAATAAAAACTGTTAATTTAGTTTCTTTGATTGTTGAGATTTCTAGGATTTACATGAAAGTTACCATAAATGTAGACTCCTGTATACAATATACTTGTATCATTTCTAGGATTTTTACTTGAGATTGATGATTTATCTGTTGTTTTTTTTTTCCTGCAGGGACAGAAGGCTTCAAAAGGGACAGACATTCTTCAAAGTAAATATCCCTTTTTCTCATTTCGTTATTTTACAAGTCATGAATAAGGCATTAATCTGGAACTAGTGCAAGAATAAAGTGAAATATTTTCTGCTAATAAATTTAAAACATTTTTGTGGCGTTTACTTGTGGTCAGGGTCTCTTGTGGAGTCTGAGCCCTTTACACCATTGCCAGACAAAAAGTTGCTGTTGTTTATCGTTGATAGACTTCAAAAGTATGTCAATTTTTATGGCTCTGAAACAGCCTTCTTCTCCTTCTCATTTTGTGATGCAACTATGGGTATGGTTTTTTGATTGATGTTGTTCTACAATACTTGAAGGAAGGATACATATGGAGTGTACTCTGACCCAGTTGATCCAGAGGAGGTGAAGTTTACTAAGCTTGTGTATATTAAAGCATTCATTTTGCTTTTACCTTATCTGTGAGAGTTTGTTTTACAGCTTCCTGATTATCATGATATTATCAAGAATCCGATGGATTTCAGCACATTGCGACGGAAATTAGAATCCGGGGCATACGCTAGCTTAGAACAATTTGAGGCAAGTCTTGTACTTGAACGTACAATTCTTCTCACTGAACTATCACTTGGCTGTGTAAAGATACATCTCTGCTCTTTGCGTTTGCTAGAATGGAGTTTTCATCTTTCATAATTTTGATTTCTTTTTCTCAGTCTCGTGCAATAGTTTCTCTGGTATCTACAACATCGTGTTTGCTGACAAGCCTAGTTAGAAGTTGTTGATCCATCGTTCTCTCTTGTTAAAGAAATTGGAATTGATGAGAATAGGTAGCTACTATCTGATATCTCTTAACAGTCTGCTAGTTACAGAGTGTTCTGTAACCTTTAGAAGGTGCAGACATAATGTTAAAACTGAGTTACCTGGTGGCGTCTAGAATGTTTGTTAATTTTCAAGACTGAATCTTTCTAATTCCCTCTCATCTTTTGCAGCAAGACGTGTTTTTAATATGTACAAACGCAATGGAATACAATTCAGCAGATACAGTATATTATCGACAGGTTTGTTCTGGCATAAACTCGCAACTTGCTTTCCCTTTTTTTTGTTATCCTCTATCTTTCTGATGGTGTATATATTTGTACAACAGGCACGAGCTATGCTTGAGATAGCTAAAAAGGATTTTGAAAATTTAAGACAAGAAAGTGATGAAGAAGAGCCAGTGACACTGCGACAACAACCAAAAGTGGTCGAAAGAGGCCGTCCTACAGGAACATGCCTTAAGAAACAGCCTGAGCCATCTTCGGTTGACCGTACTATTTCTGAAATCTCAGCTGAGGCAACAGCAACGCAGACTCTTGGTGGAGATAACTCTAGATCATCCGGTGCTTATAATCTAAGAAGTGCACATCCTTCTTACAGATTCCGTCAATCAGAAACTTCGGTTAGAATCAACCATTACAACGAGAACCAAAGTGGCTTGTTGATTGATTGGGAGAAGGAGTTTCCACGTAAAGATCTGCCTTTTTTCTAATACCACCTGCTTAAGATTCCCTTTTTGCCAATACTTTTTTTGCTGACATAAACCGATTTTCTGTAGCTTCGGTTGTGAAGGCCGTCGATAAATACGGGATGAAGAATGTCGAGAACAGGCGAGATACCTACAACCACGTCTCCACTTCCTCGCAAGAAGATTCGATTTTTGCCACGTTTGATGATGCTTTAAAACAGTTAACTCCAGTACGTGTTTAGCAACTTGAAAAGAAATGGAAAAAGATATCTCATTTAGTTTCAATAAACAGAGAATCTGACCATTGCTTCCTTGTGTTTACCAGGTTGGTTTAAGAAATGAATATGGGTACGCTATGAGTCTAGCACGATACGCCGCGAAACTTGGTCCTGTTGCTTGGAGATTCGTCAGTAAAAGGACTGAAACAGCGTTACCAACTGGAATCGAATTTGGTCCCGGTTGGGTTGGAGAGAACCCAGAAACTCCTCCTCCTCAACAGCAAATCTCATTGTCGGGAAAGCAAAAGGGTTGGAATGACTTGGCACCTGATGATGATCGTCCTCATTCAAGCAGAATCATGTCTCCGACCACCTCTGTCTCTAGCTCCATCGTAGGAAACATTCATTCTTCCCATGAAAGCAAAGAGTCTGCGGCAGCATCTGCTCGCTTGTTTAATCAAGAAAGCGAGAGCAAGGAAACATTAACGCAAAGCAGAAGCTGGAAACAGCTTTCTCGCGACAATAATCCGAACCAGATGCTGGAAACAGCTTTCTCGAGACAAGGCTTGCTGCCTAACAGAAAACATGAATTTAACCGGTTTCCACCTGATCTCAACGTGAAGCTCGTCTCCCCAAACTCACCAGTCTCTAACCTTCAGGCAGCTTCATCGCAGCATCCGGATTTGGCATTACAGCTCTGATTTTACTAATCTCGAAAAGCTTTACCAGTAGGAAGAAGAAGAGGTTTTCGTGATTGTGGATGAAGAAAACTTAGGCAGGTCTCTCTGTGCAGATTGTTGAAAAGAAAAACCGATTTAAGAGTATGAATATATTATTTTTACAAAATATATTTTAGCTAGTTAAATTAGAATTGTGAATTCGCATTCGGGTTTGGTTTGCATGAGATTTTGAGAAAGGTTGTTCATGTACGTTTTGGTTTCGTCTTTTGTGAAATCTTTTATGTATTTTTTTTGGAATCTTCCGAAGAAATGCTTAATTTAGCTCCAACGGAAAGAAAACAACAATGTTGTTGAATGTTGAATAAGAAAGAACGAAAGAAACGACGACGCGCAGATCCAAAATTAGGTCACATGTCCCCTTTAATTTCTCTTCCGTTGCCCTCAAGTTTTTTTAGCTGCTCTCACTTCCTTTTTTTTTTTTTTTTTCCTTTGCATCTTTCTCTAAAGATTTTGTTATTAATCAGAAGAGTATAAAATCTGCACCTTCCTCTTTTAGTATTTAAAGATAACATTTTTCACCGTTAGTTGCCATTTGTATTAATTTACATCTCACTATTTCTCTCCAATTCTCAGATTCCTTTCCTAAGAAGTAACAATTTAATCCTCTCTGTGCTGGCAGGTTTCCCCATTAGTTTTGGGGAATTATAGAGAGAGAGATAGAGAAATAGAAAGTCTCTCTTTTTCCAATTGATAATTCCCGGAGATAAATAGAAACTTTCGATTCTTTTTTTCTTTTAAACAAGAATCAAAGATTTCTTTCTTCTTTCGTTTTTGGCTCTGTTTTCTGTGTAAGGGTTCCAGGAGCTGGGTTTGATGATAATGTTGGACATAATCACAAACCAGCTCCGTCTCTGAATCCATTTTTTCGGCCATTGTTGTTGAATTTACGTTTTAATATCATCTCAAACAAAAAAAAAAACATTAAGGACAATGAGTTGTTTCTCTTGTCTCAACACACGAACCAATGACATGCCAATTGATACCCTTTATTACGTTACCGATAATTCCTCAGGTCTTGAAACAAAATCTCTTTGTGAATCTCTCTCTCTCTTTATCATTCATTCAAAAAGAAATCTCTGGTTTGTTGTTTTTCCTTCTCAAAAAAAAAAAGTTTCATTGTTTGTGATTCTCTTGTGTTTTTGCAGTTGACACAAGAAGCGATTCAACAAGAGCAGGGTCCAAATCGGGAATTTTAGGTTATTATTATCATTAATATACTGTTTGAAATTTCTCATACATGTGAGAATTTAAAACGACTGTTTGATTTTGGGTTTTGGTTCAGTTAATGGGAAAGTGAATAGCCCTAAACCCGGCGGTGGCGCACGGAGTTTCACGTTCAAGGAGTTAGCCGACGCAACGAAGAATTTCAAGGAGGTGAATATGATCGGAAAAGGAGGATTCGGGAGTGTCTACAAAGGACGTTTATATTCAGGACAGGTGAGTCATCCTCACGACCACGAGCTTCTGTCTTTTTTTGTTTTCTCACCAAATCTGAAATGTTGTAAGAAATTGAATTTGGTCTATATAGGTGGTGGCGATCAAGCAATTAAACCCAGATGGGCATCAAGGAAATCAAGAATTCATAGTTGAGGTTCTGATGCTTAGCGTTTTCCATCATCCAAATCTTGTAACTTTGATCGGTTATTGTACTTCTGGTGCTCAAAGACTCCTCGTTTATGAGTACATGCCAATGGGTAGCTTAGAAGATCATCTTTATGGTCAGTGTGTTTTTCAAAAATCAAGCATTTTTTTTCATCATCCTTCTTTTTTTTAATTAGCCGGTCTTGAATCTTGTTGTTGTTTGAACTCAGATCTTGAGCCTGACCAGAAACCGCTAAGCTGGAATACACGAATGAAAATCGCGGTTGGTGCAGCTCGTGGGATCGAGTATCTTCACTGTAAGATAAGCCCATCTGTGATTTACCGTGATTTGAAATCCGCAAACATATTGTTGGACAGAGAGTTTCACCCAAAACTCTCTGATTTTGGACTCGCCAAAGTCGGTCCTGTCGGTAACCGGACACATGTCTCGACTCGGATCATGGGTACTTACGGATACTGTGCTCCCGAATACGCAATGAGCGGAAAGTTAACCATCAAATCGGATATATATTGCTTCGGTGTAGTGTTGCTTGAGCTGATTACTGGGAGAAAAGCTATTGATATGAGTAAACCAAACGAAGAGCGCTACCTTGTTGCTTGGGTAAGTAAACCGAAAATCTGTAAAAAAAAAACGGGTTAAACCGGAACCAAGTCTCTCTCGTTTAACCGTGTTTTTGCTTTTATTTTGTGTGGGATATGCAGGCTCGACCGTATCTCAAGGACCCAACGAAATTCGGACATCTTGTGGACCCGTTGCTGCGTGGAAACTACCCGAAGAAGTGTCTTAGCTACGCGATTGCTATTACAGAGATGTGTCTGAACGAAGAAGCGAATCGACGACCGAAAATAGGAGACGTCTTGGTGGCATTTGAGTACATAGCCGCTCAGAGCAAATCTTATGAAGCTAGAAGAGCGGCTCGCAAGTCTATGGACTCTGACCGGTCAAGAGGGGATACTAAACATAGATACTAAAATAAGTCAAATGTGAAACCTCTTATAGAAACAGAAGGTTGTTTGATAGGACCGTCTACTTTTTGTTTTTTGTTTTCTTGCTTAGTCAGCTATAACTGTAAGAATGGGTTATTTGGTCGGATGATGAAGGTAACTTTTTGATTAAGGTAAATGGTGGACAGTAACATTTATACACCATCAAAATTTCTCAGTGTCAAATTTTAATTAAATAACCAAAAACAAATAAATATTCGTTTATAATGTTTTAGTTATTATTACGGCTAAAGTTGTAATTCAGATAGATAAAATCTGTAAATTTATGTGTAAAGACGTGGTAGTATTGAACACGGTGTATCACTAAAATCTGTAATACATCTCCAACTCGAAACATCGATTTCAAATTAAATGTAAGAATGTGACATACCATGACACAGATGATATAGTCAACCGTGAAATTATTTTAGCTTTGTCTCACGGGAAAAATAAATTACTTGATGTGAATGTTATAAGGGATCTCATGTCACAAAATGCAAGTAGGTGGTGACGAACGGAATTACGCGGACGTTTAATATTTTATGCCAACTTGAATACACTGCTAAATCCGATCCATATAAATATATCATATAGTATTTGCATATTGCATTTTATAATTTGAGAAGAATAAAATAACGTCTCCCCACGTTTTCTACTTGAGCTCGTTAGATGATAATAATAAATAAACAAAAATTAAATAAAAGCAAATTGAAACTCTCCCATTCATCATCGGTCTTGGTGTATTACCGTTATATTTCAATTTAAAAAAAAAAAAACTGAAAAGACTTTACTTGGATCGTCGTCAATGACCGCGTTTGTGAAAGAAAGCCGTTGATTAAAAATGTGTTTTTTAATCTTGCTCATAGATTCCAACATACTGTATATATAGTTGGTAAGAAAATTTCCCGAAGATGTGGGTTTTGAGTCTTTTGAGACCCTCGTGTTTCATATTTTGTTCCCTTTTCTAAATAATAAAATCTTCATATACTCACTCACATGTATCTCGGACCCGCCATTGCCAAACACTGTTCTTGTTTGGCTTCTTCCCACTGATATTTTCTAAGGCTTTTCCTAATAACCATGATGCACACTTATGACAAACTGACAAATTAAAAGCCTCTTGTTTTTTTTCTTTTAGCAATTGCTAATTTTTTTTATTGATTTGTTCTCCCACATACCCATAAAATAAAAACCAATGATTTGTGTTTTTTTTTTATAAGATAAAAAAACATATTTTTGTAAACAAATTAATAAGTTTTTACTAATTACTTAAATTCGCTTGCTTTTATAATCATTCAGTTTTGTTCTATGTGTATTTTATTCTAGTGATTACGTCATTGAGGTGATGTATATATGATAGGCATAGTCCATATGAAACAAAAGTAAATCAGAGTAAAGGAAATAGATAAATGAATATATACTCAGAGTAAATTAAGTAAATAATTATGCAAATCACCATCCATGGTCACTTAGTGCAATCACCTTAAATTAGTGCAATCACCTTAAATTTCAATAAATATTCATGGTCATTTTAAAACAATTACTTTAAATTGGTCTAGACATTTTTATCTATTAGACTTTATGCAAATACTTTTGTGGAATGCAACCACACTTTAACAATAGTGATTAATAACAATACATCTCGTAACCCAGCCATTTCCGAAGGGACACTAAATACTCCGACCGGTTCCCTATCTGCAACCCAGCCACGACCACTGACTATAGTCAGTCACCTTTTCACAAATCTCGCTCTCTTTTCTCTTTAAGATCAATAGATTTTTAAAATTCGGAAACTATAAAATAGAAAATCTATATTTCAAAAGGACTTCAATAATCATACAAAGAAAATGATATTGAAAACTGAAGTTCCATAAAATTATCAAACTTGAAATGACAGTGGACAACTTTATTGTAAACGTATGAAATGAGAAAACATAACAAATATGAATCGTGAGTAACTAACGTTGAAATTTTTTAATGATAAACTAATACTAATAAAAAAAAGTTATTAACAATCAGCCCATCAAGCTATATATAACCACGACAAAATCAAATGCACACTTGACCTTATATCAAATTGATAATTCCTAAAGCGTTTTGCTTGGTCTTTCCTCTCTGTTTCTGGCCTTCTTCCTCCATATTTCAGTTAAAGTCCCCAGAAAAGAAAGAAAAAAAGGGGACAGTTGGAGAAAAGTTCTCTCTAATCTTATGATCATAAAGGCAAGAATACTCAAAACAGTGCAAAGCCAAGAGTAGTTTGTCTTGATGGGGAACTTCTGTCCTGGCGGATCTTCCTCTGTTCAACATGAACAGAGCCCTGTCTCCACCAAACCCCTCCCAGGTTCATACACACATCTCTCTCTTCTTCTTCTCTGCCAAATCCAAACACTTTTGTTTCTATGGTAGTCTCTGATGATGATTCATAAGTTTCTTTTCTAGCTTTTCTGGGTTTGTTTGTTTGTATGTTCCATTGTGATTTTCGATTTTGAAAACGTCAAGGCTTGCTCTGTTTTCATCTCTTAAAAATCAAACCTTTGTAGTGAAGATTCAACCTAATAAGATCGTGTGTTGATCTTATAGTGGTGAGACCAGCAAATGAAAAGTTTCCGCCGCCGTTGGTGGCGATGCCGGCGGCTAGGGATTTGAAACCGAAGTTTCCATTGCCGGAAACAGGACGGAGAACAAGATCCGTCGATAACCCACCTCGTGAAAACCCGCTGGAGAAGACGAGATCTGTCGATAATCCGCCTCGTGAAAACACGCCGGAGAAAACAAGATCCGTCGAAAATCCGCCGTTGAAGCCAGTTGAGAAATTAGGTGTAGGAAGAAAGGCAGTGCCGCCGAGCGGGAAGATAACGACGCCGAACCTAAAGATGTTCACATTAGTGGATCTTAAGACGGCTACAAAGAATTTCCGGCCAGAATCGATTATCGGAGAAGGAGGATTCGGACAGGTTTTCAAAGGATGGTTGGAAGAGAAGACCTTAGCTCCGTCGAGACCCGGCGTCGGAATACCAGTCGCCGTTAAGAAATCAAACCCTGATAGTGCTCAAGGCTTACATGAATGGCAGGCAAGTAACTCCAATTTTTTCCTCCTTTTTATTTATTTTAATCTAATTTGCATTAAAATCATTAAGAGCTTATAATTGAGCCAATATAAATTTGAATATTTAAATGTCAATAACATAAAAAAAAAGACACAAAACGTGTTCGAGAAAATTCAGACTGGGATGTATATTTATGATAGAAATAACAAAAACAAAAGAAGCAAACTGGGCATTTTAATGACTACTCAAGTAGATTTAAGCATAAATTTGGGTCAAATCGATTATACTGTATAATCTTTTTTTGTCGACAACTTTTTGGATAACAAAAAAGGAAAATTGTATACTCTTTTAGACATTCTGGACACAATTAAGCTGCTACTTGTCGTTTTGTAGCTTAATATAATTATAGTTTTTTAAAAACATTACTGCGTAAGTGATTAGTCAAACTAAATAATGCTACTACGAACTTAGGAGTTTCTTTTCCTACGCATCAATTTAGGGTTTAATATGTGTCTTCTGTTTACATTTATGTTTTTCTATATCTAAACATGTGTACATCATCAATAAGAGAAGACGACACAAAACGTATACGGGATAAATTATTTCAGTCGCGGATTACAAATTAGAGGCATACATAATTGTATTAAAATGAGTTTTTAATCATTTGTAACCGAAGTTCATTGTTCCCGTTTTCACTGATACTTGGAACGTATTCATTAGCTTCTTACTTATTTAGTACTACTACCTAGAAGAAAGAAGAAGTCAATCTAACATTAAACTTTTTAGTACTAGTACCTAGAAGAAAGAAGAAGTCAATCTAACATTAAGCCAAAAAAAGAAAGAAGAAGAAGTCGATGAATTCTCACGTCGCATTAGTCAATCAAGGAAAAAAAAAAGTATTATACAAGTCAATGAGAGATATACATAAATATTTAATGATATGGTTGGATGTTTTCTTATGTTGATGGGTGGAAATGATTTTCTTCTTTTATGTAGTGTCTCTCCAGCTAGAAATTTCATTGTAGCTGCCTAAAATATCAAATAAAAAAACTGTGAAAGAAATTCACGACCATCTAAAATGATAGATAGAAATATCTGTGGAACTTGTGAAAATCATTAAAAAATAAGTGTCTTTATCAACGAAAAGAAAGTAATATTCCATACAAGCTTTGACCATTGACTTTTCAAAGTTGGTTGAGACATGCTACAGTCCTGAATAATTCCCAAACTTACAAAATTTATTAAATAAAAAAATACAATTTAGTTCCACGCACAATACAGTTTTTAAAAATATAACTTTTTGCTCTAAGCATAATTTTTCATGCCATTGATGATATTCATGTCGCTTCGTTAAATTCATCGTAATACGTTGCATGTTTTTATATTCGTTATATAGTGTTACAGTAGTAATAAACACTCGTAATCATATAGAAATAGATTAGTTTCATGATATATTTTTTATTATACTTGGAACCGAACATCAAAGTTCATAAAATAAACAGTGGAATATAAAAGACAAATTATCTTCTAATGCTGTCATAATCGGTGACGTGTGTAAACTTGCAGTGTGAAGTGAAATTCTTAGGGAAGTTTCATCATCCAAATCTGGTGAAGCTCTTGGGTTATTGCTGGGAAGAGAATATGTTCCTCTTGATCTATGAATATTTGCCTAAAGGAAGCCTTGAAAATCACCTCTTTTCAAGTACGTTTTTTTATAACTCATCCATTAATTTCCTTTTCTTTTACATCTATTATATCATTAATATAAGATTTGCACGTTATTTTCATGCAGAAGGAGAGGCTTTGACATGGGATACACGTTTAAAAATAGCCATAGAAGCAGCTCAAGGACTTACCTTTTTGCATAACTCTGAGAAGAGTGTTATCTACAGAGACTTCAAAGCTTCCAATATTCTTCTTGATTCTGTACGTTCTCCTTTCCATAGTTTATAACAAAACTGATGCTGTTTCTAGATTTGTATATAACAGTTTTTTTTTGCCGTTTTTACAGAACTTCAACGCCAAGCTTTCTGACTTCGGACTAGCCAAGCTTGGTCCAATTAATGGATTCTCTCACGTCACCACACGTGTCATGGGCACACATGGTTATGCGGCTCCCGAGTACATGGCTACAGGTAAATAAAAAAACGTGCAAATTAAAAAAAAAATTACATCGTTTTATGTGTAAATCTCATTTGAATTTCGGATTATCACAAAATGTTTTAGGTCATCTATATGTGCGGAGTGATGTATACGGATTTGGAGTGGTACTCTTAGAGCTTTTAACCGGTTTAAGAGCACTAGACCCAACCCGACCATCTGCGCAACAGAATCTCGTGGAATGGGCTAAACCGGTTTTGAGCCAAAAGAAGAAGATTCAGAAAATGATGGACCCACGGCTCGAACACAAGTATCCACTTTTGGCTGTGGTCAGAATCGCCGCACTCATTTTACGGTGTCTCGAGGCTGACCCGAAGAACCGACCGCCCATGGATGATGTACTCAGAGAACTAGAAATCGTAAGAACTATCAGAGAGGAACCAAAAGGAGAGAGACGTAAACGAGGCAATGGTGGTTCAGATAATAACCGGGTTAGTGGACGTGGTTTACCGCACGTCCGTAGAACCGGTCGTACTGGATAGTCAAAATAAAAACCTCTTGGATTAGTCATATACAAAGATACACACGTGAACCTGTTTAAAGATAATGATTTTTTTTGGGTAGTGTTTGTTTACATTTTTAGACTATGGTGAAATATTTGTTGTACGCTACGACAGTTTTTTTTATTTCTCCTGGGAATACCAAACAGAAAATTCATTTTAGTGTATATTATACTGTCGCTTCTTCTTCACTTTTCGTTTCTTTTTGCTTATGAAACAAATCCAATATATATACAGTACAAACAAAAATGTAATTATTGAAAACGTATATCCACATTTGCAAACCAACAACAGACTACAGAAGTAGTAGTAAACAAAAACAAGAAATATTAACATTTTTTCCTAGAAGAAAGGCTCTTTACATGTTTTCTCTCTCTCTCTCTGCCAAATTAAGAACCACCTAATATAATCTCGACAACAGACAAATGTGCTTACACAACACAAGCTACTATATGTAATCTCTTGTCCCTTCTTCTTGTCATGAAAGGCATCCACTGACAGAAGAACGTTCTGGTAAATGTTGAGAAGTGAGCTGAAGCAAAAGCTTAATCGTTTGTCCCGGGAAAGACCTGCAAACATCTACACATTCCTCTACATCGTCGTCACATCTCAACAAAACCCATTCATTGTCTTCATCTAAGTACTTCAGATCGTATCTGCTCACATCTTCTATACTAAACCGTTTCGCTATTTCCCACAAGAGGTCTTTTAACCTACGCGAGTTTCGCATCCTGAACCGTATCTTCTCCTCCTCATAGCTTACCTTTATCCTCAGAAAATCATCGTCTTGTGATGATGTTGATGGTGATAACTGTGTGGCCTGCGTTTCCTTAAAAGATCTTGAGAGAGTCATTGTATCCTCTCTGGTCTTATTCGTACGATCTTCCTTGTTTACTTGTGTTTCACTGGAACAGCTCGAGCTGTGGCTACACGACGAAGCAGGGGATTTTGCAGGCTGTGAATGTAAGGAAGACAAGAATGTCGTCTTCTTGGATTGTTGTTGTAATGATGATGCTTCTTGCGAAGAAGCCAGATTCGGGAAATTCGCGTAGAAGGAGCCTATAGGTAGATGATGGCCCGAAACACCTTGAACCGAGTCGATCACCCGTTGGATCTTCTGAAGCGAATGACCAACTTTCTTGATCTTTCTTGATGGCCATCTCTGTATCCCATGCTGTCTGCATATTCTCTTTAATGTCGTTGGACAAACTGAAACATATCCCAAAATCAATAACAGAATCCTTCATGAAAACTAAAAGTCGAGTTTCAGAATGTATATGTTTTTCACTTACCACCGATACTCTTGGCAGCATCTTTGAGACTCCCTGCAAAGTACTGCCGAAGAACATCCAAAGTTATGTTTTTTTCGGCTTTTGTTCGCTTTTTCTCAGTCGTTCTAGCAGAGAAGAAAGTGCTGTTCTCATTTACACTCAAAGGCCCTTTGCCATAGTCAAAGCCAAGCTCACCCATCTCTGATGTTCCACCATCAAACACCAATCCCGCGTCTTGAGGAACACTATTGCTTTGATGTACTTCAGATGTATTCTCTATCTTCGGCAATGCCTCTCCTCTTTCTGTGACCTCGCTCGCCATTGAATCTCCCTCTTCTTCTAGCTCCTTCTCCGTGACTGTCCTTAAGCTTCTAGGCACGTGCGCCATTATAGTCGAAAGAGCATTCAACATTTTCCTCTGTTCCTCGATGTCCCGGCAATTTTTAGGCAGAAAGAACTCCAAGACGAAATCAGCCGAGCCCGTGTGGATGCAGCGCAAGCGTATTGCGACTGTGCCATGTAAGCCAAACATAGTTGCATGGTGAGAGAGAGGGTACTCAGATTTCTTGTAGCTGGAGACATCAGATGAAAAGCAAGGACCGTTGGTCAGAAAGGCTTCTCCAACAACTCCTTGACCTTTCAAGAGATGATGCTCAGAGCAGGCTTCGTGAAACTCACGGACTGTAGGATCACCGACGTAGCAAGCATCATCGATTGTGGACACACAATGGATATAGTTCTCGTCATTGTGACGGCAGCCGGTTTTGCTCTGTTTCAGACAAGAGACCCATGTCTGAGCTAATGGTAGTTTATGCGTCTCGCAAGCACACCTCAAGAGGTTTCTGATCTCAGGTAACGCAGCTTGGTAGGAGAAGTCAGGTCCCTGATTCAAAGCAACATTCGGATTGTTGTTAAGTAAGCGAATTGAAGACGAACAAAACCGAAAAGTTAAGGACTTTAAAACCTTTAGAGAAGGCGAGATCGGAACTTCTGTGCTCCTAAGATCAACTGCCTGTGAAAAAAAAGAAGAAACGATTCTTATGTGAATATATTCATAGGCAGAGTATTTGAAGATGAAAGAGACAAAGCGAAATAAACAAAACCTGAAGTGCTCTGCAGATGCTTTCAAGCTCAGGGCGCAATTTAACCATTTGTGTGGTCATTACAACCTCAATAACACCTAAGCAAGTCTTACTACCTTGTTCAAACACAGGAATCGCAAGCGTGCCACGAACATCGCAGTCTTGAGCGTGTTGGACTCTCGGATACTCCTCGTTCTTGAAGAACCTCACATCCGGTGTCCACTCAGGAACCTGCCCCAAGAAAACCCTTCCAGGCAAACCAACCAAGTCCTTGGAACTGGAATTTGAATTTGAATCCTCCTGTTCGGTAGAGAACTGATAATTCACAGAGATCTCTCTGTAATGAGCCAGCCTCTGACACATTGGATCATGGCTAAAAGGTTGTTCCTTTGTGGTTAAAACTCGCTTACCGCCTCTATCCACAGGCACCCACAGCTGTATAAGAGAGCCTCTCTCGCTTGTGAAATCTTTAATGTGTTTCACTGCTTGGACCAATCTCTCCATAATCGAAGAGCCATGACCACTTGGCCCGATCCACCACCGTCTGTTAAGGCTGGAGAGATCCTTCCCTTGGTTTCGATGATCCTCAAGACTCGATCTTTCTGTGTAATCCTGACCGTACATCTGAGATAAGCTAGATGAGCAGATAGCTGTGTCTTGCGTTGGAGACCACATGAATGAAGAAGGATCAAAAGGTGCTACGGAGGTTGAAGGACTGAAATTGAGGAACTCTGATGCATCTGTCGTCTCTAACCAGCAACCTTCTAGAAGTAATCCGTCCATGAATGAAGAATCCATAGCTGGATCCATGGGGAGAGAATTGTTTTCCATTTTCTCAAATCAATGAAGCAACATCTGAAAAAAACGAAGCATCCATTTCAACAAGTTTTCAAAGAAGAAGAAGTGGAGAATTAGGCTTTCTTCTTCTCTTGATTTCTCTCCAACTTTTTTTTTCATATATCATCATTTACATTTCAGAAGTTGACAGAAATTATGAATCTTTCACCAAACCCAACAAAGTGAAATGAACAATAACACAAACCCATTTCAGGAGGAGAATCAAATCAAGCAAAAATCTTGTAAATGGAAAAGAAATGAGAATCAAGAGTGAAAAAGCCCCAACTTTTAATTATGTTGGGCGCTTTGATTCCTACAAGTTGGTTAAACAGAGTATACCCTAATCCCTTGTGGGTTAAGATATGCTGATTTAACCCCCAATCAAATAAAGTCTAGCACTAATCTGATTCCCTGATGAGACCTTTGAGGCATTAGAAATGGAAAACAAAAATAGAAACGAAAACTCACAAAGACGTAAGATTCTCGGAAGATTCCTGGAGTAGGTTTAAATGTTTTTTCCTTTTTAATTGAAGAATCTTGAACTGTCCCAAAAGACCACTTGTCTAAGAGACAGGAGAAACAGTTGAAACACCCAAATCTGAGGGAAAAGAAAGGCTGTAAAGATATGTTTTTGATGGGTATGTCCCTGGTGAACAAGTAGTAAGTACCTCTTCCACGGAAAATTATTTGGAAGAGAGCAAAAAAAAATCATATTTTGGGGCATCGTTATCTTCATATACGCATCGGGAAGAAAAGACCCTTCAATTTAACTTTTTTATTTTTTTATTTTGTTAGTATTTTTTTTTTTTCTTTCAGAACAGAACATGACTCTCTCTCTTCTTCTTTCTTTCTCTCACTTCCAGGCTGCGTGGGTGTTCAGAAAAATATCGGAGGAGGAGATTCCATATTCTAGAGAGAGATATTTAAAGTTTTTGAGAAATTTTATGTCTTGGGCAGTAAATTTCTCTCCATGTAGTGTTGATATTAAAAGAAAAAATATTTTTTGTAAAAAGTCAACTTTTTCGGCCAATGTTTAGAGAAAAACTGAGAAAGTATTAGCAATTAGCATTACTGATTAAAAAAGTTTTATTAAGGAATCTGTTAATACAGAGTTGGCAACATTAATGAGATTTAAGTTTTAACAAAAACAATGCATATTAGTTGAATTTTCGCCGCTGACTTTGTTATTTACTTATTTTTTAATTCGAGAAGTTATATCATAAATCCAACAAATTTGGAGAGAAGGGATGTCTACAAAACAATTTCGTGTTTGATATTTTCCGCACTATTTTAAGAGATCATCTCCTTATTTTTGAACAGTTCTTGGTATCGATTAGAGGAAAACATTAGGGAAAAATAATACAAAGTACCATGTGGTGATACTAGTAGTTATTAAAAATAAATAAAGATTCTAAAAGCAAAGTTAAAGGGAATTACTTAAAGTTTAAACAAAAATTAAGTAGAAAAGTAATTAATAATTGATGGAGCAAGTTGGAATGTAAGAAAAACAAGTGGGGAGCAGGTTTTGCGTTTCCCCTGTGTGTTAAAAAGAAATTAAAACGAAAATATTGCTTTGTTTGTCATATTGTATTTTTCTTTTGGTCAGCGTTTGTCCTATTGGGGTTGAAGGACAATTTGTAATAAAAAAAATGGAGGGCAATGTGTGTCCCACTTACCTCACGGAGATGTGACACTCTTCTAGAAACAATTGTGTTTCCTTTACTACTTAAAATCGCAGTGAGCTTTAACTGTTTTTCAGACTTTTAGCGGATTTACTTCAATTGTTGCTAAG